TATAAGTTGCCATACGGGGGTATCAGTGTTTCACAAACACATCTTGTTTAATCTGTTTTGGGTCCCGGCATTCAAATTAAATCAAATAGCACCAAAAGAAATAAGCAAACAAACAAAAGAAAGAGAACAAATGTACTTCCTGAACAAAAATGATCAAGGATAAGTTGTTGCAATAAGCACTTTCGCAGAAACAATTATATTTAATTTTCGGCAGAGTATAGTGTAGAGTTACCTCCTTATATGAAGACTTAAGCCAATATCCTCGGATCTTTGTTAATTACATGTATACTGAAGGCACGATAGATGAAGAGTCGTGAAATTTTCCTTATTTAATAAACTCTTTTCTTCCAAGCCCGGTTGCATGGGAGGTGCAATTATGCTCCAACCCCACCCCTTATATGTATGTATATAACATATACTATACAACAGAATTTTACTACAGTTTGTCCCCTATATAATAACGTCTTGTGCCGTTCTTCTTTTCTTTTCTTTTTTCCTTTGTCTGTCAAGCAATTTTTCTAATTTCTATTCCGCTATACCCCCAAAGTGAAATTGCTTCCTATGGGACTGTCGTCTAGAAATAATCAAATAAAGTAGTTTATCATTTAAAATACCAAGTTGAAGTTATATGTGTGTATGCTAATGTGTCTTGAAAAATCAAACCTAAGGTTCATATGTAAAATTATAAATACAATTCGTTAGACCTTTTACTGCTTGATTTTCCCTTATGCATGCAATTATATGCTTTAATTAGTTAAGAAATAATTCTATTTTGCCTCTTGCTTACCCCAAGGGACTTGATCTGAACAATTTTGAATGTACCCTTCATGAAGATTCTTTTATATAAGTATTGTAATAAAATAACTAGTTCTGACATCAATTTATTCTTAACGATTTCTCTCTTACATAGTTGAAGACATTTGGTCCATCTTATCCCCTGTGACAACAACTTGGAGTAACATGAATAAAGAGATGACTTTCACATAAAGTTTTTTTTCTTGTGTAGTTGTATTTTAGGAGAGTTTTAATGATGACCCAACCTTATTTTCACTTTTTTCTGATTAACTCATTATAGGAAGCGTTATGCTTTTGCAAGAAAAAAGATTGAAATTCTTTTTCCAAGGATGCATTATTTTTTGCAAATTTTTTTTAAAAACTAGGTTCAGTGGGTTTAGAGGAAAAGTTATAACACTAAACATTAATTTTACATGCTAATAACTGACAACTTGTCACTTGAGCTTTCAGTCCACCTAGGCTCAGATGAAAATTAATGTCTATAATATTATCAATCTTGCCTACTGTTAACATATAACATTGGTTTATACATTCATGCTTCCACTATGGATGAATAACACAAACAAAAAAAACAAGAGTCCCATGGGCCACATCGCTCATCTGAGCACACTGGCTAGGAAGAAGCAGAAATCAGTTCAGTATTGAAAAGTTTTAAGGAGGGACAAACTTAAATTTACACTACCTTAGGATGCTTTTATATCAATATTACTAAGTATGGCTTCGCTGTTCTTAAAAAAAAGAATTTTAAAGATTTTTTCTTATGTATTCCTATGTAAAACTCTGATTTCTCATTGTGGCCCCAACCTACCCACTGCAAATTTGAACAAATTTGAATCTACACTACATGAGGATGCTTCTTTAATAATATGACTAATCATGGCTTTGCTGTTCTTGAGGAAAAAGATTTTCAAGATGATTCCTAAACATTCTTATGCAAAACTTTGACCATCTGTTGTGCCCCCAACCCCTGGGGGTGGGGGGGGGGGGAGGGAGATGGGTTCATAATTTGAACAAACTTGATTCTACAATACCTAAGGTTGCTTCTCTATAAATAAGACTAATAATGGCTTAGTTGTTATAGTTGTTCTAGAGAAGACGATTTCAAAGATATTTCCTATGTAATGGTATGATCAGGTTCTTACAAGGGATATATAGGTTTCCCTTTTACTCTGAGTTAATGATTGGAATGATTATTAAGACAGCTCTGTCTGAGGGTATATCACACGGTACTTAAATTTTCTCTTATCTAGAGATGGGGACTGGGTAAGGTACTACTTGCACCGTGTTTCTCCCCTAGGTTCCCATCGAAAGATCAGAACCAGTTGTCTCAATCTTCTTCAGATTTACTACAACCAAAACTTAATGTCAATTCCCTAGGATACTAGCCACTGGTGTTTATAACTTTTATACTTTCATTTTGCTCGTACCCTTAAGGTTTTCCATCCTCTATCCTTAAATGTCCATCAAATACATAATACTCTGATATTAATTTAAAGCATTTTACAGTAGAAAAGGATTTACCAAGAGAGAGTTTCAAAAATGCAATTAACTAAGCAGTAAGTACTTAACTAAGATTGCATTGAAGTCTATGTAGCATTTTTTTTTTAAATAAAAATTCAAATAATGTGGCCCTGCCTTACCCAAAGGGGTCAAGATTGGAACAAATCTGAATCTAGAGTATATAATGAAGCTTTCATAAAAGTTTCAACTTTTCTTGCCCAGTGGTTCTTGAGAAGATTTTTAAAAGATGCCACAAAATTTTCACAAATTCTTAATTATCTCCCCTTTAAAGAGGGCGTAGCACTTCTGGTGAACAAACTTGAATTCCCTTTACCCAAGAATGCTTTGTGGCAAGTTTCGTTGAAATTGGCCCATTGGTTCTTGAGAAGTCGAAAATGTGAACAGTTTACAGACGATGGGCGTCAGACGACAGACGGGCGCCGGACACTCTTTGATCAGAAAAGTTCACTTGAGCCTTCGGCTCAGGTGAGCTAATGATGCATGGATTGGTTATATTTTTTTTTTACTGATTATGAATTAAAAAAATGACATTAATTGTAAATTTTTAGAAAATATAGAATCGTAAGTATATTTTGGTGTTCCAATATTTTACTTTGTGCCATTCTTCTGTATAACTCTATAGACATTTTTGCGCTCATTTTATGTAATTTCTATAAAAATCTCACAAAATTTCTGCATTATATCTGGATAACATTATTCATGTTATCTATATGAACATAAATCTATTAGACTTATTTCTGATTTCTGAAAACAAAAATCTGTTTGTGTTATTTATCCTTACACGCTGATCATATCATACAGCTTTCATCGCCTCCTCTGTCTGCATTTAATTCGTGGATCACTCGGTCTGCACATCTCAAAAATCCAATGTAAACACTGAATCACGTTTGATACTGAATAAAAACATCTTTAACGCTACCTTAAAATCGGTCATGTCAGTACAAATCATTTAAATTGTCATCCTATATGACCTACATGTAGTTTGAACTAATTTGATGGATTGATAACACATGATCAAATGGATCTGGTCAATTTTAGTTTTAAAGATAAATTGTCTGAAGATTTAATTTTGACAGATGAAATTTTATCGATCGCGTAAAGGACGTGTCAAACGGCAGAAATGTTTTGATTAACCAAGAAAATCAAATTACAATGTTTTCATCTTCAATTTTCGCGGGGAAGATTTAAATACATTGACGCACAATCACTTTCACATATAGCAGCCAACATCAATTTAGATTTATATACTAAAATATGAAATTTAAGATGTCAGAAACGTTTTCAATCGTGCCAAACAGTACCAAACGGTAAAGGTTTCTGTTGTATGGCTGCATTTCGTTGCCAAACTGTAGTGAAATCAACTAGTACTTTTTTGTTACAACGTACTCTGTTAGTAACTGGAGGTTGATAAAAGAAGAAAAGAGCATTTTAGCTGTTATTAGAAATCTTGAAATACATATCGCGATACAGTTTCAAATATTGCAATATATATCAATACGAAATTCCCAACCGATACACAGCCCTAATAATTTGGTAAACATTACATACTCCAAGATCAAAAATTTTGTGGCCGTAGGAATTTGGGGCCCCAAATAATTTTGCTAATATACATGTATAGTAAACTATAGAAATTGAAGCTATTTTATGGATAATAATTTCGCCTGAAGAACCTTATTAAGCGCTAAAGCGCACCACAAAGCGCTTATACTAAGCGTTGAGCAAAAGCGCTTATGGGCGATGTCATGTAGTAAATTTTGTATTTACTGCCACCCGGTAAATTCAAAATTTACAACATGACAGCGGCCTACAACTACTTCCGTTCTAGCGCCACTAAACAAGTTCGATAACTCTACTTAGTCTTCTTGGCTATTTTGGTGCAGGACAGTGTTAAGTGAAGTTATGATAATAGGAGTTAATTAGTACGGATTGACCTACATGTACATATGCAAGAAAATGGGTAAGGGTGGTTCTGTCTCTTACAATATTAAGTGCTGGCACACCACTTGTGTTACACATGTATATAGCTAACTGAATTGCTGCAGTAATAAATAATCAAGTAAATAACCATCTACTGATACAAGTACCTCAAAACTATTATCGTTCGTCATTATATGTTTAATTTATATTTTTAAACTCAGTGGGAATTAAAAGATTAATTAAAGAAAAATTTATTTATCTGATTTACACTTCATATAATTTATATCGTTGTCCACCCCCACCCCCCACTTTTTTCCATAACTTTTTAATATTGAAATGTTCATTGAAAGGCCGGTTGCCCCTCCCCCTGACTTTCTGTTGCAGTATAGTCAAATAGGGGTAAAATAGTATTGTTTGAATGAAATTCGAGTTTTTTTGTTTGTTTTATTTTTATTTTTTATTTTTTATTTTATTTTTTTTTTTTTTTTTTTTTGTTGACAATTTCACTTTTTTTTTTTTGGCTTGTTCAAGTTTTTTCAGGTTAATTGAATTTTGCTGCCCCCTTTCAAAAACAAAGCTACGTCCTTGATTTTTAATAGAAAACCTCCAATTTCTCTGTACCTGTTCTAACGTATACGACCGTAACATGTATAAAGTACAGTTTTAGGGGGAGGAAGGTCTATGTCGTGTTCATTTCTACGCAGAGCGTGGGACCGCTCCTTTGCATTACAAAGTGTGATTAACAATTTCTTTACTTACTTACTTACTGCCCGTGACGCCTTTGGCGTATAGGGCAGTAACGAGGGTTCTCCATCCTTGTCTATCACTGGCTAGCTTTTGGAGTGTGCCCCAGCTTCTCTTTTGTACTTTAAGTTCGGCTTCCACTGTCCGCCGCCAAGTGACTTTGGGCCTTCCTCTCTTCCGTTTTCCCTCTGGTGTCCAGAAGAGAGCTGTCTTTATGATGCTGTCTGAGTCCCTTCTAAGTACATGGCCAAGCCAGTTCCAGCGTCTTCTGATGATGATTGTGGCCATGTCCTCTTGTTGGCACCTGTTGAGAAGGTCTTGATTTGAGATGGTATTGGGCCAAAATATTCTTAAGATCCTTCTCAGGGACTTTGTATGAAATGTTGACAGCTTGTTCAGGTCACTCTCTGTCATTCTCCAACACTCTGATCCATACAAAAGGATAGGTAGAATGCAGCTTTTGTATAGTTTCAGCTTTGTTCTTGTTGTGTACTGACTTGATCTCCAAACAGTATGTAGGTTGTTAAAAGCTGCTCTTGCCTTGGATAGCCTCTCTTTGATGTCGGTCTCTGCTCCACCATCTGTTGTTACTTTGCTACCCAAGTATGTAAAGGTGTTGGTGCATGGAAGGATGTGATTTTCCACTTTGACCGCTTGTGGATTGTTTACATTTAGGGTCATGACCTCTGTTTTTTTGGTGTTTATCTTCAGTCCAATGCTTCCTGCATATTTGTGTAGCCTGCTGGTTTTGTCTTGAATGTGCTGGTGGGAGTGGGAGAATAAGGCTATATCATCAGCAAAGTCCAGGTCTTCTAGTGTTGTAAATGTACCCCATCTGATGCCTCTCTGAATGTCAAATGTTGTATTCTTCATGACCCAGTCAATGGCTATGATGAATAGTGTTGATGACATTACACAGCCTTGACGGACTCCTGTTTTAACGTCAAACTCGATGCTGGTGTTTCCAACTCTGCATCTGAAGTTGACATAAAAACTCTTGATGATATCTATTAGATGTTGTGGGATGCCATATGACCGCACAATTTTCCAGAGACTGTCTCTATGAATGCTGTCGAAGGCTTTTTCGAAATCAATAAAATTAATATATAACTGTCGTTGCCATTCTGTACACTGTTCAATGATGTTTCTTGTGTAAATATTTGATCAATACATCCTCGCCCTGGCCTAAATCCTGCTTGTTCTTTACGCAGTTTGACATCTACAGCTATGGATATCCTTCTGATGATGATTTTAGCCATGATCTTACTTGGGATGGAAAGCAGTGTTATTCCTCGCCAATTGTTGCAGTCGTTTAGGTTGCCTTTCTTTGGTATTTTAATGATGACTCCATGGTTCCACTCATCTGGTATGGTGTTTCTTTCCCAGATGTCATGGAAAATTGGCTGTAAAATTGTGGCTGTAAGAAGTGGATCTGTTTTGAACAATTCTGCATTTAAGTTGTCATATCCAGGGGCTTTTCCATTTTTTAGACTTTGTATTGCAGAGACAATTTCTGGAATTTGTGGTGGTTCAATGCTTATGTTTAGGTCATTTGCTGGATAACTGATGTCAGGTTCATGAGTTGGAGGTGGTCTGTTTAAGATTTCCTTAAAATGCTCTGTCCATCGTTCCTCCATCTCTTGTTTTGATGACAGCAACTTTCCTGTTTTGTCCTTGACAGGTAGATTGGGAGATGGTCTATTCCTGCCATTCAGTGCCTTGGTTATTTTGTAAAGAGTTCCTTGCTCTCCTCTGTTGGCTGCCTCTTCTGCTTTTGTTGCTAGGTCATCTATGTGTGCTCTCTTGTCTGCACGTAGAGCCTTTTTCACTTCCTTCTCTATTTCACTGTATTCCCTTTGATGTCTCTCTTTAAGTCTCAGAGATTTGGCCTCATTTACTTTCTTTTTGGCATCTCTTCTTGAGTCAATCATTATCCACGTTCTAGGCATTATCCAGTCTTTACTCCTATGTTTCTGCCTATAACCGATACATTTCTCACCAGTTTCAGTGTAGATGTTGCTAATTTTTTCCCACTTTTTGTCGATTGATGTTACATGTATGTTGTCCTCTGGTTCCAAATTTTGTAATATATCGAACTTATTCTTGAGCATGATGTTGAATTCATGTCGTACCTTGATGTCTTTAAGTTTATCCACATCAAATTTCTTTCTTGCCATGTTCTTTCTCTCTGTGCTACGCAGTTTTAGTTTGATAGTTGCTGTTACCAGGTGGTGATCGCTATCAACATCGGCACCTCTCTTCACCCTCACATCCAATAATGATCGTCTCCATTTTCCATTTATCATGATGTGGTCAATTTGATTTTTGTCTCTCATGTTTGGAGAGTGCCAGGTTAACTTATGAATGTTTTGGTGGGGGAATAGTGTTCCTCCAATTACATAGTTGTTGGTAGTACAAAACTCTACAAGTCTCTCTCCATTTTCATTCATGCTTCCACAACCATGTCGTCCCATTGCCCTATTGTATAGTTCATTATCTGCTCCGACTTTAGCATTCATATCACCCATGATGATCTTAATATCGTGGTCTGGTGTGTTGTCTAGTTCTTGCTGTAGTTGTTCATAAAAAGCATTTTTATGTTCTTCATCTGCATCGTTAGTGGGTGCATAACACTGGAATAATGTCATGTTGACTTGCTTTCCTCTAAGCCGTACTGTTAGCAATCTACTGTTGATTGGCTTCCATTCCATTAAAGACTTCTCAATTCCCTTTTTGAGAATAATTGCAACCCCTTCATGATGTAGTCCATCTTCTCGACCAGAATACAGTAATGTTTCACCTGTTGTTGTGCGTATTTTACCTGAATCAGTCCATCTGCTTTCACTGACTCCCAGCACGTGCAGGTTGTATCTTCTCATCTCGGCTGTTACTTGTGCTAATTTACCGATTGCATACATAGTACGTACATTCCAGAATCCTATTTTGATCTTAGTCTTGGCCGTGTTAAGGGCCTCCCTATTCGTGTTGGTAGTTTCCCAATGGCTTTCACTACCTACAGTCATACTGGTTCCAGTGCAGGTCCCAGAGAGGCTCTCATTCACAGGTATAGAGATATTCCTCGTTACTGTTTCCGTAACAATACTTTTTTATGAGTTAGGGTTGTTAGCCCTAAGCTCAACCCCCTGGACTCGGAGGGCCAGTGGTTTTCTGTCAGGGTATCCTTCCCTTAGCCACGGGTTCCAGTTATTTCAAGGCGCCGGACACTCGCCTTTTGCCACTGCCACTTAGCTACTAAAGCATTTCCAGGGTCACCACGAGGAGGTGTGGCATGTGACTTGCTGGCAGAACCTATTTAGAGACGGTGGGCATTAACTCAAGGTTTTAAGTGGTGAGACCTAGTGGCATAAGTATCACCCCTTGAGACCCGAACCAGCATTTGACCCCTATTCTACATTACCCTATTACCCTATTCTACCCCTATTAACAATTTCTTTGTATGACATAAAAAGCTAGAGCGGTTCCGGCTTCTATGTGGTACATATGCACGCAGCAGCTTATCTTGTGTACCAACTTTCAGTTCTTTGGTTTTGAAAAGTGGTTCAGAGAAAGAAATAAACAGCACAAACTGAAAACTCTTAGCAAGAATGTACTGATTTTTCTTACAATGTATCTGCAAGTCCATAATGATTTCCTTTATCCGGTATTACCAAATCGCACTAATTGTAACTGTAATTTACTATGTAAAGGACGGTGTAAGCATCATCCTGTCGTAATGGTGCAGTAGGCACAGGTGCTTGTGGACAGGACCCCCCCCCCCCCGAATATACACCCTGGGTCCAAGAATATTTTTATTCGTCTTTTTCCATGAATTAACCTTCTAGCACACATTTACAATGTGTACCGCGGGTATGATTTTTTAATAAAACGTTAATTGTACGTTATTTTTTGGATTTTTCATATGGAATACATTGTAAATGTGTACTAGAAGATTAATTTATGGAAAAAGACGAATAAAAATATCCTTGGACCCAGGGTGTATATTGGGGGGGGGGGGGCACAAGCACCTGTGCACCTGTCCACAAGCACCTGTGGCGGTAGGCACATTTCTGCACTACGTATCTGCAATATGACTTTGTCAATATGCAATTTATTTATGTTGACATTCAGAACAGTTATGAAACCATTTCAACATTACCTCTTTCATATAATTCTTGTAACATACGTACACATACAGAGTTATACCCATATGCTAATATAGTTCTATATGTAAAGTTATCAGATTGTTTGAGGCCCGTTATGGCCGAAAACGCTAATTATTGGGTCTTTCCACCTCCTAGTTGAAAGACCTCTTGAAATTGTTCAGCACTTGTTTCTTTCTAAAAAAAATTTCGAAGTTTATCGAGAAGATTTTTTTTTCTTTGTCGAAAAGAACCTAGGAAAATACGAAGACACGTGACCCATGTAACGTCTTTCAACTATAACCTCTTTCGGAGTTATTGCCCATGTTACAGAAAAGGGTTGTCATTGCTACTCCTCTAAAACTGTAAACCGCGTAGAGATATCAGACCTTCAACACTGTCTTCGACTATTTTAGAAGAAGCTTCAATCTATTCAGTGCTAAAAAATGTTATAAGTTATAAGTTGAAAGCTTCATTACATAGTGTATAGATTCAAGTTTGTTCAAATCTTGACCTCAGGGGCTAGGGCGGGACTATAAAAGGCGATCCAGGTTTTGGCTAAAAATATATACCAGGAAAAATCTTTAAAAATCATCTTCTCAAGAACAGCAAAGTCATGATTATTCATATTTTTATGTAAGCGTCCTCAGGTTGTGTAGATTCAAGTTTATTTAAATCATGACCTCCAGGGGGAGGTTGAGGGACAAAGTTTTACATAGTAGGAATATGTAGGAAAACCTCCTCAAGAACAGCAAAAGCCATATGCATGATTGGTCACAGGCCCGTAGGAAGCAGATTCAGTTGGGGGGGGGCACAGCCACACATTTTCAGTTGACAGTTGAGGGGGCACTACCAAAAATAAAAAAAAAGTCATCAGACGTTTTTATTGAGGGAGCACAAGCATATAATACCTATGTTTACTATATATATCGGCAAAATTATTGGGGGGGGGGGGGCACGGCCCATCTATAGTTAGATTCAAGATTGTTCAAATCATGACCCCTCCCCTGTCCCTCCTAGGATATAGGGTGGGACCGCTTATATTTTTAAACTTTTCAATACGGGACTGATTTCTGTTTTTCTCTAACCAAAGTGCTCAGGTGAGCGATGTGGCTCATGAGCCTCTTGTTAATATTTCTTTTGTCTTTCAACATATATTATAAATCATTGCATGTTTGATGTGCTCTTTTAAAGCAACTACAGAAGTTCTGTAACAGAACTATCTTTTGCGACTCCCAACTCCGAGTCCTTTTGGAGTTCTTGTCCATTGCACGATAAACATTGTTATCGCTACTCCGACGAAGCAACACGAAACCTTGGCCTACTTTAGGCGAGTTTCCAATTTACTCTTTGTGAAAAGATTCATCGACTTCTTTATTGCCCCTTAAAATCTTTAGCTTTCATCCTCAAAGCCTAACTGACTCGTAGAAACATTGGATTGTCTGCAATAGGACGTTTGACCTTGAAAATTGGCCTTTGAAAAAGCGATTTTCCATATTGTTCATTTTTTATTCAATCTCATTGACACATTCACACTGTCAAATTACATTTTAAATTCAACATAACGATCGTAAAATTAACTTGTTAAAATAAATTTGTGTATGTATTTTGTAATAATTATTTAATAATAATTATAATTATTTAAGATTGTGCCATCTCCTTAATGCATTTATCATTATTGATCATTTGTAATTCAAAACATTTACATGTAAATATTATCTTTGGTAATTGCATTTCCCAACTTTTTCACAGAATTTTAAGAAAAACTGCCTTCTCGATATGTACTGGAAGTTATTTTTTCGATATACGATATATTCTTGAACATCGGTATACGTATCGATATATAGATTGATACAGCCCTACTTCGTCTACCTGACATATACATAGGGCTCACGGCGGGTGTGACAGTCGACTGGGGATGCTTTTTACTCCTAGGCACCTGATCCCACCTCTGGAATTTCCAAGGGTCCGTGCTTTATGCCAATCTGATTAAAATCAGATCCTTTGATCCGCTCACATAGATCGCTGCCTTGTGTAGAAATCTATTGAACGGATCAAAGGATCTGATTTTAATCAGATTGTGCTTTATGCCCTATTCACAGATTTTTTTTATGGCGAGAGCACAGGCACTTGTTTCGGTAATAAATTTTTAACCCATAGTATAATAATAACATTATTATACTATGGGTTAAAAATTTATTACCGAAACAAGTGCCTGTGGGCGAGAGAGATCGAGAGACACCGGGTGTTATCTTCACCCACTGATTTCAGTTTGTACAAAAATGAATTTGACGTTCCATATAAATAATCAATCGTATCTTAATTAAGCCTTCATAGATTTACCCCCCCCCCCCCCCCAATAACAATAACTCGCATATTGTTTTTGTTCCGGAAATGTTTGTGTCTTTCGTCAATGCTTTAACTACTATAATTTACTTTCGCTTTGACTGCAATAATGAATAAAAAATGAAAAGATGAATAAAGAAGAAAAGGAAACAATTCGAACCAACAGACGATACATAAAGGATAACGTGTTCAACATCAACGATGTGGCAGACAAGCTGTATGAATATGAAATCTTGTCCTTGGAGAACAAAGAAACTATCGCGGTAATGTGTGACAGGTGTAGCTTGTCCGATCATAGGAGGACTTCGGCAGTTTTATCCATAAAACAACGAAAACAACAACCAGTGAGCTTCGCGAACGTAGCGTTGTTGTTTATCTTGCTTAATGGATAAAACTGCCGACTCCTGTTGTCCGATGAATCTATTGTTACTACAAGTTTGGCTTTCTAGAAAGCTAGAAATGTCATCTCTTTGGTTTCATTTATGTCACAGAATAAGAAGTGGAATATTTCATAATTTTCAAGGAATAACTGGGAAAACTTTATTGATTTAAAAGAGTTTTTTTTTTTTTTTTGAGGAAAATGACTGTAGAAGAAATTTTAACCAGTCATTCATAGAAGTTAAATTGTTATGACGATGATGACAGAAGACTGCTAAAAACTTAGCGTTTCTTTTTCCTTCATTCTTCAGCCGCCTAGAAGTTTAAAACCCTTATTTATTTAATTTTCCTCAGTGTCTTTCCAAACTCTTTTCAAAGTGACTTAGCCAATCAGCCACTGGGGATATCAAGGCAAAAATGAGCCCTCCACACACTTCTACCCAATTTAAATTTTAACGCTATACATGTATATCATATAAGTACATGTTCATGCTAAAGCTGCAGTAATTAAAAATAGAAGCACATCCTAGATATATACTAGGCATTATTCAGTTATATACTCATTGAATTATATATAGAACATTTGACGGAACCTTAGAATATTAAGGGGGTCGGTCATAAATACCCTGTATGTGATCAAAAGCTCAGAATTAAGATTAAGTCCAGTTTAAGGCAGTGTTCATTTCATTAGCTTGAACATGAAGGACAAATAAAACCTTATTGGGCTGTAGTAGTTAAAAATTTTATATGATGTGCAAAATTGTCCCCAGGAATTCGTCCTATTTTCCATTTTGGAGGGTAACTGTTGAATAATTTTGTAATTTTTAAGTAATAATTATTTAAGTTATGGAGCCATCATTTCTTTATTTTTTTATAAGTTGCTTGTAATTTTGAGGCACTCCCCATTTGAACTAGTAAATGTAAATATTTGTACATGTATCATACTATATACACAACTATGACAGAAATAATTAGGCCTATCAGTCGAGATACTTGTACACATATAATAGCAGATATGGAACATGGATACATGCAGGCCCTTACAGAAATTTCCGTAAGTGACTTATAAGTGTTTTATTCTTTTACTTATAAGTTGTTTATACTGGACTTATACTTCACTGATACATTTAACTTATGAGTGACTGATAAGTGACTCATTAGGATTTTATATGCAAATGAGGTGCTTGACTTATAAGTGACTTATAAGCCAAGTATTAGCCACTTTTGCTTTATGCAAGTATAGTCACTTATAAGTGACTTATTAGTCAAGTATTAGCCCTTCATACTTTGTCAAGTATGAGTCACTTATAAGTGAACTACAGCACTGCCTTGAAGACCTTAATTTAGAACAGAACTTCCAATCATGCAGGGGTTGCATGATGTTCAAAGTTTTTTTTTTTTTTTAAATATGCATCTGCACTAAGATGAAATAATCAAGTTAACATTTTATGAAAAAAAATTCCCCCTCATATGACATTCTTTGATGATGCAAACTTTAAATATTATTTCAGTTTACAAACAAAAATGTTGGACAAAAAGAAATCAGTTAAGATTTAATGACCTTGAGGTTTCTTCAAATTTATGAAATCTGAAAGCAACTGAGTCAATTGATTCAAAATTTCAGGCAAAGGAAGTTAAAATAAAAAGATGATGTGAATAGAACCTACTTGTTGAACCTGATGTGAAGGCATACTCAGAATAAATTTGAAATCTCCAACAACATCCTTTCACAGAGACTAACTTAGTTTCAAATTCTTGTTGTTTATCTCTGCAGAGACAAAGTTCCTGATTGATTAACTTGAATACCCACAATGCAACTCAGGAGAAGTCTAGTATAATGTAAAAATTCTAAGTCCACACTTATTCTGGCTAATACCATACTGATCTTCACTTATAAGTGAAGTATAAGTGAAATATTCACAGATATGTGGCTAATCTTCACTTATAAGTGAAGTATTAACAAAATCTGTTCCTCACTTATACTTACTTTCACTTATAGTACACTTATAAGTAAATTTCAAAACTTATAGGTGGCTTATAAGTTGCTTATAAGTGAAGTATAAAACACTTATAAGTTTCTATTGGTTTTTTTTGTAAAGGGGCTATTAAATAAAAAGATAAATATGAAATCCAGAAATTGTTAGATTTAAAGGTAGAGATTGCTACCGGTAATTTTTCCAGTTGGGTGAATTGACCAAGGAGCCAGTTGTCTTAGGGCAACTCATCTGGCACTCTGCAAGCAGTAAATTCTGGTTTAATTTAACTTCTCTTAAATCAACTAATGATTCTTCTGTGTGGACCTCAGTGTCCACACAATAATTACCATTAAGATAGAACATGTGCATATGGTTCTTCTAATCAGTTCATAATGTAGAACTATAAAACAATTGCCGGTCTTCATTTATCAGACCACCAGTTAAAGAATGTCACTAGAACTTCACTTCCGGCTTACAAACTTAATTTGTCATCTCCTAAGGGAGATGACAATAAAACAACAATACTTAGTATCATTTCATATATAGCTCATATAAATTTTATAGTATGATCAACATTAGGTTCATTCAATAAATTTATATGAGCTGTGATCATAAGTGATAATGTTTTTTCAACATTAGATTATATGTGTTTTTTTATCTGAAGTAATTCTTTATAAAAAGAAGGTAGTAGCCAGTAGGCCTAATTTGTGGTTTATTGTTGTTGATTTACTCGCAGTCACAGCCTGTTGACAGAAGAGCCTTTGAGTTGCTGGATATTGTGGTAAAGAGAGGACAGAAAGCTTTCCCAGGTCTAATTGAGGCCCTCAGGGACACAGAAAACCAGGAAGTGGCAGATCGATTGGAGGGAAAATCAGGAGCAACAAACAACACAAACTATACAAGTACTTATATAGAAATGCCCTGATCACAGGAAGCGTTTAATTCAAATTAAACCTAAGTTACTGTGAATTAAATTTGAAATGCATTCACAAGGAGAATTTAAAGTCATATATGGCGTAATTTTTATAAGTTCAGACTAACTAAAATTAAAAAGATCTTTCTATTTGTTTTATTACTTTATATAAAGATAGGACTTTCCTGTAAATTACACAATTCAAATCAATCACGTTTCAAAGATATTAGAAATTTAAAACAATAACCGATATATTTACTGACTCCGCATTTAAATAACAGACACTGTTTAAAATCAATATAACTATGGAAACATGAGGTTATTTAAGTTTAAAATCGGTGAAAATTTTAATTTGAACTTAAATAACATATATCATGTTTATCTACACTCAATCTCATATTTTTTGGCTCAGATGTGCCATATATAGCTTTAACACAAATTAGTTTAATTCGAATTAATTTACTGAGCATCAGATTGCTTCATATTAACTCCGTGTGAAAGCTAAGCCAAGCTAGTTCAAATTCAATTTTGACATATAATAGCAAAATTAAGCCACATGCCACATTTCCGTGGTCAGATATAAGTACTTATGCTATTTTTGAGTAAGAAATAAAGGGAAATTAAGTTTATGTCTAAAAAAGTGTACAGGCATAATGACATTATGTCAGATATATATCTGCTCTGCATAAGGTGACATGATTTGTAAATGACATCATAATAGCCTTACTGTAGAAATAAAATTTTAATATGCATTAGTTTACTTCACATTAACTCTCCTGTGGATGAAATTTAATTCACATTAGTTTATTTCGCATTATTTTACTTCTCATTAATTTACTGGAAATTATATATTTAACATGTTTAATGTGCATTTGTGTGAATAGGGCATAATAACATAAACTATACTAGAAACATCACAATAATACAAGTAGAAAATAACAATACAAGCTGTAAACAAATATACAGCATGTTATACAGTAAAAACACAAACTATACAAGTAAATTTATCCTGCCTCTGATAAAAATCTTGAAATTTCATTGGTCGAGAACAATACTGTATCAAAGCAATACATACTGCCTACCCACATAAAATTGTTAATGTGCCTCCTCCACTTGACCTACCCATTACAAATCAAATCAATATGCCCCCTCCACATGCCATTCTGTCCAGATCTATTCAACATGTTTTCAATTGAACACACAAGGAGCCTTATAACTGACATCACATAAGCATCAAATGACGTCACAATGTAAACAATTGTTATGGAATGGTTTGCTTGACTTGGAGAAAATGAACTTTATCAAAAAATCTTTGACAGGATAAATTCGTTATGTAGACACTTAGAGGGGTAATACAGAAATATATGGATGTGAATTTTGTGTTCATATTGTTCACATTACGTTACATCAGCCATTTTATGACAGACTAATGGCCAGGTACTGTACATAGGTTTTTTGATGAGCAACAGTATTTTCACCTAAATTCCAGTATTTTCAAGGCTCCTGTATAAAAATTATCACATTTATATGTAATGACTTTACAGTGTTCTCTGTTAAATAAAGCTGCCCAAAGCTATTTTACCCAGGGTTGACCATGAATGTATACATTGAGATGCCTTTAATTACTTGGAACACCCAAATTTGAATTCCCCATTGAGGGTGAAAGATGGCAATATTAATATATGGACAAAAGTTCCTATTTTATCATCATAACTGGATTATCTTTGGTTTTAGACTTTTCTGTGAGCATGGTAAATAAGAGTGGAAATTCTGTGACAAGATCTGAAGAATCAACAAAGTCAACAGATTCAGCAATCCGATATGAAGGACCCCCCGGATCCCAAAGTCATCCCCCTGCAGCAGGCTTAAACAAGCCAGACGGTACAAAGATTTATTGTGTATTAACATGTTTTTCTTGAGAAAATCCATTGTGCTTACAACTTACTCTCACACATGAATCAGACTGAGTGTCACTGCTAAATGTGTGATATTCAGAACACTTTGCTGGAAGCTTAATTAAATTAGCATAGAAATTATAGCTGCATGTGAACTAGTTATTTGTGAACTAGTTATTTATGAACTAGTTATTTGGTAACTAAGAAAAAAAGTATATTATAAGATATTTATTCATTCTTATTTATATTAACATAATGTTGGTATTTATAAACTGTGCCTAACATCTCAAACAGATGGGTCTTTTAGAAATTGACTAATCAATTTAAAGTAACTACTGTTACAGTATATGCTCGCCCATAAGTCGGTCCGCCTATAAGTAGGTTGTATTTTTTAAAGTTTAAATTAGAGTAATTGACCTGCTAAATTACCAATCTTTTTATAACTCGCATATAATTCGGATAAAGAGTTTTGGACCAAAGTTTAACTCAAAAAAACGACTTATAGGCGAATATATACAGTAGATAGTACATGTATATCTTTACTGATAAGAAAGGAAATAGAAATGTTGTATTTTATGGTGTGTGTATAATTTTTTTTTAACAGTTGAGTGGATGAATCAAGTAGAACTTACAAAACTGAATGAAAACCAGACTCCAACTGATCCCAAATTTGTGTTGGAAATGAAAAAATGTCACGGTGAAAATGTTAGTTTTGTCTCAGATTATTCTCATATTGTGACTCCTTACAACATGTACAATGTTAAGATTCTATGGATAATATGTAGTATTCAATGCAGTACATCATTTTTACAAAACAAAGCATACATGTATAAGACAACACAACCTCCAAACAGGCAGAGAACATTAGCTGTTCTGTTTACATCAGACCTTAAGCCAACAAAAAAAGAGACAAAGATCTTGTAGAAATTGTACCTAAGAAATGATTAGAAGTTATCTTCTCTAATTGTACATTCATTTCAGAATGATAGTTGCCCATTTCTGAAAACAGCAAAACATTTCAAAGTTTTTTTTTCCTTTTCGTCATTTTTTTTGGACTTATTAAGCTCAAAAAACTAACTGACACTGACAGAGGAACATATGCAATATATTCATATATGGGGTGGACAAAATGTATTCACAAAAGCACATATACAGTGTAATGCATTCTTTATTAGCTGATATACTTATCATATAAAAATTTTGCATGATGATTTATCAAATTGAATATAACCAAGACACATGGACCCACAGATTCTATGCTCATAGGTAAATGAAATCTTCAAAAATGGGACATTAAAATTTTCAGAAATGTCCACATGCACATTTTCACACATTTTTTAAAAATGTCCTCACCCAGTGTAAAAATCAGATTTAATCAGTAGTTTGTGTTACATAAGAAAGTTATATATGATATTTATTATAAACAGATTAACTGAAATTCAATAAAATACCTTGCCAAATGAATGAAAATATACCAATTCATTATTTATTATTATAAAAAACTTTTTAGATTTTTATGTGATTTATTTAACAAGTAAGGCATGCGGTGGACTTATATTCTTCAGCTATACAATTTGAACATGGCTAAGCGTGGGATATGCATGATCATTGATAATATTCCTAGCGACTTTTGTATTGCTGGTGAGTGTCATCATGGTGTAGTGGATGCTGGTAAAACACTTATACGACAGACCCTGAAACTCTGTGGTTTTAAAGATGTTAACTTCTCCAGGAACACTGGAACCACAAAGGTTAGTTATATAAGCAGGTACCCCTTCTTTGTTCTGAATGGCTATTTGCATACCTGTATATATCAAATGACATCATTTTTTTAATTATCCACCTAATAAAATCAGTCGTGATATAAGTGACTATATTCCCATTGAAATTCAAAACTTGTTTCTTGGTAATTTTACATCCCATTCATGTGTAGGAGAATGTTTCTGTAATATGCCAACTGATATACCTCATTGCTCTGCATTTCAGATGATTAAAGAGAAGATACTGAAAGAAATGAAAAAGTTGAGTCACTCTGAATATTCATCATTTTTTGTCATCTGTGTGACAACAGGTCCTAATCCGGGTTTCATTTATGGTAAAGATGGAGAGAGTGATCGCATGACCATTAAAGAACTACAGGATGTGATGTCACAATGTGAAGAGTTCCAAAACAAGCCAAAAGTATTACTGGTTCATACTGTTCCAAAGTCTAGCTGTAAGTATTAAAGGTATAATGTAAAGGAAGGCATACCGGTATCTTGCTGAAAACTTACTACAGTAAAAACCATTATTTACTCTTAATTTTATGAATTGGTCAGAAAATCTCTTTGTGACATTTCATAAATCCCTCTAATGCTTTTTCTACATGTACATCACATGTCAAATATTTATGAGTGTATAGGACAATCCTGAACTTCATGAAAATATTTCTCATTCAATCTGGATTAGTACAAGGTTTACAACATTAGAAATTGTATGTATAGACTCATTTGTATGTGAAAGATTTTCTTTTATAGTACAGTGTAGTCACAGTACTAGTTTGGCTGAAAATCAGGGTCAGAAGTTAACGGAATCTATGCAGCATCTGTCATTGGAGGGGGAGGTCTCAAGTTCAGTCAATGATAGAAATATGTTTGCTGTTTCAGCAGAACTGCAACCAGGTAGTCATGAAGATTCATGTAAATGAAGTTAAAAAAGCGTTTATTGTTAGTTGGTGAGATTTTCTTTAAAAAAAAAGCATATTGACCTTGAAGTACTGATACACTAATAATGAAAATGTCTGACAAAGTAAATATGTATAATTATGTGTTCATTTTGTATTGTGTAGGTATCAGCTTTTTGGTTAGAATAAAGGGGAAAACTGGAGCTTATTTTAGCAATGCCTTGGTCTATGTCTTGCTGAAGTATGCTGGAAACAAGTCCTTCCTTGAACTGATCTCTGAGGTATGTCAAACTTTTACAGAAAATATGTGGTGGGTTGAAGCTAGCTGTCAACAATCTGAGAAATTCTTTTGTTAGAGCTTATTTCTTGCAATGTTTGAGACTTTTTAATTTAAGATGGACAAGCTTCTGGGATCATGTGAAGATGAAGGATTAGACAATGTGGATGCCAATCCATATAATGAAAAAGTTCATCGGAGTATTCGAGTGGCCAAGCTTAAAGTCCTGACAAAGCCAGAGAAAGAACTCTTTTTCTTTCCTCTGTATGAGGACACAGGTCAGTATGGACTGCTAGATATATAGAATCTGTATAGAACATCTCTATGTCAAGATATTCAGAGTCTGTATAGAACATCTCTATGTCTAGATATACAGTCTGTATAAAACATCTCTATGTCTAGATATACAGAGTCTGTATAGAACATCTCTATATCTAGATATACAGAGTCTGTATAGAACATCTCTATATCTAGATATACAGAGTCTGTATGGAACATCTCTATGATTTAGATATACAGAGTCTGTATAGAACATCTATCTGATTAGATATACAGAGACTGTATAGAACATCTCTCTGTTTAGATATACAGAGACTGTATAGAACATCTCTATGTTTAGATATACAGAGTCTTAATAGAACATCTCTATGATTAGATATACAGAGTCTGTATAGAACATCTCTATGATTTAGATATACAGAGTCTGTATAGAACATCTATCTGATTAGATATACAGAGTCTGTATAGAACATCTCTATGTTTAGATATACAGAGACTGTATAGAACATCTCTATGTTTAGATATACAGAGTCTTAATAGAACATCTCTATGATTAGATATACAGAGACTGTATAGAACATCTCTATGATTAGATATACAGAGTCTGTATAGAACATCTCTATGATTAGATATACAGAGTCTGTATAGAACATCTCTATGTTTAGATAAACAGAGTTTGTATGGAACATCTCTATGATTAGATATACAGATTCTGTATAGAACACCTCTATGTGTAGATTGAAGCAAATCAAGGCAGGGGGTTTGGAGCCACCTTAAGGCCCCCAATGGGTCTGGAGCAAAGCCCTGGTGGGGGTTCAGGGGGCCAAGTCCCCAGAAGATGGCGAGTTTTTAGCATTTCTGACACTTAATTTTGAGTATCCAGAAAAGAGAGTTACATTAAAATAATCAGAGTTTCAACATTTAAAATGCTTATTTCCTCATTATGAAATTAACGATAAAAAAGAAAAAAGAATTGGGGATTTATGATGGAATTTAAATTTTGTTTATCATTATTATTTTTTGTGAAAATGATGTGGAAGAACTTGCATACTCGTGTCTTAATTTAGGTTTACCTGTATTTCAGGAATGCAGGTTTCCAGTTAGTCATGCAGAACACTTTTTAACTCACAACTGAAACACTCCATGGAATTGATAGAACCATGACTTCAAAGGCTGGGAGACACAACTACCAAGTTACCATTCAGACTATGATTGTATTACACTGTTGTTTTATTTTTGGGATTGCTGCAGTCCATCATTATAGTAGATTCCTCCCAGTGTATCATACAAAAGTAATCATTTGTATGCATATGAAGTGATGGGCTTCTTTACTATGCACGGATAACTTTGTGTAAGGAGTGTTCTGTAATGACTAAAATATGTCCTTAAAATCAAGCTTTGATAGAGAATTCTATAATTATGTTTTAGGCCAGGGGGATTTTTCTGCAGACTATAAAGCATTGCCAATTTTCATCAGTCATGATGTCTTATGTTCAAAATGATGTAAAGAAATTGACATCAATTCAAATTTTTCAGTGATTTTGAGAGAAAATGAGTGCAGGTCAGCTTCAAGTGGATCTTTGATATACAATTTGTAATGTGTAGAATGATAATGTCAATGAAATGTATGAATATTGTACAAAGCAGGTTTGCGCTCTGTGAATTCTACGGTAAATATTGAACAAATTTTGTCCATTTTTCCCTCTTTCCTAAATATGATGGAAAATCCAAATAGTTTGTGATGTCACAAAAACAAAAATCTAATATAAATCTACTTCCAAACTACATTATTTTGTTAATTCACATTTTTTTTTTACAGAATATGTTCAATTGTGTATATTTCTTTATAGAATTTTTTTTTGTTTTGAGTAAAACTACGGTACTATATACATGTACCTGGAAATTTTTGCCCCTGTTTTGTTTTAGCCCCTTTTGCCTTCATTGTTAGTGGGTAAATTTCAAATGGGGCAAATTCAGAGACAGAGTTATCTCTCCTTTGAGACAACTATGTTAGGGGGAATTTAAAACGGGACAAAATTGTTTGTGTGTGTCAGGGCATATTTAGCATTGAGTGAAAATAACCCTGAATACAGTAACTATACTTGTATTTTACCTTTAGTTTATTGGTGAAAATTCAATTAGATTTAATATGAGCTAGATTATTGACTGTTCTATACTGCCTTTGCCATTTATGCCACAAATTCAACATCTGAATGTTACACTTCTTGAATTTTTTCCTTTGAAAGGAATACTTGTTCCTCTTGAAGTATAACAAGCTACAAATTATTAACATATTTCAGTTGATCAGTCATCACATTGATATTTTGAATACCATGGATGTATCAAATTGAGTTGTAAGTCCCAACCACTTTTTCTTACGTATTGTGGTGGTCAGACGGGTGCATTTTTCTCCTCTCCCATTACAGTATTTTAACCTCAGTATCAGATATAACAAAGTTTTTTTCTTGGCCCCATTGAGTTCAAGATTATGGATCGAGTTTGACTGTAATTATTTATTCACTCATTATTCATGTGGTAGCTGGTCACACAAAATAAACAGCAGTCAGTGTCTAGATTGCTTGTGATTCATGGTGTCAATAATGTTGATGCAATAGTGTACAGGTCCCAGACATACATGTACTGTTTATGTATAATTACAGTGAAAACTTCTAATCTGGTACCTGTGCAATCCATTTCACTGTGAATTCTAAAACTTATGTAAATTCCTATTTCACTGTTTTCTTTGTTCTTAACACTGTGTAATCTGACACCCTGTCTATTCCGACACAGATTTGTCTCCCAATGCATGTTGGATTAGACAGGTTTCACTGTACATGGTTATTGCTTCATGACTCTCAGTGAAGTTTTACATTAGCCTCTATAATCTGTTAAGGTGTGTCCCTCTTCAGACTTTTGATTCACATATTAGACAGTTTCAAATATGCAAACAAATTGATTGCCATAAATATTCTATTTTCAGTTACTCTGCAAAATCTAATTGAAATTACATTGAAAGTGATATTTTTTTACTTGAAAGCTTGAAAACAATCACTAGAATATTTGTCCAATCAAATTTCAAAACAAAGGTAAATGCTGAATATCTTATATCAGATCTTATAAACTAATTAATATTTCCTAGGTAAAATTTGCATCTTAAGTTAATTCTGAGAGAGTTGTGCAGTGTCTGTCAATTTAATGTTAAATTATTGGTAAATGTTACAGTCACCATTTCTATTTTTGGCATGATAAATGTAAATTGAAGTTCAGACTTTGTCAAATGCCAGGAGAAGCAACTGATTGTGTTCACTATCACTTTTACAAATGTAATTTCTTTGTGATTTTAATAAAGTAGCTCATGATGGAGGCGCACAGAGATATGACTATCCGTATGACTTGTGATACTCTCTGTTTATTTACATGTTATATTCTTTAATAAAAATAAAATTTAATATGTAATTTGATTGTTTTAACTATACATTTACCAATAATTTAAAAATTTACTTTATTGCAAAAGAGAGGAATGGAACCCTTCAATTTAGAATTAAGCTGTCAAAAAGAGACACAAAGAGGTCTCTGTGATTGAGACTTGGGAAGCATTTGACCAGGGAAATGGGAGACAGACTTCCAGAGATTTTGAAGCATTTTATAAGAAAAGACTAGTGGCTACCTTTATTCTTATTATTTTAAATACATGCATCCAAAAAATTCGAAGTCTAGTACAGAAACTATAAAGCAGTTCCAGGAAAATGTGAGAAGTTTAGAACTGCTCTTAAATTCTATGGAATCAAACAATTTCACTAGCTAGTAAGGACCTGTGCATTCATAACTTTATAGAGTGAGAATGATATCAAATAAGGGGACGACCATTTGATTGGGGGGGGGGGGATTTTTAGAGTCAGATTATTTAATTTCATGCCAGTCAAGGACAGATTATTTATTTTCAAGATGATCAAGGACAGTTTATTTATTTTCTTCTTCACTGAAAAAGTTAGAGAAGCACATGAAAGAAAAATACCTAAATTCCAAAATTCTATTTCATGATTGGGGGGGGGGGGGGTACTAGCCAATGACAGATTTATTTTCTTGTCGGTTAAGGACAGCTTGTTTATTTTCAACATTTTTGAGGACAGATTTATTCCCAAAATCTGCTATCCCTCCTCAGAATCAAATGGTCGTCCCCTAAGAAATTAAGCTGACAACAGCTGTACAATACTTGTTTATATTTGCAAAATGTCGGAGACAAATTTCAAAGTTTTTTATGACCATCCCCCCCCCCCTTTTGCACACATCTGTACATTTGAATTTCATGCTTTGAAAAAAATGCGGAAATTTGTCCAGATAAGATAATTACTTAATTGCTATAGTCTATATCAAAGGTTGGAGTGTGATAAGGATATTTGTCTAAATCTAAATTATCAACTTCTGAGTTCATCATGTTCATCTTAATTCAGTTGGGTTAGACAAGTTTGAATTTATTCTTTTAAATATATATTATAGGATATTGGTAAAATATAGGTTATAAGTTAATTATATATAAGTTAACGTTTCAAAATTTATTCTTTAAAATATATTTTATAAGGCATTTTGTAAAATATAGGTAATTCCAGGTAAACCCCAGAAGGAGATCAGACTATAATTGCTATCAAAACATATTTCACACCGATTGTTAATTGTCCTCATGTACCAGATATGATTGAATAAATGAACTTGAACACCCTCTGACCAGACACGAACAAATATATTTAATCTCCTAGAGTAGACCAGGGACCTATAATATACTAATAGTATATAGGTCCCTGAGTAGACATAATGTACAAATTGAAAATGTTAGAAGCACTTTTGTATTATGCTGGGGACCGGTTAATATGTATCTGCATGCTTTCAAATATCTACAAGAATTGTGTCACAGTGAATTACTCCCATGAGTACTAGTAGTACTTTGATTGTGTTCCAATACACTGGCAATGCACTTAGAGTCAGTCTCTTATTCGTAAAGATTTAATGCATATTTAAACAGATTTTCCTGAAATAATGGCGTAAAAATGTGAAATAATTGCTTATAAATTGGTTAGTTACATTAATAATTATTTGTACGGTATTAATTTTGAACTTATTCAAGGTAGCGTGGCCGAGCGGTCTAAGGCGCTGGTTTAAGGCACCAGTCTCTTCGGAGGCGTGGGTTCGAATCCCACCGCTGCCAGGAGCTTTTTTTTTTTTTTTTTTGTCTTTGAATACCCAATTCTTGTTTTCTTAATTAAATGGTTTAATTATCTACTTATTTCATCTTACCTTATAGAAGGTTTAAAAGAATTTTCTTTCCGTATTGGGGGGAGGGCAGTATTTAGTGGAAGCTAAAAATTAACCTCAAATTAGTTATCAATAAATTCATTTTCTTTAAAATTGCAAAGAAATTCAATATTCATGATGTAATACCTTTATTCGTTTTTTTTTTGTTTTTTGTTTTTTTTTTTTGTTTTTTGTTTGTTTGTTTGTTTGGGGTTTTTTTTTTTGAAAATCTTAAATAATTGATTCAAGTTAAATAACTTTTCCAATTGAATTATAATTATCTGGTATAAGCATTCAAATTTTTCTTTCACAATGCTTTGTATTTACCTATTTTCAAAAAGTCTGTTAAATTAATTATGTATTCTGACTATATGATGTGGTCTGTGATAAAAAGAGTTGATCATTTTACTTCTGGACACTGCAGAACTAATGCTTCAATTTCTTGCTGTGTTCTCAAGTTTTTACAAGAAAATAAATATATTTTAATGGGTTTTTTTCTCTGATCTCATCATCAGGATTCTTCTTTTCATCATCCTGAAAACAGATATTGGTGAATGACATTCACAGTACAACTGCATCCATCACTTCAGTTCAACATTTTGTTCATTACAATGTAGCACTTTGATCTGTAGGAATTAAAAATTTGATACATTTTGACTCATAGGAATTTGATACACTTTGACCCATAGGCATTTGACCCTTCAGGTATCCTATAGGCTAGGTATTAAGAAATGTTCAGTGGATGTTAATGCTTTTGATGAGAAGTCAACTGTTGATTATGTTAAATGGTTCTTTCGGTCTTAGGTAAATTCAGATTTGTATAATATCTGACCCCTTTACATTGCCAGTGTAATCTTTCATTTAATCATATTTTTAAAGACTAAAGAAGAAGGGAAAAAATTTACATCTTTAAAAATGTCAGAATTTTTTTTATGTTATGCTGTCATATTTGACACTATAAAAATCATGAAAATTTGGATGTCTCTGTATCAAACTCCTAGGGTCAGTGTATCAAATTCCTATGGGTCAAAGTGTATCAAATTTTTACTTCCTACAGGTCAAAGTGTATCAAACTCCTAGCTATAGGGTCAAAGTGTACCAAACTCCTAGGGTCAAAGTATATCAAACTCCTACAGGTCAAAGTGTACCAAACTCCTACAGGTCAAAGTATATCAAACTCCTACAGGTCAAAGTGTACCAAACTCCTACAGGTCAAAGTCTATCAAACTCCTACAGTTTAAAGTCTATCAAACTCCTACATGTCAAAAAGTATCAAACTCCTACAGGTCAAAGTCTATCAAACTCTTATGGGTCAAAGTCTATTAAACTCCTACAGGTCAAAGTATATCAAACTCCTACAGGTCAAAGTGGACCAAACTCCTACAGGTCAAAATCTGTCAAACTCCTACAGGTCAAAGTATATCAAACTCCTACAGGTCAATGTGTACCAAACTCCTACAGGTCAAAGTCTATCAAACTCCTACAGGCCAAAGTCTATCAAACTCCTACATGTCAAAGTGTACCAAACTCCTACAGGTCAAAGTCTATCAAACTCCTACAGGTCAAAGTCTATCAAACTCTTATGGGTCAAAGTGTATCAAACTCCTACAGGTCAAAGTCCATCAAACTCCTATGGGTCAAAGTCTATCAAACTCCTACAGGTCAAAGTCTATCAAACTCTTATGGGTCAAAGTCTATCAAACTCCTACAGGTCAAAGTCTATCAATCTCCTACAGGTCAAAGTCTATCAAACTCCTACAGGTCAAAGTATATCAAACTCCTACAGGTCAAAGTATATCAAACTCCTACAGGTCAAAGTATATCAAACTCCTACAGGTCAAAGTGTACCAAACTCCTACAGGTCAAAGTCTATCAAAACTCCAACAGGTCAAAGTCTATCAAACTCCTACAGGTCAAAGTGTATCAAACTCCTACAGGTCAAAGTGTATCAAACTCCTACAGGTCAAAGTGTATCAAACTCCTATGGGTCAAAGTGTATCAAACTCCTACAGGTCAAAGTATATCAAACTCCTACAGGTCAAAGTGCACAACAATGCATCAAAGGAAATAAGAACAGGATATAATTACTGCAAGGATATAATAACTTACTTGTATCAGAGTTTGAAAATTTAATACCTCACAGTATACATGTATATATTACAACCTAAAATTAGTTGTAAAGTTATAAAAATTGGATAAGATCAAATAAAAAGAAATTCATCCCAAATTTAAATACTGAATATTAATAATTTAATGATCTGTATTGCACAGATTAGATCTTTTTAGATATACATGCATAACAATCAGAGAACAAGCTCTATAACTGTGTAAACTATCTTTTATTTATATTTTCATTACCCAGTATAAAAAATTAACAATGCCAGATTGTTTCTTAGCAGTAAAACAAAATTTATAGAATCAAAAGTGCCAAAATTTAATACAACTTAATTATACTATATATATTTCAACATCATTTAAATTTTGATAATTAATGAGAACATGAACTTCATGTTAGCACATTTCATGAAGCACATTATTGCTTCAGCTAATAAATATGCCAGCGTGAAGTTCAAAAATTAAATTTATATCTATTTGCATTTGATGATTAACCACAGACTGCCATCCATGTGAGTTCATGAGTAATGAATGCATTCCTATTTGTAAAGAATCTTGAGGGAAAGTTTTTTGAAATGTATATAATTTATATGGCTCATATATAATGAGCCAAAATCAAAATAAACAAGAGATGTAAATTTTAAATACTGGAGTAAACGTATGATTTTATGAGCATTGCAATAAACACAAAGAAACTTCTTCAATTTATCAGAAAAGTGAAAAAAATACATCTATGGACACAATTTATATGCATTGGGACTTTCTCAATTAATCTGAGCAGATGCAGTCGATCATTACATGACCATTATAACAGTACATAGACGAAAAATATCAATACATCACAACATAAACCAGTATTTTCTCGGTCTGTGCTTTTTAACACTTCTTGTAAACCACAGAAAAACAGTACAACTCTATGTTCATACATTAACATTATGATACAAATTCAATATAAAAGAATTGAGCAGAACTGCAATTAATGCTAATTAAAGCATAAATACTTGTGCAGATTTTCTTCTCCTTTAATCAGTTATAAACAATAACATTTTTTTCCTAGAAAATGCAGTCTAATGTATGCAGTACATGTACAAAATTATACTTGTTAAATACATATGGCATCCACACAAAGTAAATTATTCAAAATTGCAGATTTTCAAAGAGATTTACTCATATTCCAAATTAAATCCTATTTAGTGAGACTATGATATTTAAATGTTTTGGCATTATTCAATAATAAAATACATGAAAGTATAATTATGTTAAAATATATGAGACAGACCTATAATCCAGAATACAGTCATAATTTACTAGTACCATACTTTATTGCATTGGAAATTGATTCCTTTGGTCTCTTAAAACCAATAAAATACTATAATAACCAATAATTATTTGCATGGCTGTGGAGGTGGGGTGGGGGCTGTTCCTGAATATATAGTATACCATAGAAAACAAACCTACTTTATGGATGTGCCCCTTAATAAAAAATTAGATTTTTTTTTTCGTTTTGTTTTGTTCTGTTTTTTGTTCTGTTTTTGTTGTTGTTGTTTTTTTTGTTTTGTTTTTGCTTGTCAAGGAAGTTTTGCTTGGTAGTGCCACTCAAACTGAAAATATTTGGTTGTCCCTTGTCCCTCCCCCCCCCCCCCCCCCCCCAAGAAAGATCAATATAATGCCCCTATCATACAACATCTCATTTAGTAATGTTCACTTTTCATTTACTAGGATACTGTTACAAGACAATGCTAACTGAGATCCACAACGTGAAATAAAATATACAGAGGTTTATTGGGTTATTAGATATCAGCCCTGGAAATTGAACAATAGGCATTTAATACAAGATCTCTATAGGAAAATAAAAAGCACATGGAATCACATATCAACACACCCAGAAGGGGAGATAACTTAGCATTCTGATGAGCTATACATATGACTAGTAAGTGTAAATTACAACAACAACAAAAAATACTTCACCTCATAGATTAGATATGAGTGTAATTATAAAATAAAAAAGAGAGATACATGTATAACAGAACAACAAATGGAATATATATCAAAAGAAATACATGTAAAATACATGTAATTTAACATTCTCTGTATATATAATAATTGTACCTGTAATTTAACAAGCTTTGTACATATAATAATTATACAACCTTTTACTAATAACATATGGTGGAGGGAGATCACAAAACTGAGTGATATGTAATGGAAATTCTACTTTAACATTATACCCTCTCAGAGAATCATTGCTATAGAAATATTTACAATAAATAACAATAAATACCTCCAACTTATCCCTTATTCAGAACCAAGCAATGTACCCTGTGTTAAAGTTTGTAGACTTCATACTGAGAACCATATACATGAAACTATGTAAACATAATGTAAAATATTTACAGGAAAAGATCACATCACAGTCATTTCAGTTACAAATTAATTTTTACAATCATGAATGCTAAACAAATTAAAGCTTGTCAGTTTTGGTATATATCTTAACAATGACAGTTATAGTATCAAAAAAAAATGACTTAGTACAATGTAGGCACAGCCATTATAATGAAGTCTTAAACTAATTACAGCAGATTTATGACTTCAAATTACAAATTTAAAAAAAAAATTATTTCCCTAATCTATTCCTATTCTATTATGAATATTCCCAAAATTAATCTGTATTCAAATAAATATGACCATATATCTTTGTAATTCTACCTAAAACTACACACATATTTATCCTTAAAGTTTTTTTTAATAGCACTGAAGAGTAATAATTATCAAAGTTGAGTCTTTCTATAAATATCAAATACAGTTGAACTACGGTATCTCGAACACGGATATCTCGAATACCATGGATATGTCGAAGTGAATGGAAAGTCCTACCCACATACTTCTTAAATATTCTACCCTTGATATCTCGAACCCTCCGATATCTCGCAGATTTTTCTCGGTCCCCATTAAATCGAGATAACATGGTTTGACTGTATTTATCTTATTCTTATATATTCTTATATTATTCTATCAGCAACAAAAGTGCTGACTAACATAAATACATAAATTGAATTTTTCTAGTTGAGGGTATAATAAACTTATGAGGAATCCTCCATTAGACTATTACATTTGTGACATTTATAAAAATAATTCTTTTTGTGCAAGTTTTCAATGATATGTAAATTAGATCACTGAGTTCTGGCAACATCACCAAATTCTGCACAACTGTTGTCTGGCAATCTGTTAGGAAACAATGGGTTAAAACGATTATCATCCTGAATTTTCTCTGCTAGTTCGATATGCTCATGATTACATAAGATGTTTGATAGTTTCTGGAGATCAAAAGAACACAGATCGGTCTGTTGACTGAAACTCTGAAGGCAGCAGTAAATCTGTTCCCTTACGTTCCGTGGGTGATTCGCCTCATGTTCCTCTAGGACACGATCAGCAGATTTCCCGACCGTAGCTGAAATGTACAATGCTTAATCAAGTAAGAGAAGCTAAAAATGAAATCCAAAACGAATCATATCATTGATATCTTTACATGCTGTATACAAGATTTTCACCCAATTTTCACCTACATTTTTATAATAGTCATTACCACTACTATTAATTACAGCTACAAAGTAGTATTCATTACCGCTACATTTATATATATATATATATATATATATATATATATATATATATATATATATATATATATATATATATATATATATATATATATATATACACATTACTGCTACAATGCCTCTTCTGTTAGCCAGTGCTTTCTGCATGTACAGGCATAAAGTACATGTACTTTCAGGTCTGTTTTGCAATGTCTCTACAATTTTCTTCTACACATTCTTCTACATTTTTTAGTCTTATTTACACAAAATTTAAAACCATCTGTGGCAGGTCAAATGGGTTTGATTAAAGTGGCCAGATATCTCAGTTGGTAGAGCCCCTGACGGGAAATTTGGGGCCTGGGTTCAAATCCCGGTCTGATCCATTACAATTTTCTCTTCTATTACGCATCAATGATTAAACCTACATTGCCATGATTTGTAACAAACTACTCAATGTAAGCCATTTCATTCAATTAACTCTAGATATGTACATGTAACTGTGTTTAACTACAGGCTGAATGAATTACATTGAATGGAACTCATACTTAATAGTACTTCAATTACATGGTGAGTGAATTATATTGAATAGAAAACATCTCCTTATGATAAACCTCACAGGAAAATTTTGTGTATGCAGAGGTAATGAGTTGAAATTGCCAAGCTTCTTATTGATAAAATGTATCTGTAATGCGCACCTGAAATCCAGGTGAAAAGTAGCGGTAATGAGTTGTAATTTCTTGCAATGTAGCAGTAATGTGCTCCTCCATTTTCACCCTATCAAACTTTAACAGAAAGGGTCAACTATAAAAACTGCAGCAGTGAAAATTTTCCTGTATACAGTGTATCATTTGTTTTTGATGCCATTTAAATCTTAGGACACCAATTGTCAATTTCCTACATACCTGTCTACATATACTGTGGAATCATCATTGTTCGTGGGGGATCAATGTTCGTGGATTTCACGGGTGACCCTTATCCACGAATTTACATCCCCACAAACAATTTTTTGTCAACGTAATGATTAATTAAATCTACCAAATAAACGAGCTGCCCACGAAATCACATCCCCACGAAATCAATAAAGTTTTGCTTGCCCATGAACATTGACACCCACAAATTTAAATGATTCCACAGTATGAAACATTTTAATGTTAACTACTGTATATTTATGCATATGGAACCTTAAATTTTCCTGTTCTGCATTTTTGAGAATTTACCTTGACTACAATTTCCAGATATTAAATAGTGATATTTGTCGGACTTATAATTCAGACAAAGAAAGCAGTACTGAATTTTAACTTCCAAAAATCTGACTTATATGCAAGTAGTAAAAGTTTATACAGATTTTACTGATCTTATCTTTGTTTAGAATGTATACTGGACCAAAAAAAAATTATTATTTGTTTGGAATTGCCTCCCACCTCATTGAAAAAAATTATTCAAACAATTTATTGACCAGAAATATTTTAAAAAAAATTTTTTTTTATTTACATGTAATCAATTCTTGGCTTATTATCACATGACAAGTAATCACAATAATAACTATTACCACAAGCACCACCAAAACATTCAATGTAGTGTCAGATCTGTGCAAATTAAATGAGCATTCTTGTTGATGGGAGATATCTTTTTTTACAAAAAGTCAGACAATAATGTGTTTATTGAGATTTTTGTCAAAAATTTTAATTAAAATGTACCTTCAATTTTGAAAAAAAAAACCCACTTCCCTTCCCTCCCTCCTTGGTCTGAAACCTTCCAGGCGGCAATTCCAAACAATTAAATTTTTAAAGATGGCCTTGTTAAAAAAATTATTAAATCCCTTTAAATATTGATGTCATAGAAACATTCTTTGAAACATGGGTAAATACAAAAGATTATCTAGCTGAAAATGGCAACCAATTCTGGTGAGAAATCCAACCAACTTATAACTGGGTCAATAATAAAATTCTCAAAATCAGTTGAAAAATACAACTGACTCATAATATGTACATATATATTAAGTAAACTGACTTATGTAAGAGTATTATACATTAATAAAAACATTTACCAAAGAGTTCCCTGATGACAAACTTCCAGTCTCCAATGGGAAGTTCTTTTTGAAGTAAAAGACAAAGATCTCCCCAGCTCCTCTCTACTAACACTCGACGGCTCACCGGCTTTTTATCTGACAGAAGATAAATCAAACACTGACAATATTACTCCCTTACACCCAAATATTTATTCCCATGCAAGAAATACCTTCAAGTTTCATGACCTTCTTTTACTTGGAATATTTCTCTCCACATTTAAATCATTTATTTACTAGTCACACTGATAATTTATGAAGAGAAGCTGTCATAATTAATTTTTGGTTTGCAGTACTTCATAAATCCAAAACATGATTTTTTTTTTCTTCTTTATTTCAAATAGTTTCAGTTTTTAGACTCACTAATCACCTGATACATATATTAATATAACAGTAACTTGATCCGAAGAAGCCTTACTACATCGAGTTGACAAACGAGACGTGATATGGCTCTATGGATCAAGTTACTGTTATAAGGATAAATTTATTATACACCCCTCAATAATTAGCAAAATATTATAAAAGAAAACTTTTGAGATCAATTATACACCTTTTATCCATTAAACAAAACATTTTTTTTAAGGAACTATTTGATAAGCAAGAAAAAAAATGTCATGCATACTGTGTACTACATCATCAATTTCAGAGAGGGGTGATACATATATATTATTATAACAGTAAATTGATCGGAAGAGCAATATCACGACAAGTTGACAGGCATGGACCATCAGATCAAACGAGACGCGAAGCGTCGAGTTTGATCTGATGATCCGCGCCTGTCAACGAGACATAATACGGCTCTTCAGATCAAATTACTGTTATAATGATAAATTTATTATTTACCCCAATACAACTAGCAAAATATAATAAAAAGGAAGCTTTTTGGATCAATTACATAACTTTTATACATTAAACAAACCATTTTGTCGAGGAACTTTTTGATGCGCGAGAATAACAACGTCATTTATCTGTGTACAACATTATCAGTTTCAGAGAGGGGTGATATGGATTCAGAAAACCACAGTGTGGTGATCCGGAATGTCAGATCACACCGTCACGTGATTGCATGAATTCAACAGTAAAACTGAGTGACAAACAGTTGGGTATATAATAAAGATTTAGAAAACCACAGCGTGGTGATCCGGCAAGTCAGATCACAATGTCATGTGATTGAGTGAAATCAACAGTAAAACTGGGTGATACACAGAAAATGGATTCTCCATAGAAAGATAACTCTGCCTAGACATTGTTTACTTCTTTGCAAACTATAAGTGTTTGCCTTATCTCTCTTGATAGAATCCATTGTATTAGGTGTGATAAATGAGTATGAAAGCTGTCCCTACCTCTCTTGGGAGAATCCATTGTATTGGGTGTGATAAGTGAGTATGAGTGTTGTCCTTACCTCTCTTGGAAGAATCCATTGTATTGGTTGTAATAAGTATGAGTGCAGGCCTTACCTTTCTTCGGAGAATCCATTGAATTGAGGTTGATTAGTGAGTATGAATGCTGGACTTACCTTCTAAGATTAATCCATTGTATTGATTGTGATTAGTGCGTACGAGTGCTGGCCTTACCTCTCTTGGGAGAATCCATTGTATTGGGTGTGATTAGCGAGTTTGAGTGTTGGCCTTACCTCTCTTGGGAGAATCCATTGTAATGGGTTTTTTTAGTGAGTAAGAGTGCTAGCCCTACCTCTTTTGGGAGAATCTATTGTATGGGAGTTGATTAGTGAGTATGAGTTCTCTTCTTATATCTCTTGGGAGAATCCATTATATTGGGTGTGATTAGTGAGTACGAGTGTCCTTACCTCTCTTGGGAGAATCCGTTGTATTGGATGTGAAAAGCGAGTACATATACATTATTATAACAGTAACTTGATCCGAAGAGTCGTATCATGTCGAGTTGACAGGCGCGGATCATCAGATCAAATGAGACGCCAAGCGTCAAGTTTGATCTGATGATCCGCGCCTGTCAACTCGACGTGATATGGCTCTTCATAACATCATGTTTCTGTGTACTACGTCATCAATTTCAGAGAGGGGTGATATGGATTCAGAAAACCACAGTGTGGTGATCCGGAAAGTCGGATCACACCGTCACATGATGTACGAAATCTACAGTAAAATTGAGTGATACACACTTGGGTATATAAAAAAATTGGTGACATCACCTCTCTTGGGGGAATCCATGGTACTGGGTGTGATAACCATTGAATTGGGGTTAATTAGTGAGCTGTTCCTATCTCGATTAGTGAGTAAATTATGAGTACTGTCCTTACATCTCTTGGGAGAATCCATTGTATTGGGGTTCATTAGTGAGTATGAGTGCTGGCTTTACCTTCCATAGATGAATCCATTGTACTGAGCATGATTAGTGAGTTTGAGTGCTGGCCTCACCTCTCTTTGGAGAATCCATTGTATTTGGTGTGATTAATGGGTATAAGTGCTTGCCTTACCTCTCTTGGGAGAATCCATTGTATTGGTAGTCCAAAATATCTTACAATTTCCAGACATTTTTAATGATTTTTATGTTTGACATGCCAGGAAAATGTCAGAAGCAAATTGCCATATTGAAAAGTGGAAATTTCACTGGCCCTAACTGAACTTGATTTTTGATATATGCAAATCAAATATAATGCCAAATTCACAAACAGATCAATAGCACAATGCTTCTACTTCTCACTTATACTGCTTAAAGGTAAATATCACTCCACATTTCAATACAATTCTCACAAGATTTCAAATGACATGAAATCATAAGAAACCTTGACAGTTTGATAAAATGTTTTCGCCAGACACTTAATATTCAAAGGAACAATTAAAAGCTATATTGGTAAGTACAAGAAGCATTGACTGTTGATAAGATGTGCGTCATACATTCAATTCAGTTCGCATGTATCAACTAGAAATATCTCCATAGGGCCCCACAGAGTGCATATTAGTAATGCAACATGAAAATTTGTATTAGTGTATGAAGTTTGATGAGAATATCTTGAATAGTTTCTTTAAAATTAAAATTGAAATCTAAAAAAATGGATATAGATGATAAATTCTCACCAAATTATGTACAAGTGCATAAGCTTACATAAAAATATCTTAAATGTTTTATTTAAAACTAAGCAAAATGCAATTTAAAGAAAAGTGAGGTCAATGTTACAGGAAAGTGCAAGGTCAAATGTATATGATATTGTTGAATAGTTCTCATCACTTATGTATTAGCATATTAAGTTTGATAAAAATATCTTGAATGGTTTCTTTAAAACTATGCTAAACACTAATTTAAGAAAAGTGAGGTCAAGGTCAAAGGAAAGGTCAAGGTAAAAAAAAATGTTGATGCATTTGAATAGCTTACATCAGTATGTATTAGCATATAAAGTTTGATGAAAATATCATTAATGGTTTCTTTAAAATTGAACAAAATCCAAATTAAAGAAAAGTGAGGTCAAGGTCACAGGAAAGTGCAAGGTCAAAAGTTTTTGATGCAGTTGAGTAGCTCTCACTAATACGTATCAGCATATTAAGTTTGATAAAAATATTTTGAATGGTATATTTAAAAATTGAGCTAAATCCTAATTTAAGAAAAGTGAGATAAAGGTCAAGCAAAGGTCAAGGTCAAAAAATGTTGATGCAGTTTTATAGCTTACATCAGTATCTATCAGCATAGGAAGTTTGATAAAAGTATCTTGAATAATTTCTTTGAAACTGAGTTTTGAACTGAGCTAAAGGCAAAACAGGATGGAAGGACAGAAGACGGACATGGCTAACTCTATATGCCCTGGCCATTTTCATGGCGGGGCATAAAAATCAACCTGAGAATGCTGCCTGGAGTTGGAGGGGCGAAGTTCCACCTTTCATAACGCCACCAGTTCTGACGTTTTCCTGGCATATAAATTATGTAAATCATAGCAACGCTTGGAAATTCTCAGATAATTCACACTATTGTATTGGGTGAGATTAGAGAGTATGAGTGCTGGCCTTACCTCGCTTGGGAGAATCCACTGTATTTGGTTTGATAAGTGAATACAAGTGCTGGCCGTTTTCAGGTAATCTTGATATTCCCATATGTTCCTCTGGGTCTGCAGAGGTGTGGCCATTTGATGTGTTAATGTCCTGCATCTCACCCTCTTCACATCTATACAGTAAGTAAATAAATAATTCATGAAGAACATGAGGGAGAATTATAGGAAATATCCAATCATAGTAGTCAGACACAAGCCATTTTGTGTGAGGTCTAGCACTGATGATATTGTAGACATAAGTCATTTTGTGTGAGGTCTAGCACTGATGATATTGTAGACATAAGTCATTTTGTGTGAGGTCTACCACAGATGATATTGTAGAAATAAGTCATTTTGTGTGAGGTTTACTACTGATGATATTGTAGACATAAGTCATTTTGTGTGAGGTCTACCACTGATGATATTGTAGACATGTCATTTTGTGTGAGGTCTAGCACTGAAGATATTGTAGGAATAAGTCATTTTGTGTGAGGTCTACCACAGATGATATTGTAGAAATAAGTCATTTTGTGTGAGGTCTACCACTAATGATATTGTAGACATAAGTCATTTTGTGCGAGGTTTACTACTGATGATATTGTAGACATAAGTCATTTTGTGTGGGGTCTACCACTGATGATATTGTAGGAATAAGTCATTTTGTGTGAGGTCTACCACAGATGATATTGTAGAAATAAGTCATTTTGTGTGAGGTTTACTACTGATGATATTGTAGACATAAGTCATTTTGTGTGAGGTCTAGCACTGATGATATTGTAGGAATAAGTCATTTTGTGTGAGGTCTACCACAGATGATATTGTAGAAATAAGTCATTTTGTGTGAGGTCTACCACTAATGATATTGTAGAAATAAGTCATTTTGTGTGAGGTTTACTACTGATGATATTGTAGAAATAAGTCATTTTGTGTGAGGTCTACCACTGATGATATTGTAGATATGTCATGTTGTGTAAGGTCTACCACAGATGATATTGTAGACATAAGTCATTTTGTGTGGGGTCTACCATTGATGATATTGTAGACATAAGTCATTTTGTGTGGGGTCTACCACTGATGATATTGTAGAAATAAGTCATTTTGTGTGAGGTTTACCACTAATGAAATTGTAGACATAAGTCATTTTGTGTGGGGTCTACCACTGATGATATTGTAGAAATAAGTCATTTTGTGTGAGGTTTACCACTGTTGATATTGTAGACATAAGTCATTTTGTGTGGGGTCTACCACTGATGATATTGTAGAAATAAGTCATTTTGTGTGAGGTTTACCACTGTTGATATTGTAGACATAAGTCATTTTGTGTGAGGTCTACCACTGATGATATTGTAGAAATAAGTCATTTTGTGTGAGGTCTAGCACTGATGATATTGTAGACATAAGTCATTTTGTGTGAGGTCTACCACTGATGATATTGTAGAAATAAGTCATTTTGTGTGAGGTTTACCACTGTTGATATTGTAGACATAAGTCATTTTGTGTGAGGTCTACCACTGATGATTAGTGATGGGAATCGATAAGAATATCATAATTGATGATCGGGCTACTGCAACTAACTAATTATCAATTATAATCAGACATTTACAAAGTCTGTCAATTTAGTTTATTAAATGGTAAGAATGGGTGAATAACTACATGTACTTTCTGTGGTGGTCCAGCTGAAGTTAGAATAATCTAACTGTGTTTCGGGACAAGCCCTAGTCCTTAGGACAATATCATTTCAATGATAGGACGTTCTATCTAGTCCAGCTGGTTCTTCGTTCATTTTGTAGAATCCAGAGTACGTCCATACCCGGGAATGAGCGTTGTTACCCGGGTATGAATGCAATGTCTGTTCATCAGCACATTACGATACAAAAATAAGTAAAAAGATAAGTCGCGGCTGGAATATTCTGCTTAAAAACTATTACGCTTGTAAAATAAAATAAATAACCTGATTATTTGGAATAAAAATTTTGTAATCGAGCACTTGGATTATACCAGCAATCGACTGATTTTCGATTAAAATCGATGATTGGAACACCACTACTGATGATATTGTAGACATAAGTCATTTTGTGTGAGGTCTAGCACTGATGATATTGTAGACATAAGTCATTTTGTGTGAGGTCTACCACTAATGATATTGTAGACATAAGTCATTTTATGTGAGGACTACCACATAATAAGATTAATCAAATATATATAAATATACAAAATACAAAATGCAAATAACTCCCAAGGTGATTCACCGAATGTTACAGTAACTCAGACCTATGACTTACTCTTAGACGTCCTTTTTAATTTTTTCATTTTTCTTTTTGTTTTTTTAATATTTTTTATCAAACCTATATATTAAAATAATTCATAGTTATTCTCAATTCCCTGTAATTTGTTTTATTTAAAACAATCTGCTTTATACTATATCTGTAAATTATGGCTCCAATAACTGTAAATCCTTGGAGTACTATTACGTCATACTGTGAAAAATGACGTCATATCAACAGAGAAGAACCCTGTCAAGTCGCCATGATGTAATTCAATATAGAAGAATATAGAAGACTTAAGGTAAGTACCTTAGCTAAGATATAAATGTAGTGTTAGATACATTACTAAACTTATATATTAGACGTGCACTTTTTTGTTTATACACTAGAAAATAGAAATACACATTTACCGGAAATGGCGAGGACAGGTTTGTCGTGCTAGAATGAATGGCCAATTCATTACCGAAACAAACCTGCATGGAGTTTGAGACTAGCACCTGATGAGAGTTCCCTCACAAAATTACTGGCATACTAGCCTATATCTTTTGGTATTTTTGGCATATTTTAGAATAATAAATACGCTATAGCACAAACTCAAAATTTCTAAATTTTATTTGGCATAACTCCTTCCTGGTCGTTTTCTTTATTACAATTTTCTTTTTTGTTCACAAATACGCACATATACAAATTCCTATAATCTATCATAATCAAACAATGTATAATACTGTATGTTGGTTTTATAGAATTATTTGTTGCCTACTTACCAGTATAATAGCATGCTTTTTGAAATGTGTATAGTATTATTTGCTAATTAAAAAATAACCTATAAAATCTACATTATTGTTTAACGTTGAGTGACCAGAATCGCAGTATACGTTGAAAAATTTAGAAAGTTTTTTAACACCCCCCCCCCTTTTTTTCAGTTTTGTCTATAACTTGTGTTAAATATTTATTGAACCCCCCCCCCCCATTTTTCGTTACTATTTAAATTGTATCAACTCTCATCTTTATTTTCCCTGTTTATTGAGTTGACATTATACTACATGTATGGACGGCCACCAAAAAATTGATTGCTTCAGTCTCCTCGGCTGGGTGACGTGGTGTTGTGTTTATTTATTTATAATTTATTTATTTTTTAAAAGATAAAAATACATATACTAAGTATATCTATACGGTCATGCAGAGGACTGCCCATCTCTACTTCACTAAGGAAGTGTTGAGGAGATGGAACAGTGATTTGAGGCTGGAAGCATAAGGTGAACAAATAAGAATAATAACAATTCTTATCACCAATGAACGATTTATCATAATAAGATTAATCAAATATATATACATATACAAAATACAAAATGCAAATAACTCCCAAGGTGATTCACCGAATGTTACAGTAACTCAGACCTATGACTTACTCTTAGACGTCCTTTTTAATTTTTTCATTTTTCTTTTTGTTTTTTTAATATTTTTTATCAAACCTATATATTAAAATAATTCATAGTTATTCTCAATTCCCTGTAATTTGTTTTATTTAAAACAATCTGCTTTATACTATATCTGTAAATTATGGCTCCAATAACTGTAAATCCTTGGAGTACTATTACGTCATACTGTGAAAAATGACGTCATATCAACAGAGAAGAACCCTGTCAAGTCGCCATGATGTAATTCAATATAGAAGAATATAGAAGACTTAAGGTAAGTACCTTAGCTAAGATATAAATGTAGTGTTAGATACATTACTAAACTTATATATTAGACGTGCACTTTTTTGTTTATACACTAGAAAACAGAAATACACATTTACCGGAAATGGCGAGGACAGGTTTGTCGTGCTAGAATGAATGGCCAATTCATTACCGAAACAAACCTGCATGGAGTTTGAGACTAGCACCTGATGAGAGTTCCCTCACAAAATTACTGGCATACTAGCCTATATCTTTTGGTATTTTTGGCATATTTTAGAATAATAAATACGCTATAGCACAAACTCAAAATTTCTAAATTTTATTTGGCATAACTCCTTCCTGGTCGTTTTCTTTATTACAATTTTCTTTTTTGTTCACAAATACGCACATATACAAATTCCTATAATCTATCATAATCAAACAATGTATAATACTGTATGTTGGTTTTATAGAATTATTTGTTGCCTACTTACCAGTATAATAGCATGCTTTTTGAAATATGTATAGTATTATTTGCTAATTAAAAAATAACTTATAAAATCTACATTATTGTTTAACGTTGAGTGACCAGAATCGCAGTATACGTTGTAAAATTTAGAAAGTTTTTTAACACCTCCCCCTTTTTTTCAGTTTTGTCTATAACTTGTGTTAAATATTTATTGAACCCCCCCCCCCCCATTTTTCGTTACTATTTAAATTGTATCAACTCTCATCTTTATTTTCCCTGTTTATTGAGTTGACATTATACTACATGTATGGCCGGCCACCAAAAAATTGATTGCTTCAGTCTCCTCGGCTGGGTAATGTGGTGGTGTGTTTATTTATTTATAATTTATTTATTTTTTAAAAGATAAAAATACATATACTAAGTATATCTATACGGTCATGCAGAGGCCTGCCCATCTCTACTTCACTAAGGAAGTGTTGAGGAGATGGAACAGTGATTTGAGGCTGGAAGCATAAGGTGAACAAATAAGAATAATAACAATTCTTATCACCAATGAACGATTTATCATAATAAGATTAATCAAATATATATACATATACAAAATGCAATAACTCCCAAGGTGATTCACCGAATGTTACAGTAACTCAGACCAATGACTTACTCTTAGACGTCCTTTTTAATTTTTTCATTTTTCTTTGATATTGTAGACATAAGTCATTTTGTGTGAGGACTAGCACTGATGATATTGTAGACATAAGTCATTTTGTGTGAGGTCTACCTTTCTGTTCTTGCGACCTTCAGACAGGGTGGGCGCTGACCTTTCCTGTAACAGATCAGCACTACTAACGCCACCAATACCACCACTACTAGCACCCCAGCAATAGCCCCACCTACCACCTCAGGGGGCGTGGTCTCTTTCTCATTCTCAAACTGAGATGTAGGTTTATCTGGGTAAAAATAATATTAAACTATTAAAATCATTACCTTTATGATAGCAAAAATATCCATAAACAAAATATATTGCCAGGAATGAATGGGCAATGTTTGGAATGAAATTTTTTTTTACATTATATTGATGAAAAAGCTAACAAGCACCTAACAATGGAACCTTGGTTAACTATATGCCTAAACAATTAATGATGTAAATTAAGCAAGTTAGAACATATTAAGTGAAATTTTAGCAATTAAGAAGGAACTCGGTCTGCCTAAACAATTAATGATGTAAATTAAGCAAGTTAGAACATATTAAGTGAAATTTTAGCAATTAAGAAGGAACTCGGTCGCTTCATTCCCTCCGCCCCTTCTTAATCGCTAATATTTTTCCATTTTTACCATTGCATTGTGTGTCTGATTGCCTGGAGCAGCCCTGTGTCTCCTTCGAGGGGTCAGAACACCTGCTGCAGTTCTTACATTGGGGGTCCAGGTTCTCACGGTCCTGAAACATTCCCTCTGGACAAGGCATACAGTCTGTGTCCTCTGTTGATGTCCCTACAATAGAGATCAGGTCAGAGATTTCATTTCTACGAAGCGATTAGGTCAGAGGTTTCATTTTCTGTTGATAATCCTACAAAAGGATTAAATCAGAGACTTCATTTAGTCTAAGCCTAAATGTGACATTAGTTATGGAAATATTTCACAGGTATATAATGGTACTCTTAAGTAAATTTTATAAGATGTTTTGTTTAGCATGTTTATGTTACACACGTCATGGAAACTGGATTGGAGGGAAGGAAAGCATAGTGATTTTTATACATATTTTAAAAGCAGCCTTTTTTCAAATATTGGGAAACTGTCTCTGTAAGGCTGTGATTTTTGGGTCAAAAAAAAAAAAAAAACTGTTATAGATTGGACAGGAAATTCAGTCTTTACCACATTGTCCTGTTTTTAGCTTGGCCTTTCAGTCAGAATGTAAGTCATGCAAATTCAAAGCATCTCAAGAATGAAGCTCCATTGTGCATTTACAGGTGTCATTATTAACTAACCTAGTTTTTGGACATAAAATCCTGGCTGACATTTGGAGTGTAGCACACAGAGTCCCTCCGTGGGAGATCGATATTTCATGTAGAATCCCTCTCGACACTCACAACCGATATCAGACAGGGTAGTACAGTTACTCACGATCTCAGAATTGCGCCTTGGACACGAAGTTGAACATGGCTGACAACTCGTGGCCTGGTTGGAGAACAAACTGAATTGACCAGACGGGCAGGCCTTACACTCTGCAGATTTGTCTGACTCCTGACAATCTGCTTCCTACAATTATAGAGAGAAACACTGTACAAGTAATAAAGAATCCTTATACTTCCATGGATTTTGTGGTCATTCCTTAATAATAGTTTCACAACTCAACAAATATTGATATACAGTAACCAACTTTCACAATGAGACCTTACCCAGTAAACAGTACAGCAATTCACTAAAATGGACCCAATCAATTAAAATAATGTCACAGTATAGGCGCTGTAGATTACCTATTTTATGTGAGTACTTAATATTGGAAAATGAAGATGTATTTGTGAGTGGAAATTTCATAATGTGTTTTTACATGTTATTTAGCAAATTAAGTGATATAATAAATTTGTCACATACATTTAGTAATCTACAGTAAAACAGTCATTAATTAATTAATTAATCAAGCAGGCTACAGTATAAAAAAAATTAAAATAAAGTTAACTTTGTTAATTAAACATTGTGACATGTACAATAATACAGTTAAACAATGAGGATATAAAGTTTACGTTTGTTATAATGACCTTGTAAAACCCCGGAGCGCAGCAGCCACAGACCAGATTAGTGTTCTCCACACGGTATGTATAGTTAGTCCGGCAGGTGTCCTCCACAGCCTGTATTAGAGGCAATACCACAGTTGCCGCATAAAAGTACCACACCATGATAGTTCCCTGATAAAACCGCTGATCAGTTGTCATCATCATATATGCAGGAATACTCCACATCAGACTCAACACATCAAAGTTCACCAAGATTCACCACATCAAAGTTCACCACATCAGAGTTGCCACAGCAGTCACCACACAAGGTCACCACATCATGATAAATCCTGGAAATACAACAACGGGTTGTGATGGCTGAATTTAAGCTGAGTAGTGTGTTCAAGATTGTAGCAGCTACATATAGGTACATGTACATGTATATGTAGAGTTACAGTATTGAACAATATGCCAGCCTAGCCACTACAAAAGCATATCAAGCATTAATTCATACACATATAGTTGTTCAATAGACTGAGATATTCAGTCTAGAGCTAAGCTTGCTACTATGATCTTCAATACAGCCAAGCTGCTCAACTGAGTAAAAAAATGTTATACTCTGTCAGAGAATATACAGATGGAATATGATATTTATAATAATAACATGTAATAAAAATACATTGTTATGGCAACAGCTCTTGGATGAAACATGGTAAAGAAGTTCATGCTTTTATTTGACAGATAAATATGCATTCACTTGGTGCAGTCAGCGACAGGTGTTCTAGACAACAGCTGTCATAAAGGGGCTGAAAAATCAGGGAAATTAGTTTACAAACTGCTAAAACCATTGACAAACTCTGTTACTGTCTGTCAGCTTCTTTGCCATTTTGTCAGATGTATTTCAATCTATTTTAGCCACTTACACTTAATTTTCTAAAATGAATACTTTATACCATTCAATAATTAAAAGACCTTAATCAGTTTTTCATATTTACCTGCTGGATGACTTCCACTTAGCGTTACCCAGTAATATGGCTTATACAGACATGCAGTAGATTTTCACTTTTGTTGAGTTTCTCACCTTTAATTCGCACCTTAATAATTCAATCAATACCTGTCCTGTGTCACTCACCTCTTCTCTCATCAGGCAGAATTAATCTACAAACCAGGGTCCAGGATTACTGAAACTCTGGACATAAAGATATTTAACAGTCTATTACACAGCATGTGTGGAGCTTAGATCCCCGCATGAGGCTGCACATAATCATTGAATAAAATGTGGAGAAGGGGACTCCGCATCAGATGAATCCAGCTGACCTTAGACACTACTGAAGTAGAGTTCATCTAATCCTATTAAATGATTTACAATTCCTTAGTCTGCAGAAAATATAACTGGTGAAATATGCTAGAAATTTTGCTGGGACAAATTGCTTAATAAGTTTGCATCCTTGGTAAAATGTTCTAATAGAATAGACAGAAGAAAAAAAAGTTTCCAGCTGTTTGTGATTTGTATTGAAACAATTAAGAATTTCAAAATAGGAAGAGTTTCCATCTATTTTACAATAGTGAAGAAAGAGAGAAATGACATACTTTAGGCTGTATTAAAATTAATCAGGCTTGATTGAACAGTCATCTTGATACACAAAAATAAAATGTTAGCTCTGAAAACTTCTATAGTGTCAATTATACATATAGGAGAGATTAATCCTTCAGATAAGATTTAACACCATGAGAGTTAAATCAGTAAAACATTCATAAACATTTACAATTATCAATTACTTAGGGTTGATACCACTTGAAAATCACTTGAAGGTGTTAAGTAAATCTTAACTATTATACACATAATGTAGGTGTATTGATAGATTTACAATCCTGTGAAGTGACAGAGGACATAAAAAAGAAATGTATTGACAAGATGAACAGGATAAATCAATTTAAGCTGAATCAATAAACGAGCAAGTTTTGTACATATCCTGCAGGTTTCCAACATTGGGAGAAAAAAAGCTTTCTTATGGACAATGTAAATTATGAATGGTCATGTGTCTGTAGGCAGATTTCATTAATATTAAACAGAGTTAATGACCGCTCAGAAATTAACAACTACTGTGCTATAGAAATTCCTTTGATCTGTTGTCAAAACAGCTGACAAATGTGAGATTATCTAACTTCAATCTGCAAGTTTAAATTTCATACAATCAATAATCATGCACCAATGGGAAGTGTTTACTATTGAATCATACTTTTATCTTGTTCACAATCTCTAATCTATGATGATAATGATCTTGATCATCAATATTATCAATATTTATATACCTGTCTCTCTCTAAAGGTTAGTGAAGAGAAGTTATAATGATGTATCACACTATTGTAAAATAAAAAATGCTCCTTGAACCAACAGACTGAGTTATTTCCCTTGATGCAATTCTTAACGCAACTTACTTTCAGTCCTTCTAACCTATCCCCCCAATCCTTAGCATGCAACAAAAGTCCTCCATTCTCAATCATCTAAATTATAAATTATAACAGACCACTGTTCATTTTTAAGCCTCTTCATTAATCCATGCACTAGTGACATTATTTCCCCTGATGAAAAATAAAATTGTCCTGAGGTAACCATGCAACCCTTATCCAGTAAATTTGTGCCCCTCCCTTCACATAAAAGGAATGTCCTCCATTCTCCCATCATTTAAATTATAACTGAGCATCATTCATTTCATAACCCCCTCCACACCCACAAGAGCCTATATCCTCTCTCTCTCTCCCCACTCATGATTCTCCATTGTTCCATTTGACTTTCTACTCCTTAAACTCTTACACTGTCATTTTTTAAACTCTTACCGATAAAAAAAAAATGTTTCATTAAAACTTAAATTTAATAAAAAATAAATATATTTGTAAAATTTTGACAGAAATTGGAGAAAATTTTTAGACAGTATTAAAATTTTGTGTAAATAACAAGTATTTTTTGTAACGAGGAATAACTAAATATCTAAATCTGACCAACCTTTCAATTGTTTAAATCACTATTGTATTGTACATTGTAAGGAATGTCACAGCTGTTTTCTATTTAGACACATTACACCTAGTATATAAATAGCTATCAAATGTGCACCTGTGGAATTTACCTGTTTATTTAAAGCCAATATCCAATTCTATGGATCTTTTGCCAGTTGTCCCCTTTATATGCTTTTTAGTGATCATTTTAAAAGAATTAATTAGAATGGATATAATACTTTACTGGTTTCTTCAAAGTGTATTTATTTTTTTATTTATTTATTCAAACTGTACATATAACATCTGTTACCAGCACTAAAACCTTCCCATGCATTTACAAAACTTTGATAATATATCTGCCAACATAAACACACAAATAATCATGCATGTGTCTGCCAAACTAATTACAACATTAGTCTTTGATCGCATATATGCCAGCATTTTCCATCACTAACATATTTTTATATTTTTGTTTTTTGTTTAATGCTACACTATAGGATACTTTTACAGCTGGTTTTGGCAATCAGCATCATTGTAACCATGGAAATGTGCAGCAATTAACGAGACACTTTTACCTGATCTATAGATATTTGAACCCCAGAATCCTACAAGATCATTGACATTCTCACTTATACCTTTTTACCCAGGTTATCTAAAGTATGTAATCTTGCACCTGTGAAAATTAATATGACTGAGAAAATAATCCTACAAGACAAATTTGTGTTTTATTAGGCACTCAAGAACACAATGAGGAACCCTTAAAATTAAAGACTGCATTATAACCAAAGTCCATAGATCGGGATTATAGCAAAATTCTTCTGTATATTTCTACCTTACTTTGTGTTAACATCAAATGGTAAATTCTACTAACCTCAATTGTCAGAAAAAATTACTCTTCAAAATATATATATCTGAGATGACACAAAAAAAAAATACAGAACTGACCAAATGTCCACCTTTTGACTGAGTAAGTTGTATCTTGCAGTGTCTGTAACTGACTCTGCTCTTTCTGCAGTTTATAGCAGCTGATGTCATACTTACTTGTAGACCAAAGAATGCATGCACTCATCAACCCTTCAAAATCAATAGTTTTTGGGAGGGATGATTTAACTTGATTTACATGCTGGTCTGACGAAGGGATAATCTTCATGGCTGGGCAAGATCAATGGCGAGTGATTGAATCTCTCCAAATACCCATCAATAGGAGTTCACTTACCTTCCTCTAAATGAGTCGACTGACAGACAATCATATTCTCCACTGTCACATGTCCGTCAGAGCCTGATTTTATTACTTTATCCTGAATCACTCACCCTTTGGTCGTTATTCTTGCCAGTAGCAGTTGTCCTTTATCAATAACACAAAAGTGTCTTCATGCATGTATTAATGCAAATAAATTCTTTTTCATCACATATCAACTTAGCCCATGCACTACCAAAAAAGCATTTCAAATACAAAATATACACATTAGCTTATATATCTTGAGTATCCTCCAAATGCAGCTAGCTGCTGAGAATTTTAACAAAAAAATATTTACAATACTTGTTGAATAAATGAATTCTTTTTTTATTTTATAAGGATATTCAAATAAATCTTTTCATCAAATTCTTCTCTGACCAGAACTATTGTTAGAGATATATTGGTAATTCATGAGAATATATTATTTTAAACATTTAACAATTGTGACAATTATCATGATTATTTTTTATAAGATTACGGTACATGCATGTGTGGAAGAACTCTATCTATATCAAAATATTTCATCTACATTAAATCACTGTCAACTATTTGAATATGAAATTTTATTTGTTAATATTGATTGTGCATACAAAAAGATTATTCTCTATTGAAAAGTTGATGGAGTCAACTTCTCAACAGAGAATAACAAAAAGACAAAGTTACTAGCATGTCTGTTAAATTGAGTATTATTTTCTCATGAATAAAAATATGTTGTCAAAAGAGAGACCTGAAACACAAACCCCAAGAAATAAAATTAAAACGATAAAATATTAGGGGGGAAAATGAGACTCACCACTTACCAAAAATGATTATGTAATACCCTAGATTTAGATATATTCCTCAGAAGATTTCCGAAGTCAGCGCGGTCTCTCTCTGTAGCATGCAGCACAGTATTTCGTCGAGTTAACAGAAGGTCGCTGACAGTTCATACTTGTTCACGCACTAACCAACGTAACTACTTACCCAATTATGCAATGAGTAAGAAAAATCGAACTATATTCAATCTCATTTTGCTCTACGGCATCCCGCGACTGCGCGCGAGTTCTTTCACGAAAGTTGTATTCTATATATAGATTGGGGAAATTCCCAAAATGGTGCGTGAAACAAAAACATTAGGACACGGAGATGCCCCGGTTCCGGAGCCTCAACAAATGCCGACAGTTAGGAATATTGTAGTTTACGGTAGTATGACTATCGATATTATTTCTTCATTTTTTTCTTTCATTTTTTAGGGCCTATGTGCACAAGGTTAAAACGGAACTATGTATAATGTGGAAACAAGATCTCAATTTCATCACCTGAGTCACTTTGTAACAATATCAGCTTTTCTGTTTCAGATTCTACACGACAGGTGGAGAACTGGGAGCTGGCGTGGGTGGCGCAGAAGGTCTGTGATACTCCGGACACCCAACAATGGTTATACCGGAGTAAGTCAACACTGCGTCAAGGGGCGTAACTCTTGCAATCTTAAAGTTCTGCTTCCAATTTCCTAAAAAACTTGCATGATGGAATGATCAGGAATACTTGTACACTACCATACCTGCTTCAGATGTTACACTGTAATCTAACAGATTTGTTTTTGAGGCATGTCCATTATCAATAAGTCCTTTCCTTGCATTGGTCTAGTATGGATGATGTATTCATCAAAGGATGCACTAGTTACAAGAAGTGCTTTGTAATATGCTGCATCTGACATTCATTTTCTGGATGATTGAATGGGTTAAAGTTTTGGGAGTAGGTCATCCAAAGATGTACATCATCGGAACATTAATTTGCTGTGGGACTTTGCCTTGCATATAAATAATATTCATTAAGGTTTGTAGCTTTGGAATCTTTACCTTTGCATAAAATGAGGATGGACGTTAATGAATTTTGTAATTTTCAGTGACGGCTACCCTTGGGAGTCAGGATTACCAGGATGTGGAGAAGGACGTGAAGGATTGGGATCCCGTGGAGAAGGTGTACCGTCTGATGCTGAGGTGGAAAAAGAAGGAACCTAACGGACTACTACAGCTTAAAACACTGGCGGAAAAACTCCGCTCCATACAGCACGGGGACATCGCAGAACAGTTAGAACCATAGCTCACACTTAACAAGACTCAAAGAATGGGCACCATTATCTGTAATATAGTCAATGATCTGTAATATAGTCAAGCTTGTCAGGAGTTCCTGTTACAGGGGAATGGAAAAGATTTAATTCTAAAAAAAACATTGTCTTTTATAATGTCAAGGGCATCATCAAAGATACAAAAAAAGACCTCTGACATTTACGCAGTTTATAAGCTGTTCATATCAGTATGTGTGCATGTATAAGTAGACAAATTATGCGGTTTGTAAGCTGCATGTGTGTGTATGCATGTATTAGTAAAACATATTATGTGGTTTGTAAGCTGTGTTTGTGTGTGCCTAAGATGGATGGAAAAGGTTTATTAGAAAAATGTCTTTCATTGGTATATTTCCTATTTTGTTTGTGAAAGATTCATGAGGAATATGAGCTCACAAGTGTTTTTTTCCTTTGAACATAATTTGTAAATACATATGTACTACACAGACAAATTGCTTGTTCAGTTTGTCACTGATCCTTTATGTGTATATTGTTGTTACCCTTTTCTTTTTGTGGATAATAGAGATCACACATGACTACACAAAATGTAGAGATCCTGATCCATTGTATCATGTGATCATTGTTTCCTTAGCATGGTATCCTATTAATTTAACAGTATAAAACACACATCCATGTACAATAAACTTCACAGAGAATTTCATTTTGTTTATTCTCTCACATAATTTACTTTGTTGTTTTAAGAAGAAATAATAGAACTACAACATGTCCAGTAGTACATGTACATGTACATCACATAAAAACAACAGTTTCTCCTTGAACAAGATGAAATTGAAGGCCATTTGATTTGTCCAACATGCCAAAACTAATGAGACAATATCAAAGCTTTCACTAAAATTAAATGTAAATGTAGCTTTTTGTTGTATATTGTACAAAGAGTGACAAAACCTATAAAAATAACTTGTTTTTACTAGTTTTACACATACATAAAATAGTTTTTTTTTCAAACATTTGTTTAGAAGAGTATACAAACAATCTAAATGTTCTTAATACACAAGGCAAAGATGTATTTAATCCAAACACTACAAAATTCCTGAAATTTTGACTAGAACCTTGCCTTCATTTTTACTTTCACATGCAAGCATTCTTAACAATTCATTTAAAAGCATTCATCAAGAACAGTTAATTCCTATCAGTTGACTATCATAAGGTCACTGTGGAGGGTGACATGTTAATTCCTATGAGTTGACTATCATAAGGTCACTGTGGATGGTGACATGTTAATTTCTATGAGTTGACTATCATAAGGTCACTGTGGATGGTAACGACTTATTGAGATTGTTGTTGATTATCATAAGGACACCCTGGATGGTAACGACTTATTGAGATTGTTTATCACTGTCATAGGGACATTCTGGATGGAGACAACATGTACAGATTGTTGCTGACTATCATAGGGACATTCTGGATGGAGACAACATGTACAGATTGTTGCTGACTATCATAGGGACATTCTGGATGGAGACAACATGTACAGATTGTTGCTGACTACATGGGACTTGACATCCATCCCTCTCTGCATGGACTGAATGTCCCGCTGTATCCCCCCAAACATGACCAGCTCTCCTCGCCCCTCCACCAGGGTGTAAAATATTGTTTCCTCAGGAGCCTCCAGTGAAAGGTTCTCCTTTACTGGCTGCCAGGAAGCAGTCCGAGATTGCACAATATTAGAAATGTCCAGCACATGTAGATGGATAGGTGTTCGGAGTTCCCTCAGGCGAGTTTTCCTGACATTGTCATTGGTTGGTTGGTTTTGACCTTGTGACCCTGGCTGCCTTGCCAAACTTTCCCTTAGTCTCTCCTCAAACTTTCTCAGTGCTTCAAGTTGCTTTTCCCTGTTTTTTACAGCATTCTGTCGTCCACCTAACACCCCAGGACGAGCATCGCTGGTGCTGAAAGCCTGCATGGATGGACCAGAAGTGTCAGGGTCAGTTACATAACTATAACTCTGAAGTCGGCTATGAGACACCGGTGATCTTCTGGGTGAGGGAACCTGACCTCGACCCCTCACCACATCACCTGGATGTTTGAACTCTAGATGAGCCCTGTCTGATCTTTGACCTGAATTTTCTTCATCATCAGCACTTGAACTGTCATCACTTTCAGAAACGGGTCGTTTGAAGGTAGCACCTGTTTGTCTTGAGGCTGCAAAGAAATGTTATTACACTGTAGGTTTTAATACATGTATTGAAAATGTAAAAATGGAATGACAAAACAAACTTTCAAAAATATATAATCAATAAATATTAAAGCAATTAAAAGAAGACCCCTCTGATAGCTATAAATACATTTACATCAAACAACTCCATTAACAAAGTTACGAGTCCGTCTGTTATAAGGTTTGCCTTTTTTGTATGTGTAAATTCAAATACATCCAACAATATAATATTATATGTACAATATGTGGACTTTATTTGAGTTGATTGATAAGTTGATTATCTACGCCTACCATTAGACTGAGGTCCAGCTGATTCCCTCGGTGATTCATGTGGAGGGACCCAGATCTTGTTATTCCTGTAGGCATAATTAGCAGGTCTCCGGGGGTCTGAGGACGGGGGTCGCAGAGGTTTGGAGGGTTTACTCAACACTATTATTTTGTCATTTACCTTTAGGAGTAAAGTATTGAAATCTATATGAATGACTAAAGGCCAAAAAGTAATATTTCAAAGCCATCTAAGATATGATAAATATATGAGGAATATTCAAACAAAATTTTCTAGGAATGTATATTTATGGTTTACATGTATTCCCATTTCACCTTTGTTGATTTCAGATAGCAAGTTTTAAAGACGAAAAAAAGTTTATCAATCAACACAGAAATTGCTTTTTTATCTCTATGTACATTTTCACCATGCCCATTTTGGCCCCACCCTAGAGGAATAACCTCACTGTGGGGTTTTCTGGTAAAGAGCTTAATGTTCTTTCTTTCTGGTGAAGAAGATTTTTAAAAATTTGGCTATTTTTGCCATGCCCCTAGAGTCCAATGGAAACATCGATTATGAAAATAAAAATTTATGTTCAAATTTGAAAACATTTGGCACAAAAAGTATTCAAGAAGAATTTAAAAATATACAACTGTTAACAGATGATGGTGATTCAGGTGACCTAAAAAGGTAAACTTTAAGCCAATATTTAAAAAAAGGCTTACCTTGCAAGCCGGATGGCACCACAGTTGAGGGGCAGAGAATTCTGGCTGATTAATGGTCACTTCATCCCAACTCCAAGGGTCAGTGTCCAGACAAAGTAGCCACAGATCATTGAAAATCTAAGATAGAAATGACAAAAAGGTGTATAGGTTGACCATGTAGGCACAGTGTGCAGTATTGTTTATAGGTTGACCATGTAGGCACAGTGTACAGTATTTACAGTCATACATTTTCCTTCTAAGCTATTTAGTTTACTATAAAAGTAAAGATTATACATTGTATTTCAGTACAAAATTTGTTGGTATAGATACTTTGATCTTTATTTCTATTTGATTGCGCCCATGACAAAAGGGCCTTATGGCAATTTTGCTAAAACAGAGAAATAACGTCATAAAGATATGACGTTGCAGACGGTGAGCGTCGACGCAGATTTTTTTTATCCACGTGTTTTACGTTTTGACACGTCTAGCTCACTTTTGTCGTTGTTCTCAACATTGAAATAATTATTTATTTTCATTTGTATCTTTAATTCAGTTCTTGATCTTCTAGTCCACTGATATTAATTAAAATATTTAGAATTTTATTCGAGACCCGTTTCTTTACTACATGTTATTGTAGCTTTATACGTCTCTGATCTGGGCTTTGCATTTCCTATACATGTATATAGAAGCTTCAGACAAGGTGATTTTCTGGATAATTGAATATGGATGAACGAATGCGATTTTGATATATAGACAAATTGAAGTTATTTGTTAGACACGGGTATATTATCAAAATAATGCACAGGAAATCGTTTTCCTGTATAAGATCCGCCCCACCATTCTCAACACATCGATCATGTAAACATTGAAGCATTGGTACATCGTGCATAAATTTTTGTTGTAAAATGCTTTAATTGCCAAAAATTTGAAACTGATCACACTTCTTCCAACAGAAAAGAAAAGTATTCTTGTAAGTTTTCACAAATCTAGCAAAAGTACGAACGAATGACAGACGTGATATTATTTTTAAGAACTATAAATAAAAACAAGAGAGGTAACTCTGACAAGCGAAATACTAGAGAGGTACCAGAGAGGGACTTTCTTTCTTTTTTTTAACACCATTCAAAATCAACATACTCATACAAATTTGCTCCAGTAGTATAAAAAAATATTTTTAAAAATCTTACTTATCATCAGTTAAAAAACGTTTTAATTGTAAGTATTATATTTATATTTTCTTTAAAAGTATTTTTGAAAGCTTATGGAACTAGCTGCTGTCAAAGTGAAAGAGAAAAAAAATATAGAATAAGAAATAGATGCTACATTGAACCAGGCTTTCATTTATTTTTTAAATCTGTTACATGTGCATCTATTTATTTTAACATGAAATTATTTAAAATAACTTGAATTTTAATTTTTTTTTCAGTAATAATGATCATAAATAAAATAAAATAAAATGAAATTTAAAAAAATTGTTTCGTCTTATTTTTGTTGTTGCCACTTCCGATGTAAGTACTTGAAAACAAACAAAAACTACCGAATGAAATAAAATTGTTCTAATTGTTCTAGCTTAAAAAAAAAGTTAACATGTATGTATACCTGATGTGTGTGTGAGAGAGAGAGAGAGATGTTACATTAAATCCAGTTTATTAATACAATGTGAAATGTGAACCTTTAATGAAAAGGCGAATTTTCAAAAACACAACAATATCGTATTATGAAAAGAAATCTCTATCTCTATCTCTTTTTTTTTTTCTTTTGCTGTCTATTTATTTTCAGTAACTCGAAAATATAACATTTTGGTACTCGTGTTGTGCATGAAAAAGTTCAAAGGTTTTAGCTTTATCTGCAGTTTTTAGTCACTTAAAAGTCAAATATATGTAATCCTTGTCATTCATAGAATCTCGGCATTGTATGTCATAACAGTTCTATTATCAATCTAAAACTCTTTTTCTTTTGAAATAATAATCTCAGTTATCGGTTTAGTATGATATTGCTTAACTTGCCGTTGAATTATGTAAACGGGCTGATTTTGTTATTTGGATTTATTGAAATAAATCTTGTTAAGATCAAATTGTATTTAAACATGCATTGTATTTAAACATGGATTGTACAAATTAAATTAAATGCTAAAAATATACTGCACAAAAGACTAAGAATATGTTTGCAATTTTTTATTTTTGTGGCAGTGCAGGAGACCGGGAAGAGGGCCAGGGTCATTTTATATTACCGGGACCTAACTACTTTACAGTGTATCTGTAAAGCTTTACAAGGATAAGCATATCCAAGTCTGTGGCATGGGGCCAGAATGGAATTTTTATATTGTAAAACTTCATATACAATAACATTTGAAAACAATAACATTAGAATTTCATACGATAAAGAAGCCGCGAGAAATGGGGGGAGGGGGATTCTACACACACCATCACATAACAATATTTACATGTACCTAAATGTGTGCTACATCTTAAAAATTTGTCATTTAAAAACTCAGCCAGTCAAGGAATATTATGAACCAGTCGCATTTAACTGACTGGATATATAAAACTTTCAATTAATTTTTACACCACCCCCCCCCCGCCGAAAAAATTCTATTAATAAATCTGCATGTCATTGATTCATGCATAACGACAACATATATATAATTATTATGATTTATTTCTTAGAAAAATCTATTTGATATTAATTTTAAAAAATGACATATTGATTTCATTCAAAATTCGGATAAAATTTGTTGAAATGACAATAAAATACCCGATATCTATTAATACCCAGTGTATACATGTTCTTGTAAAACCATTTAATTTTACAAAATCAAACAAAATCGTTATTCTAGGACGCAATTTTTCTCATGATTAACTAGATTTGATAGCAGTTAAGTTTCCAGTTCCAGGCATGTGGAGCTCATGATCGCTGTTTGTTTTGAAAATGACCCTGCTCATATACATGTACGTAAGGAGAGAGTTCAAGGTGCAAAAATAAATTGAGGAATTATTTCAATATTATTTCAAACCTAACCAAATGACGTATTTGGAGGTTATGGGGTTGGTGGTGAGAAGGCATCCCCCCTACAAATCTAAAATGTAGGAAGATTTTAAAAATACGACAACCCTCGTATGCTATTAAACTCATGTTAACTACAAGTATTGCATGTTTCTGTCATTTAACTTTTAACACCCCCCCCCCCCCCACACACACACACACAATCCAACCACTGGTCATCCTGGATCTGTTCCTTTCATTTCAAATGCATGTGAATTATAATTCATCCATTTGTTTATAATTTATCGACCTGCTTATTTAAAATTAATTATTCAAAAATTTTCCTTGCTGTGACTGAAAAAATGTGTATACGTATCATTTCAATTTAAAAAAAGGAAGTTTTGTTACCACATGCGGGCAGAAGTCCTTCTGATTTTTTGTTTGAATTTTTTTTATCGAATATTGCTTAACATGCAGTGTATCAACTTAATGTCCTTAAATTGTTGTATAGCGTATACGGTAACTCACTACATTTCACAAATTTTCTGTCTAATTATATTTAGAAAACAAAAACAACCCCCAAAAAAAAAACCAACAAATTTTCACTACCCAGCAGCATCTATTTTATTGTTGTTCCCGAGAATTTTTTTTGAAATATATTTTAACTTCACATTTTGAAAGAGATATCGTTTATACTGGATTCAACCTCCCCCCCTCCCCCCCCCCCCCCCCCCCCCCGGCCAAAAAAAAAAAAAAAAAATGACATCTTGTCCTATCGAAAGCTATGCTTAAAGTGAGATGATTTTCGAATGAATTCTACAGGTTTTTCAAACGATTATTATACGAGATAAATACTTTGGTTTTGAGAGAATAAATTGATACTGAACAGAAGCCGCTTGCTTCTCGGGTTTTCCTGACATTCCAGCATAGTGAAATGTAAAACAAACAAACGAACAAACACTCATAATTCTATACACCACTGCATGATGGATAATAGTTAATACAACTATTTATTATCATATTATACAATTATTAAAAGAGACAATGACTCAAAAATGTTTCTGGAAATGCTCAATAACATACATTTATTACCGTAGTAACATTACAATGCAACCTGAAAGTCATGTTCACTCTGAAAACTTTTGACGTTGGTGCGAAAGTAACATGACGTCATTGTTTACCTGTTAAAGTATCATTGATATAAATGAAGAAAAAACCTACTTAGAGTTGACGTAGGGCCATAAAAATTCAGATTTGGCAACTTCTAACCTTGCTCTATTAATATCCATGAAAACTTAAAATGTGTAAAAATTGCCATAAGGGCCCTTTTCCCATGGGCGCAATCAATTTATTATCAATACATTTACCATTATTTATTTGTTGGTATAAATACTTTTACCATTATCTATTTGTTTGTATAGGTACTTTGACCATTATTAATTTGTTACTCCTTTGTTCTCCTGTAAATTATCCACTTCTCTACTGTATCTGATTGTATATTGTACTATATTGTATATACATGTACTGATAAGCTGGAAAGCTTGAAGTAACAATAAAGAAGAAAGAAGACCATTATTAATTTGTTGCTATAAATACTTTGACCACTATTTATTTGTTGCTATAAATACTTTGACCACTATTAATCTGTTGCTATAGATACATGTACTAGTATTTTAAGTGACCCACTGACCTGATTAGGCCCGCCACATCCTCCCACCACTAAAATGTGATTTTCATCCAGTGTAACCTGTCAATGTAAATATTACTATCAACACTCTGCTAAATGCTTTCTCTTAGAAAAGATACTAAATTCAAAAACCTTTATATGTCTACTGATTATAAAACTACTGGTAAGTTTACACTTAACAAGTTGCAGAATGCCCTCAGTTAGAATGCTAAACTCAAAGTCAGATACTCAACAGACTAATCTGATCAGACAGAAATACATGTACAAAGAGTTTATCTGACTTTCATGTATATTTTTAAGTAGTCCAAAATTTCTGATATTTTTGGGCCAGTTTTCACCTGTGTGGCATGTTTAAACATCACAATGGTGAAAAAAACATACTAAGTAAATATCAGTCTTTTCAGAATAATTTCTTAGCAGTGGAGCAACTTCTTATTCAACATGACCTTGACCTAGAAGTTTGACATAGAAGAGACAGGGCTTTCATTTTTTTTTTTTCATATGTTCATTGCTTAATTGTGATAAGACAGTTCAATGAGAAGACTTCTCAAGTAGACTTCTTATTCAATGTTTATTCAATATTCACCACTTCTGCTTTATGAGAAAGAAAACCAATTCAACAAATGAATACTTTAATGAAATTATTATTATAAGCAATGTGTGCATTTTCAGCTGGCTCCTTTTTATTTGGTTCCCTCGGGTCTTTCATGGGAGATGAGTTAATACATGTACAAGGTATATGAATATTTGTGTTGGGAGTCCCATATGTGTACGAGGGTTGTCCCAGAAAAACACGAACTTTTTGAATATTTCAAAAACTATTTGACCAAAATAAATAATTTTTTGCACTTTGTTGGGAAATGAAATTTTTGCTATTTTGACAAAATATTATAAGGTTTTAATGTCATATGCATGTAAAAATAGCTTTTAAAGGGTGTCAAATATCGGTGCTCAGCGCACGGCAATTTATTGAGTTAAAGAAATAGCATTGTCAGGGAAGTTTTCTTTATTAGCAGGTTATACGGAAATATAATGTGAAAAAAAATAACCTCCATAAAAACTCTATGATCTGAAGTACTCATGTGTAAAAATTCATTAATTTAGCATCACAAATGACAAAAATATGACGTTAGATGCAAAACCACCTTTACTTAGATATTGTCAAAAATAGTGACGTCGGGCAAGAATGCGGAGCACCAAATTATCAAGCAGTACTGTTGAGCGGGATATGACCCCTGTCTATACAGGAAAAAGATATGTAAACGATGGAACAACACAAACATATATCTTGAACACAGATTTATACCAAACTCAAGAGGTTTGAGGATGGCTTGACTGGATTCGATAGAAGAAGCGATTAGTAGACCGACAAACTGTATAGTCAGAAACTGAACGTGGCGACAGCTGTATAACTGAGCAAGCAGTTAGATAAACTTATGACCTGGGTTGGGAAATTGTTAAAGTTTATTAAAAGGATTAATTCTGCAAACTTTTGGAAATGCAGATTAATACCTGAGATGGATAACTTGATAACTAAAAAAAATTTAAAACAGTGTCGAATTTATGCCTTAAACGAATTTTATCAGACGCACGATTCCATAATAAATTCACAAATGCCACGAGTTACGTTTTGACGTCCTCAGTGTTGCGCCGACAGCTATTTTGTAAGATTCGTTTCTCTGAGAGAAAAATGTTATTTATAGAGATATTTTATTCAAATTTTTAATTATTATTAATAAAATGTTGATTATGGTGTATGCCAATTTTTAACATTATAGTATTAGTGAAACAGAAGATATTGAAAATGTTCGCGTTTTTCTGGGACAACCCTCATACTTAAAATTTAAATAAATCATCTGTTTTTCAGATCTATAATGACAGTGCAAATTTAACTATGTGAAGCTACAATGTATATGACAAAAGACTAATGAATTCAACAAATCTGCCGACCTGTGTTTGTCCATAGCGAGGATTTGGTCGTTTGTTGCCAGTGTGTTTTCTCTGCCAAGTCATATCAATAAAATTAAACTCCCAAACTTCATTATTTCTGTAAAATAGACAACAGGGTTTTTTTTTCTTCAATGGAAAAAAAAAAGACAAAAAATACAATAATGCAAATTAAATGGATATACAAGAAAACCATTGAAAAATGATCTGAAACTTAATGATAAAAATAGAAAATTGCAAACTTACCCTGTTCCAGGGACATGTGACCCTCCAAACACTACCATCCTGTCCCCCACAATGGATGCTGAGTGGCCAGCTGTGGGGGCAGGGCTGACAGGTGACATGGTGTTTAGGTGGTACCAGCGATTTTGCTCTGGTTTATAGATGTGTAACTCTGAGAAAAACCTAGCAGCCTGGAATATGACATTTTTACTCGTTATCATCAACAGTGGAATAAAGCTGAATTTTTACTGCAAACACAAACTTTCATGTTTTCTGTCCATGTAAATACAAAATTTAAAGAAAAAACTGTCTCATACAGTGTACATGTATAGTTTTCAAATGGTTAATACTGAAGTTAATTCTACAGAGAATCAAACTGAATATAACTTTTCACTTGGTTTCAGAAAGTCCTCTCAACAAAAAATTTGACAATCATGATGAAATTCTGCACTGATGAAAATTTCTTGGAATGGTTTTAAGTTTGTTATTTTTGTGGCAGAGGTCCAAGTAAGCCTGAATGATTTTTCAAAGTTTAGTTATGCATCTTGTTTTAGTCATATTACCTGATGGAGAGGGTAGGGGGTGGGGTGGCTCCAACCTCCAAACAAGACTAAACTGTCTTTGTAAACAACTAAACTGGCACAAGCTTTGGGGGAAGGGTAGGTACCTGAAATGATTCAACTCAGCAATTCAATACTTGGACCAAGTAACTTGGTCACATACCTTATGCATGTAAATGTTCATACAAGTGATACAAATACTAGTATGTGTAAAATGTGGCTCTACAATGTTAAGTGTATCTCTTGAGCATTCTTTACAGAATTCAGAATTTTTACCAATAGCTAGAGGTCTGATCCACTGTCTCTCTTTGAGGTCAAATCTCCAGAGGTCATTGAAGGTTGTGTTGGTGGAGGTACAGCCACCAAATATGTACATAGATTTGTCGTAATAGCAGGCACAATGGGAGTACCTCTCTGTGATATTAGATCCCACCTCGGGAGTGATTCCCGTCCACTCCAGCTGACCATCCACAATCCCGCAGTAAAAGCTTTGATACATCTGTCGGATTACTCCTGAAAATAAATATACCAAGTCGATGAAATAGTTAATGTTTCTAACCACAATCCCTCAGAAATGTCTGATTTCAATTATTAATAGTTTCAGTGGAGTCGCATGGACATAAAGCTATACATGTACTACTCTAACTATTCTTTACCACTCTTAAGTGTTTAATAAAAATGTACAATTTCTTTATGGTATCAATTATTATGATAATATGTAGTTTAAAATTCACATTATTTGCAAGTTCTCTCACTTATTATCTATTTTATTATTTATTTTAAATTGACAGAAGCACACTACGGATATTTTACACTGAAGCACTTTATGTACGTATATCATGTATATATCAGGCTTTCTCTGACTATATGGCCAGAAAGTAGATTTCAAATAATTTGAACTATTAATACTTAAAATAAATATTTATTCAAGATGCACATCTACACATGACCAAGCCAGCCTCCATCACTACATCATGCCAGTATAGCAATAAATCCTGAGAGAAAAAAAAATGATTAAGAACCGAACAACCATATTTGTTCATTGTGATACATGAAAAAATAAGAGTTATTTTCAAGACACAATGTAGTTACATATCGACAGATTACTTTTTTATAGTTTACTACAATATTTCTTTATACTTGTGCATATATTGGAATACTTTCTGTTTACAAAGTTTTCCTCACTGTAAATATCCACAATATCCTATCAAATAATATTAATTCATGACTGATCAATGGATTATGGTTACCACCCTTATATTGTGTTTTTCAAAATGCGAGTTACTTGAATACTATCACTATATGAAGTTTTCCCTGAAGTGTGATATCAAAGATATCGCTTTGATAACAAATCAAGTTTGTTCAACCCTTGGTTGGCACCATCCTTGCCATTGTGTATGTGTGTCTATGTTTAAATACTTTACATTTATGAAGATTGAATCTACTATTGATATCGTCGATATTGACAATTTCATTTTGATATCAAATCATTTTCATCATCACTCTTGTGGATGTATTTCTTTATGCTATACTTGTGCACATATACTTTCTGCTGATTAAGTTTACCCTACTGTGATTTTTCAAACCATAATGTTTTTACCATTGACATTGCTTGTTGCCTTAAATAATTATGTTATACTTAAACTTGAAAATAAATTGTACAGAGCAGGATCAATATCGATCCGATATCATCATTATATCATCAATATCGACATAGCCCTAAGTCTTATATGGTATCCAGTATTTCCAATTTCATAGTACTGATCAGGATCGATATTGTTATGATATTGACATAATATTTTTGAAGCTGACATCCAATTCATTCTTGGACATGTTGGACATGTATGAAAAAACTACCATACCACTAATAATCACAAGGCTTACACAGATGTTCTACCAACTGAGTTATTTGACCACCAGTAGAACCAGTTTGCCTTACAGATATAACAAATATAGATCATTCTACTTTGGGAATCTCATTTTATCTGCACATAAAAATGTAAATCAAAAAGTATGTTTTTTTCATCAAAATAAATCATTTGAGAGACCTCTGAATCCACTTCTGAAAACAGTTTTAAAGTTAAAAAAAATATATGTGCAAAACTTCCATCAACAGAGAGTAATGCTGACAACTGATAGATTTGTTTCTGGAAAATCAAACCACATTTCAATGTTCATTAATTTACACGCACCCACTGCTGATAATTTTATATTGATTACCAACTTACATCCACCTTGTTAGAACTACAGAGGCTCTCAGGGATTTTTTTAGGGTCTCTCCGGGGCCGAAATTCGGCCCCATTCCCAATGCTGAAAAGTGTATGTTTTTCCCAAAATTATACCTAAAAATTCCCAATATGAAAAAAAAGTATTAAGGTGTAAATTATCAAAATAAAATAATGACACAAAGGTGTTTATGTTCTCCATGTGCGATGTACGAGCCATCCGAGGAGTTCTGAGAAGTTATTCGAAATACTACAGATGTTTGTATGCATACTTTTTAAAACGGGATCGATGTTTAAAAATTAAAGTCGGGATCATTATTTAATAAATAATCGTGCATCATGTCAGTCCCTCCAGTTTGCCTAGGACGGTAATTTTCAGGCAGGCTGGGTTGAATCGCTCTTATTCTTATAAATTGGTCAAACAATACCGATTAACCCATCATCTGTAACAAACCCAATCTCAAATTTTATCTTAAAGAACTTCTTACAGAAAGGTAAAAAAGATGACAATTCATTTACAATGTTATCATACCCTGCGGCTTTGCCATTTTTAAGCTTTTGAACTTCAACAGCGGCTAGTATTATTTCATATCACTAAAGCTGGTTTAAGCCAGCTTCATGCTATAAAAAATAAGAAAAATGATTAAATATTTGACTTTTGCTTCTTTTTTCCTATTTATTTATATGAAGATATTTTTCCCAATTTCAACCAAATATCGCTATTTTTCCCAATCTTGACGGCCCCGGCCCCTGGAATCAAAGGGTAAAAAATCCCTGGCTCTAATCCAAAATTGAAATAGATGGATGTAATGAATGGTTATCCAATGTTTACATGCTCATTGGCAAACATGTAAATGTGATTTAATCTTCCAAGCCTTGAAGGTTGAGCTCTTTGAATCATGATGGAAATAGTAACATGTTATGGTGAACAATCTTGTGACACCATCTGGTTGCAGGAATTCAAGGTTTTCTATATGACATCTGCTGTGACTCTCCTCAGCAAATAATAAACTATAAAAGTGGGGGTAAGAGTCATAGGAGTACCATAGTACAAAATGAAAAGTGATTACAATGTACATGCTCATGTTATTTTATAGAAACTATACCATACCATAATAACTTTGCAAATATAGACATACTGTAGTAAAATACTGTATCTAATTCTAATTCATTTAAGTGTAACTACCTTGAACAAGCCGATGCCACTGTCGATTTACCAACATGGCACATTTTAAATCTCTATAGGGCGACAAATGAAGCAAAATGAATTCCAGAATTTCCTCCGGTAGGTCTGTGATCTGTAAAGATCCTTGGACGGAGCTCTGGGTCCCTTTATCTGACGGTTTTGTTGACAAAGCCATTTCAAAGGGGTTAATGAGTTTTTAAACTGTCCTGGTTAACAAATGTTCATTGTGGTTTTCTTTATTTTCGTTGTAACGGTTGTTGTTGACAAAAATTCGAAACGCTTTGAGATCACTTTCCTCATTTCAAAATATTCTGCAAGTTGAGCCCGATTTTCAAAGAAGAGAAGAAATGCGTGGGTTTTCTTAGACAGTTAATTTTATTCTGAGTCTTTTAATATAATCTAAAATTAAAAAAAAAAATTCTGCCCTACAATTCAAGTTTTTAAAAAAGATATATCAGTGCTTTTCATTGACAATTCTTCATTATTAGTCGGGTTTGATATTTCGTAATTATTTATTTCCAATATTGAAAAAATTCGGGCCAAGAGCATGACCGGTTATTTTCTCTTTCTTCTGAGCCTTTTGCAATCGCTCCTGTTGTCTCAAGCGCTGTTTGAGGATCAGATAGGAAAATTTGACTGGTAGGTATACTTAAACACCACAAAAACTAAAATCATACTTGAGATAGACGTCGTAGAGGTACCCCCTCCCAGTACTCTGCTCACCAGCTCAGTATGCAGCAGCAGTGTCAGTCTCATTCCACACAGACTTTAACATCCTTGTGAGAAAATAATTAGGATAGACTTTACTTTACCGGTCCCGAGATCCGCGTGCTCATTGCACTATGACATATTAGATTTACATCACTCAACTGTTAACAGGTCCGGCACAATCTCTTGATTTAGCTATATAGCTTGATTTAGCTATATAGCTTTATTAAGCTATTCAGAATAGCTTGATTTAGCTATTTTATCACACCTTTCTCTTAAATGTGTTATTTTCTCAGCATGCACAAAAAGTCGCACCTTGGTGCAGTGATAATATTCAACCTTGAACTCTTCTGAAAATAATGCATGTAAAAATCACTCATCAAATTGTGTCTCCTTAAGAGACTTTGTACTCAAAGTTCTAAAAGTTTTGGGGCTATATAAAGCAATTGATACAGTTACTTCTTCATTGAAATTATAAAAGAGGCCAATTATGGTCAACAAGATAATTGATTGGTAATAATTCAGTACAATGAGAAGCAATCATACTTATCCATGCCTCAATGCACACAAGGTAGTGTACTGTAACTCAAACATTGGAAATTCATCTTTTGCTTAAGATTATTCAAATGCTGCAATGATAGAACTATCTTTGATTTCTGTTGTTGTTTTGATAGCCCATAGTACATATATGAATAATCAAATACTTGCGACTTTTTGTCTCTTTCTTACAAAAAACATTTTTCTGAAAAACTCATAAATAGCTTGATCAAGCTATTTTAAATAGCTTAATAAAGCTATATAGCTTTTTCAAGCTTTAAAGCTAAATCAAGAGATTGTGCTAGACCTGGTTAAGGGTTGGTCTTGCACATTTTTAGACTCGTTATAGGGTAAGTCTTGCACCCACCTGAAAGATAAGGGTTAGTCCTTGCACGAGTTTTTGACTGATTCGGGTTAGTTTCGCATCCATCCAAGAGAGTAGGGTTAGTCCTTGCACATTGGTTAGTCTAGCATATGCCAGGGAGATTTGGTTTAGTCCTCACATACCATTCGAGAGATTTAGGGTTAGTGTCTTGTTTTTTTAGATTAATTAAGAAATTCAGTTGCATCTGTATTTTTTGCAAGATCTTAATTCAGTTTCAAAGACATCACATTTGTTTGTTTACATGAAAAAAAGGCCAAGTATGAAAGAAACGGCACTATGCATGCACGGCACGCGCTATGTTGAAAATTCTTTTTTGTCTCCTTTTCACTGAATAAACAATATTTATTACTTTTTTTCAGAGAACGAGGTTAGGTTGATATCCACAGCCCAAACCATTACATTCAGGGTTGTCCCTAAGACCTGGGGGCTGGGGAATTTCCCCGCCTGTCATGACGTATCCCCAGTTACTCTGGTATTCCCCCTCATCCCCCAATCAATGGAGGCACCCCAGACCCCTTGTACTTTTTTAATGTCCCCTGCTGTTTCAATCCTTAGGGACAACCCTGACACTCCTTAAATTGTCTTAGCCCTCGAAGACACAACCAAAGGTCTTATTTGCCCTTGGCCCCTGCATCTCTAGTCAGGTGCTCTAACGACTGAGCTACCCAGGCAGATATCCACAGCCCAATCCATTACAATTGCACCCTTATTTCCAAGGGTAGATTTTACTTTACCAGTCCCCAGATCCTCAACATCCACCCTCATTGCACTATTGTGTAATGATTATGTCACTTGACAGATAAGGTTAGTCTTGCACCCATCCATGTTAAGTCTTCGCAGAAGTAGTAGATGGGTTAGGGTTAGGATCACACCCACCCGAGAGATTAAGTTTAGTCCTCACACACTGTTTGACTGATTAGAGTTTGTTATGCACATGTCCAAGAGATTAGGGTTAGTCCTCGCATATCACCCAAGAGAATAGGGTTAGTTTATTATAATTCAAGTCTCAAATTTTTTTCAATTAACATATTTTCAGTTGAATCAACCATATGATGATAGACTCTGATAGACCCATGAATTTTTGCCAGATCTTTTAGCATCAGTGGTATCATGTTTAATTGTTTAAGTTACAAAATGACAAATTACAAAAAAAAATACTGTATGTGTACTTAAAAAACGGGCTTCATATTTTAGCGGCATTGGCGCAGACAACAATGTTCTAATCCATGAATACAGCTAAGAAATCATTTATATATTCAATATACCACATGGACATGTATAGCGCTAATTCATGATTACGCCAACAACTCCATACCCAGTGATTGGGCTATATTTTGAATACGTCAATTTATGTACACGTACAGTATTACCAAGCTCAGCTATGGGCACTTCATTATTTCATATTTTGTTGATTTCCACTGTATAAATGTCAATATTTATTGATTATAGAATATATTTTTGATTACAAGGTTAAGAAATACAATTTAAAAATGAAGTCTTAATGAAACTAAACTTTTAATTGTAGATTTTGATTCGGGGTCAAAAAGACCCAAAATATCAATTTCTGATTTTTTTATTGCTCACACGATATTATGTAAATATATGGTAAAGTTAATACTGATAGGTCGCAAGAGAAGGAATTGGCTACGATTTGACAGCGACAACTTTTAAAAATTAAATAATTATCACTTTATAGACACACACCAGTTTACCAGAATCTGTCAGTCATGATCAGAATCATTGTCTTTAATTTTACTGACAAGTGGTATATTTTTTAATTTAAATCAGTAGGTTTTGGACGTTTTTAATTATTGTTTTACATAATTATGTACAACTTGATAAATACACTCAAACTACAAATATATAGTAAAATATGGCAAGATATTATTTTGGAAGAAAATTTTCATGGGGGTCCCTATAGTGCAGAGCTTATACCATGAAAAGTAATGCGTCAACGCGTCTATGTTATAAAAGCAAGTTTTTCAAGCTTGAGCCCATTTAATGCCAAGTCTGTCTGCATGAATATGATGATTTAAACAAAAACCAAATAAAGCTGATATTTTCAGGTTTCAAAATATCGTAAATCATCTGTGTTTATTTTCAGGCATCAACAATATGTAGGAAAGATTAACGACATTTTTTGGGACCAGTCTTTTCATGCTGGTAAACGTGTGCTGGTGTCCTCTGAGAGGCATGTTCTAGCATCAGTACACTCCCACAATGGTTCCCTGGGTTAGTATCATCTAATATTTATATAACATGTCACCTCAATCAGTACACTCCCACAATGGCTCCCTGGGTTAGTATCATCTAATATTTATATAACATGTCACCTCAATTAGTGCACTCTCACAATGGCTCCCTGGGTCAGTATCATCAAATACATAAAATATCACTTCAATCAGTACACTCCCAAAATGGCTCCCTGGGTCAGTGTCATAGGTGTATTATTATATTAAATGGCACCTCAATCAATGCAATAACATGCAACAGTCTGTTGTGTATATTTGATATGTTACATCAGTCAGTTTTTCATGCATATACAGCATTATTAAGCAGTTCAGTGCAAAAATATACAGTGTGATTTAAATATGGAATAAATTAATGTTCAAAGTTTTCTGGAAACATCTTCATATTTCTGACATTGTGTATTGATATATAGTAAAACATGTTTATAGGGAATATGTTTATAACATTTACGCTTACAGAGAAGTGATTTTCATTCCCTGTGTTTTTAAAATATATTGTTGACTTAAGGGATATAATGAATTACGTTTATAGCGAAGCAAAATCGTCCATCCCTGGCACTTTGTTATAATCATGTTATACTGTAATAATGTTTACCTAAACTTTGACTATCCAACTTTTTTCAATAAAGCCTGGAGAAAAGTTTTAGAAGAAGGAAAAAGGGGTCAGATAGACAAAACTCTCTACTCAGGAAATGGTAAGTGAACAACAAATGAAAACTCAATAACTGAGAGCAAGTCAAATTTAGTCATGCATAGTGGTATGAATTGAGGGAGAGAGATAGGGATGAAATTAAATTTATCAGCCGTAAGTTAGAAATGTGACTCAACTTTATTTTTCACAGTTTTGATTACGGTGAATGGAGGTGGACAATTTGTCAGAAAATGGAATCCTGGGACGGGTATAGCAGACTGGGACATCCCTTTGCCTGGGTCAAAGCAGGGGAGGTAATCTGGCTCTGTGTGATGTGACACCCTGGTTTATTGTTTGCCATAGCAGTAGCCTTTGTTCATTGGTGTAATTTGAACTGGACCAACATTTGTGTCAATTGAATTTTTGTTGCATACATAAAAATATTGTTATCGATTTTAAATATCAACATTTTAAGTGGGAAAAATATTTTTGAGATGTCACACTGCTTACTTAGCTATAAGAAATGAAGCGTCTCCTTACAAATGTGTATAATATTATGTTTGACAGGACTGACATTGTTCTGTGCAGTAAGGACCTAGTGGCTGTCCTGACACAGGAAGCTCTTGTTGGTTTGGATACTCGGTCAGGGAAACAAAAATGGTCTGTTGCACTTCCTCAAAGGTGAGACATGTTCCAACATTTGTATCAGTAAATTTTTTTTTTAGATATCATGGTTTGTCTGGAGTAAAAGATTTAAATTTAGAGACATGCTCAGACAACTTTGTAAGATGATATTAAATAAATAAATTTGAAGGCTTCAGTTTTGCATTTGATTGCCATCCCCAGAATGAAAATCAGTTTCAAATAGAACTTATTATTTATCAGCATGAATCCAGAAAAAAGGTTTAATATGTTATTTTTTTCCTCTGTTTTAGGAATCAGGTGGTGCACACACTGCTGACCTTGTCAGGAACAAACCTTTATGTGATTGGTCATTCTTATGGAAAACAGGTCACCATAGTAACAGTAGATGTGGAAGGTGTAATCAAGTCCACAAGATCTGTGTCGTCACCATGGCTATCAGCTAACACACAGTATGTTAGCCAGTTACATTATCTTGATTCCTGTATATCTTTGCCAGTAACTTGACAGCAAAGTCATATTTATTTGTAAACTTGATATATCTGTTTCAGATGTGTGGTGTCTGATGGTGGATTCTTAGTTTGCTACAGAGGCGAGGACCAAACTCTACAGATGTTAACTTTATCTGAGGATCAGACCTTTAAGACGACTAGTTTGCAGGTATGTGTAGATATTGAACCTTGATTTTCTGTAATACATGTAGTAAGAGTGTCAATTGTTTCTCTTTTATTTCAGTCTACATTTTTTGCAAAAAAGGAGTGTGTGAAATTTATTCTGTTGCTGAGGGTTGTAAATTCATACTGACATAATATTTTGTATATTAGCACCTGTCAGGTGACCAAAAATGTCTCTTCTTCAGGTTTTAGGCTTAGAAGCAACTAATTCTGTTACCATAGAAACATCCAGAAAGACCGATGATCCTTATGTGTTTCTGCGGATGGCAAAGGATCACTTGGTCTTAGTAGAAATCACGGCTCAGGGAGCCAAACTCAAGAAAAATCTCCCCAAGGTTAGTGAAGAAAACAGCTGCAATGACTGTATAAAATATGGACGATAGTGTAGTTATAGTAAAACATGGACTATAGTGTAGTTATAGTAAAACATGGACCATTATGTAGTTATAGTAAAACATGGACCATTGTGTAGTTATAGTAAAACATGGACCATTGTGTAGTTATAGTAAAACATGGACCATTGTGTAGTTATAGTAAAATATGGACTATAGTGTAGTTATAGTAAAACATGGACTATTGTGTAGTTATAGTAAAACAGTTTTTTAATGTCATTGTCTTTTCTTAAATAAAACAATGCTGGTTATATTCTACATCTAATTTTAGATCTGTGCAGCACAAGTGACCTCCCTTGATGATCAATCCATGCTATTTACAATAGAGAGGTCTACAGGGGTAATTATATAAATACAGACAATTACTTTACAGCTTTTATGATTGGTCTTAACAAAGATGTGCATATTTAAAATTGTATGATATAAATACAGTACATTTTAATTCAGTGTCTGGCAATATTTCCATGCTTTTTAGCATTTTCTTTATCTGTATCATCTTTTTAACTAAAGTTTAGGGTCTTTACTTTATAATTGAGATAGACATAGAAGATCATTCTGTGCTTATATGTGTGATTAAAAAATGTGATAGTGAACTCAAGGTCAGTTTGTCATGGTCATTGGAAGATACATGTACGCAGGAAACCTAAGTTTTATACAAACAGATACAGTAAAACCTTGTTATCTCCAACTCAAGGGGACTGAGAAAAACCTTCAAGATATGTAAAGGTTCAAGATATTGAGGTCAAAATACATTAAAAAAAATAATGATTGAGGCTTTCAAATTACTTCAACATATCCATTGTATTCAAGTTGTCAAAGTTCAAGATATCAGAATACAACTGTGTGTATAAAACACTGAAACTTGTGCTTTACATGAAGTTTGCTTATAGCTAGAGAGCTTGTTAAGATACATTTATTTTGTTTGACAGTTAAGGCCAGTAGGTTTCTTGTTCCATCCTAAGTGTTTGACAAAGCTTTCATAAGAATATACCATAATGCCATCTATATATCAAACACTCTTAAGTTAAAACTGTTTTTAAATTAATAGGAGCTAAAGATGAGAGTTTATGATCTCAGTACTGGAGGTGAAATAGCTGACTTATATCAGACTATAACCTACCTACCACAACATGGATTTCCTCAGAGGGTAAGATTGATAGAGATATCAGACTATAACCTACCTACCACAACATGGATTTCCTCAGAGGGTAAGATTGATAGAGATACCAGACTATAACCTACCTACCACAACATGGATTTCCTCAGAGGGTAAGATTGAAAGAGATATCAGACTGTAACCTACCTACCACAACATGGATTTCCTCAGAGGGTAAGATTGATAGAGATATCAGACTATAACCTACCTACCACAACATGGATTTCCTCAGAGGGTAAGATTGATAGAGATATCAGACTATAACCTACCTACCACAACATGGATTTCCTCAGAGGGTAAGATTGATAGAGATACCAGACTATAACCTACCTACCACAACATGGATTTCCTCAGAGGGTAAGATTGAAAGAGATATCAGACTGTAACCTACCTACCACAACATGGATTTCCTCAGAGGGTAAGATTGATAGAGATACCAGACTATAACCTACCTACCACAACATGGATTTCCTCTGAGGGTAAGATTGATAGAGATACCAGACTATAACCTACCTACCACAACATGGATTTCCTCAGAGGGTAAGATTGATAGAGATATCATATCATAACCTACCTACCATAACATGAATTTCCTCAGAGGGTAAGATTGATAGAGATAACAGACTATAACCTACCTACCACAACATGGGTTTCCTCAGAGGGTAAGATTGATAGAGATATCATATCATAACCTGCCTACCACAACATGGGTTTCCTCAGAGGGTAAGATTGATAGAAATATCATATCATAACCTACCTACCACAACATGGATTTTATCAGAGGGTAAGATTTACAGGTATATGAGATTTTCAGTGGTTGAGTACAGGTACATTTATAGAGACGGATGAGAATAAGATTGACAGAGACAAATGGGATAAAAGTTAATATAGAGACTGGTTTGGATACAATTTAAAGGACATGTGGGGTAAAATTGTGAATGCTTTCTTATTGTCAGTTAAAAGGACAGACAACAAATCTAAAGTACAAACCAAATTAACTTAAACTGGAAATGTATTGAAAGGTGATTGTGACACATACAGATTTGTTCATTTTAATTGCATTGTTGAGTATTAGATTATGATAATGCATTTATAGCCATGTTTGAAGGTGTTAGATAAGAAGCACTGGGATAATAATCATACATTATTTACACAGACAAGCTGTACTTGACCATGGCACCTATACTATTCAGTTACACTGTGGATCTCTCTTTCAGATGGAGGTCCTGCTGTTTAAGAAGAGAGACCTTAGGATTGGTTGTAGGTTTGCTATCCTCTCCGAAGATTACTCCATGCAGATGGTACTTAAAGCAGGTATGATGTCATATTTCATATCATGTAAAGAGGACTTTAATATATAAATCATCAGATAACATGTAGGTTTCTGTTTTGAGCAATAACAATGTATTATATGATCACATCCTGACATTGCTATTTTCACTTTCTATAGAGCGGGACGCAGCCCCGGGTAAATGAGTAATCAGGCTCCGGGGCCATAAAACTTAGATGAGCTCACTTTTGATCTCAGTCTCAATTTTCCATTATATATTCCTTTGGAAAAAGTGAGATTGAGATCAAAAGTGAGCTCATCTAAGTTTTATGGCCCTGGAACCTGAGCTGTATATATATATATATACATGTATATTGCATGAGTTTTGTGTCAGAGGTTACTGTTGTGTATGACGTGTTCATTGTCTATAGTTTACATGGGAATGGTGTGAAAGAATCATCAAATTTTTGTTAAATGTGTCTTCAATGTTTACATGTATTCCGAAAAATACGGATGTAGAAGTTTTAAAATTATGTAAGTTTATGAAGAATTCCAAGAAGATGATCTTTTAAAAATAAAAATTAACTGTAGCATTTTTTAAAACTATTTTATCAGGTTTGAAGTACATTTATATTCAAAATATTTACAATACTATGACATTCAACTTTGTACATAAAGCTGCCACATTTATACATATGGGAACAGATACTTGAGTGGGAAATAGTATTGCATGTAAAAATGTCCATATAATTTGAGCGAAATTCATTACTGAAGAGTACATTACATTCACAGTAACTTGAATTAAATTGATATTTTTCAAAGATCTAATAGAAATTTCTACTTAATTTTACAGGGAAGATAGCGTGGAGGCGAGAGGAAGCCTTGGTGTACGTGTTGTCTGTAGAAATGATCGATCTACCAGTGTCCGAGAACCAGGCCAAGTACGAGGATGAATTCGGATCTCACAAGGGTAATCTGTCAGGCATAGTCCAATAATGATATAGTAATAAAGAAGTCAATGATGTGACAATAAACTTAAGAAAATTAACGATTTATCATTATACCTGATGTAAATAATTTTTCTTTCAAATTTATGATCTTTTGTATTTTCTCAATTCCAGATGACATCGCTACAATGTTTATAAAGAGATTCAAGACTCAGTTTTCCCAGCTTAAGGTAAGCTTGCTTTAGTCAGATGTCCCATTTAGCCATACTTGTAAAAGATTGTATCTCATACTGGTTCATGCAAATTTACAACACGTAGAGTAGGTCTTCCTGCTGATTCAGTAATGAACAGTTAGTCATAGACCATTATCCTGTGAAACAAAGATTGAATCATATCAAATGCATTCTTATTCTTATCACTCCTATTTGATTATAAAACAACTAGTTCTTTAAATTTCAATCAAATGCATGGACATTAATTTCTTAAAAAAGATCAATTGCACAAAAAAGCCATTATTTTGAGCAGAAAAGGGTTGCATATATTTTAAACTTAAAACAAATCGGGCACTCTTTCACATGCCTGATACTATGTATTCTGTCTACTGAATGTGTGTAATGTGTAAAATTTAATTAAAATTTAATTTCTCCCCAACAGACATATATACAGCAACAGATTCAGAGGCTTCAAGGTCACAGACATCACCACCACGACATTGAGGCCATGGCAGAGGGTGGTTCTGAAGACGAGGACGAGGAATTAACAAGAGATGAATTCAACCTTAACAAACTTATCGTCCTAGTAACAGGGGCTGGCAAAGTAAGTATGAATTCAACCTCAACAGAGTCATCATGCTAGTAAAAGGGAATGCCATTCATGTGCTGTCAATGAAATACTGTCATTTTACAAAGAAAAATTATGGAATATAAAATAAGAATTTCATCTTGTCTCTGCATAACACATTGTTAAAAATACTGAATAGACATAAAAAGTTTGATAATGAAAAATGTTTATAATTTTTATTGAACCATCAAGTTATATTAACTGTATGTTGTCACATACATGTAAGCTTGTGCAAAAAAGACTTTTTCATCAATAAAATATTGTATGTGCTCTGAGTACCTTGCACTCGACTATCAATACAGGTATCTTTAGTTGCTTGTCTCTTACCCTCCAGCAAAATCTTAGCTCTTCGTTGTTTTATGCTTTATTCTGCAGTAGTCTTTTAGAGACAATTTTCCTACTGAAATTCCTCTCCCTTTTGGCTTCTTTTGTGCATTCAAAAAATAATGAAAATCAACACATACTAGAATTATTTGTAAGAAGAAAAAAAAAGCAGAGGCAGCTACTTGAAATGAAAATCAAATTCAAAAACTCTAGATATAGTGAAATATAGCTTGATATGTAAGCTTTCATTCATAATATCCATTTTCACTATCAAGTTAAACATTTTTATAAAATAATTTAGCTCCAAGAAAGTGTTTAAACTTTGTGAAATCCATGTTCTTTTCAGATTTATGGTGTGCGAAGTACTAATGGTCACATTGAATGGGAACACTTCTTTCCTGAGTTAACTCCCTTTGATAGATACGATCAACAGAAACTATTACTCTATGTTCAGAGGACAACAGCTCATTTTCCTAATCCCCCTCAGTGTACAGTCGTGGGGAAACACAAGGTACAGGGGTGAAGCACTATCTTACAACACTATGTACAACAATGTAAATGATAAGTTGAATTTTTTATGACCTATGAACTTCATAGGTACAACAGGATTAAATGTTCAAGAATGAAACTAAGTTCAAGATTGCAGAATGAGTTTACTGATCTTACTTTTGTGTTTCAAAACTCATATTTTGATAATGCACAAACATCATATTTACTAGAGAGACTAGTCTGAGGAAGATGCATGTACCATCATTTTACATATGAACTTGACACTTTATGATTTAGCTGACAGGCAATGGCTTCCTGTTCTCATTTAATCCAATCAGTGGAGAGCCTGTAGACACACCCCCTGGTGGCCAGATGTTGAATTACAGAATTGTACAGACCAGTATGGTGGGAGAATTAGATGACCACTTCCTGCGAGGCATTCTCCTTCTGGACCCCAGTGATCAGGCAAGGAGATTTAATTTACTAGAAATGCTCTATATCAACTAAATACATATGTTCAAAATCTATCTCACAATAAAATGCTAACAAAAAGTAATTTGCTTCCATTTTTTAAGTCTCCACCTCCAAACCCTGAATAAAATAGATATTCTTCTCTGTAAAAGTAATTTCAGTACTTTTAGTACTTCAATTATTCCTCATATTAAGTTTAATACTATAAAACTCAGTTATAAATAGCTCGGTTACTAGTATAAGGAAATTTCTATTATCTTAATTTTTTTTATGAACCTCCTTGGCGACTTTCATTATGTTCCTTATAAGGAAGTAAAATTCGAAATCCGAGCCACTTCCTCATAACCAGGTTTTACTGTATTAGCTTAACTGATTCAACTTTCACATCTAAAATTAAATTTCTATTGTAACTCCAAAAGCCTTATTTTTCCTATTTGTAGCCTTTATTTCTCTCAGTTTCTATTGTATATCTTTTCATTCAGGTTCACGTATTCCCAGAAAAGTGTTCCTCTGTTCTAAGAAGGACTTATAAGTCCCATTTTATGTTTGTGGCAGACAGAGACACAGGATTTATTTATGGGTACAGGATAGTCCCAGGACAAGAGGTAGCTGATTTTAATTGTAAAAAAAAAGTTAAAATTTAAGAATTATGTGTTGTATTTTCTTGCAAACAGTAATATTAAAGTTGACATTCTATTCTTGAAATGCAGAAGTTTATCATGGAGAAAGTATGGACAGTAAATCTTCATAAGAAACAACAGACAATAACACAAGTACTGGGCAAAAGACCACAGGGTACGTCTTTTTTCCAGCTGGTACCTAGTTATCAATTGGGGTTCATCTTGTCAAATTTTTTTCTTTCCTTGGAAATGAAGTTTTTTAGGATATTAAGTACAGTATAAGTGTAATATCTTGCATCCAACTGTTTTGAGTCTGTGCACTTTTCAGAATTTGCTTTTTATCTCACTTTTTTCTGTATTCTGGTTTTTTTTTCAGAACAAGTTCATTCCCAGGGTCGTGTTTTAGGAGACAGAAGTGTTTTGTATAAATACCTTAATCCCAATCTAGTTGTCATGGTTACAGAGGGAGAAATTCAGGAACAGTCCCAGAAAGGTCTGTCTTATGATCTTTTTTTCAATACATTAAGGGTGAAAAAACTCTTAATAAATTATTGACAAACTTTAGGCATGTTTTCTTTTTTCTTTTCTTTTTTTTTTTTTTTTTTTACAATTCCAGTAATACCAATAATGTTTTTTTTACATACATGTGTAACAGGAAAGGAGAACATGTAAGTTGGACCGGGAATCTAACCCGGGACCCCTTCATCACAAGTCAGGTGCTCTACTGACTGAGCTACCCAGGCCGATATCTACGGCCCAAACCAGGATTCTCAAACCTGGACCCCCTGAATCTTCAGTCAGGTGCTCTACCAGCTGATCTATCTGGCCACTGACGATCGAACCCATCTGATCACCACATTCCTCCCTCCTCAGATTGTCCTCGCCCTCGAAGACACAACTCAAGTTCTTATTGCCCCTGGCAGGACTTTCACCTGCAAGTCCAGGGGTGGTAAACAGCACCAAATTATGTAATAGGAAGGTAGAGAATGTATAGCTGGACCAGGATTCGAACCCAGTCTGGTTTGTCACATTTTTCTTCTCTCCCATTACATTTGGTGCCATGCTATGCCCTGGAAGTGACTGGTGAAAGACCTGCCAGGGAAGAGCCTGGGTTGGTGTCTTAGGGGGCAAAGACCTTTAAGCAGGGAGGAATGTGGCGATCAGAAGGGTTCGATCGTCAGTGGCCAGATAGCTCTGTTGGAAGAGCACCTGACTGGAGATTCAGGGGGCCCGGGTTTGAATCCCGGTCTAGTCTGTAGCTTTTTCTCCTCTCCCATTACACATATATGTTATAACTGAAGATATTATGAATTCATCACAGACTGTTTCTTGCCATTTTTTAAAGTAAATCTTTGATATCATGAATCTTGTTTCAGGTCCCTCCAACTTTATAAACTTGTACCTATTGGACAGTGTGACTGGTCACATGGTGTTCCACTGCAGCCATAAACGAGCCAAGGGACCTGTCACTGTGGTCCACTCAGAGAACTGGGTTCTAGTCAGTTGTTCATTTCTCTCATACTAATCTGTTAAATGTACTATGTAACTACAGTATTAGAAGTTGATATTCTATTGACTAGATTATTTCTTACTGCTAAATACTTACTGTTTTCTATTTCAGTATTATTTTCTTCTACTTTATGATACAAGTTTGATTGATTGGGTTTTTTTATGTTTCAGTATAACTACTTTAGTCAGAAGTCTCGTCGCCATGAGATCGCTGTGTTAGAACTGTACGAGGGAAAAGACCAGAGTAATTCATCCGCGTTCTCATCATTCTCCTCTCCTAAACAACCACTCGTCCTCCGTCAGTCGTACATCATGCCGCTGTATATATCTACCATGGCGACCACTATCACCGAGAAAGGCATCACCAGCAAACAGCTGATATGTAAGATTAAAATAAAAAGTTTAATTTACTTCCTGATTAAGTAACAGATATCTGTTGCTGATTCTTTTCTTTTGTGAGCTGTACTTAGAAATGCACATGTGATAGCTCAGCCTAAGGCCTTACTATCAGTGTACATTATAATGTTTGATTTCAGTTGCTCTGAGATGAGGAGGTTTGATTTAACTGTAGAATCCCCTAGTGTCAGTGTACATTATAATGTTTGATTTCAGTTGCTCTGAGGTTGGGAGGATTGCTAGCTCTGCCTAAAGCTTTACTGGACCCCCGGAGACCCCTTCTCCCCACACAGGAGACCATGTAAGACTTTATTACAGCATACATTACTAGATTACAGCAGTTTTATCAGCTGTGATTACATCAGCATCAACAGTCAATGGATATATTTAAAACTCCAAGAGTTACTGGCATTTCTAATTTTACTGTAAATGGTTCTACATGTGTATATGTTTTCAGACATGCACAGGTTTTGGTTCTATTTATAACAAGGGCATCCCAAAGTGGAGTTTCCCCTACAAAAGAGCACATTGATCTCGATATAAATTATTACTTATGCACACACTCATTTACTCACCCACACACACAAGTGCCCTTCTATATCGCCTTTGTCTCTTTATGAGGGTATGTTAAAGAATACTGGATTATATGTTCTTCCTATCGTTACAGGGAGGAGGGCACAATTCCATATATTCCAGAGTTACCGGTCAATGCTGAGGCCATTATAAACTACAACCAGAGTCTGTATAATGTACAGGGAATTCACACCTCACCAGCAGGGCTAGAGTCTACATCACTGGTGTTAGCATATGGATTAGGTATGTCTATTTGTGTGTCTGTCTGTATTCACACCTCACCAGCAGGGCCAGAGTCCACTTCACTGGTGTTGGCATATGGATTAGGTATGTCTGTCTGTATGTCTGTTTGTATAATTCCACCTCACCAGCAGGGCTGGAGTCCACATCACTGGTGTTAGCATACGGATTAGGTATGTCTATCTGTCTATTTTCACACCTCACCAGCAGGGCTGGAGTCCAATCACTGGTGTTAGCAGATGGATTAGGTATGTCTGTCTGTCTGTCTGTTTGTATAATGTACAGGGAATTCACACCTCACCAGCAGGGCTGGAGTCCACATCACTGGTGTTAGCATATGGATTAAGTATGTCTGTCTGTCTTTATTCACACTTCACCAGCAGGGCTAGAGTCCACATCACTGGTGTTGGCATATGGATTAGATATGTCTGTCTGTCTGTATTCACACCTCACCAGCAGGGCTGGAGTCCACATCACTGGTGTTAGCATATGGATTAGGTATGTCTGTCTGTCTTTATTCACACTTCACCAGCAGGGCTAGAGTCCACATCACTGGTGTTGGCATATGGATTAGATATGTCTGTCTGTCTGTCTGTATTCACACCTCACCAGTAGGGCTGGAGTCCACATCACTGGTGTTAGCATATGGATTAGGTATGTCTGTCTGTCTGTATTCACACCTCACCAGCAGGGCTAGAGTCCACATCACTGGTGTAAGCATATGGATTAGGTTTGTCTGTCTGTTTGTATAATGTCCAGGGAATTCACACCTCACCAGCAGGGCTGGAGTCAACATCATCGGTGTTAGCATATGGATTAGTTATGTATCTGTCTGTCTGTATAACATGCAGATAGTTCATATCACACCCAGCAGGGCTGGAGTCCTCATCACTGGTGTTAGCATATGGGCGTGGTATGTCTGTATAACATAGAGGGAATTAATACCTCACTGGTTCTAGGTATGGACTGGGTTTGTGGTTTTGTCTGTTTGTCTGTCTGTACGATGTCAGTATAATTAATTCACACCTAACCAGCAGGGCTGGAGTCAACATTACTTGTGTTTTCATAAAGACTATAGGTATGTGTGTCTCTCTACTGTATGACTGTAAAGTTTACCTGATTCACATCTCACAGCAGAACTGGAATCCACATTACTGACCAGTGCTTTTAAATGGACTGGGTTCTTGTGTCTATCTGTCCATTTGCCCTTTTTTTTTGTCTCTCTGTCTGTTTGTTTGTGTGTGGATTCACACCTCATCAGCAGGGCTAGAATCTGTATCGTATACTTAGTATAGGTCTTTATCTGTTTGTCCATCTGTATAATGTCTTGGGAATGCACACATCACTAGTAAGCCTAGCAAGACCATCTCACTTGTTTTAACATGGACTGGGTATGTCTCTTTTTGACTTTTTATTTGTCTGTTTGTATCACTTTCTGGTCAGAATTCACACCCCACTATTAGGACCTGAGTCTGATTACTGGTGCAAGAAAATGGAATTAGTGTTCTATGTGTCTGTCTTTTTGTTTGTCTGTCTAGCTGTCTGTATAATGCCTGGAGAATTCACACCTCACCAGCTCCATATCACTGGTGTTAGCAAATGAACTGTGTATGTCTGTCTGTTTTCTGAAAAAATTCACTTCAGACATGAAAGAAAGAAGATTAAAGGGTTTGTATTTATGAGAATTTGTTTCTTCTTTTTAGGAGAGTAATTTTGTAAGGATGTCCTGTAATAAGTTTTATTTCGTATACATCTATATACTTATGAAATTTTATAATTTTAGCAAATCACTTTTCTGCTAATGTAAAAAAAAAATGATAAGATTTTTTTATTACATTTTCAACAATGAAATACTTAAATTATTTATTGAATAAAACCGATATTCTGTCACAGTGTGAAAGGATATCAAAATGATGTCCTTTCACAGTGTGACAGAATATCAATACTTTCAATATTGAAGAGTGTTGTAAAAAATACTCTTTGGTCTGTTATAAAATAGAGTAAATAAACCCTTCTGAAAGAGACCATAGATGTTTAAGAGACTAAAAGTAAAAACTGCCAGAGTTTCTCCAAATATGTTGTTGAAATCCATGTTTATGTAACTATGTTTTCAATATCATGTCACTAAAGCTATGATGTCTCACAATGTAACTATGACGTCATGTAATCTATGACAAACAAACAGAGGCAAAGGGAAAATCAAAGAAAATGTAATAAACAGAAAATTCAATGTTTTGTAGTGGAATATGGAATTTATTTCACTGGTGAGACAGAATTTTTTTATATTTTCACTCGTGTTTAGCACACGTGAAAATATTAAAAAAAAAAAAAAAAACCTGTCCCACTCATGAAATAAATTCCATACCTAACTACAAAACATTGATTATCCTCTATGAGCATCATATCTTTTTAGCTATTTAAGACTAAAAGTTTTGATTAGAATTTTACCTTTACTAACCACACAAAATGCACTTTATTTATTTTTCTTTTAGATCTGTACTTTACAAGAGTTCAGCCCTCTAAGATGTTTGACGTCTTGAAGGAAGACTTTGACTATTTCTTTATATCTGCTGTGTTACTAGGAATGTTTGTGGTTACCATAGTGACTCAGAAACTATCTGCAAGAAGAGCACTCAGTCGAGCTTGGAAATAAAATCTTTTTGGGGGATTGGTTTCTTCTTTAGGGAAAGCTGGGAAATTCTCAATGCATTTTTGCAGCAGGGAGTTAAAAATTCATTGCATTTACTGCATTCATCTTCATGAAAAATAACAAAGAATCTTTATGGGATGTGAAGATATTTGGAGTGGGAAACAAAAGAGAAACGTTTAGATATTTTTATATCATCTGAATCTTTATGTGATATTGTCTAGTACATTAACAAAGAGCCTTTTAATAATTTAAGTGTTAGAAATTGATTAAGACTGTGTATCATTCCACATGCATGCAAGGAAATCATGATAATTTTACTAGATATTGTTATGTATAATGTGAAACTGAGGTATATGATATATATTGAGAAAATGTTTAAGATTTTGACGTGGATGAAGTTGTTTTCAGTGTGTATTTGTGTGATATGTAAGTTTATATAATCAGATTTAAGATATTTGTTTACAAGATCTCACATGCCTGAGTGTGGTGTAGAATGATGGAAAGTAGATAATCTGATTTAGCAAGTTGATGCATGATAGAAGATTTTGAATAATGACTGTTGTCTTGTGTGTGTATTCTTTTTTAAATTAAGGTGGTAATTTTGAAGGAATTTATGTTTATTTTGGAACCACAGAGAATTTCATTTACGCAACATATAGAAAACTTTAGAATACACATGTACAAATTTTCTACTGAGTCCTTATTTGTCTATGATAACCTAGAATGAAACCGATTACTCATATGTACATCTTAATGTACACGCTAGTCTCATACAATGTAGTACGGTTGTTTTGTCTCAAAGCAAATTAACTTGAAGAATATTTTCATCTTATCAGCTCACCTGAGCCGAAGGCTCAAGTGAGCTTTTCTGATCACATTTTGTCTGTAGTCCGTCTGTCTGTCCGTCTGTAAACTTTTCACATTTTCGACTTCTTCTCCTGAACCACTGGGCCAATTTCAACCAAACTTGCCACAAAGTATCCTTGGGTAAAGGGGATTCAAGTTTGTTCAAATGAAGGGCCACGCTTTCTTCCAAGGGGAGATAATTAAAAATTCGTGAAAAATTAATGGCATCATTAAAAAATCTTCTTCTCAAGAACCACTGTGCTTGGAAATATGAAACTTATGTGGAAGCATCCTCAGGTAGTGTAAATTCAAGTTTGTTCAAATCATGACCCACAGGGGTCGGGTGGGGCCACAATGGGCGATCAAAGTTTTACATAGGAAATATATAAGAAAAATCTTTAAAAATCTTCTTCTCAAGAACAGCAAAGCCATGATTGGTCATATTTATATGGTAGCATCCTCAGATAGTGTAGATTCAAGTTTGTTCAAATCATGACCCCCGGGGGTCGGGTGGGGCCACAATGGGCGATCAAAGTTTTACATAGGAATATATAGGAAAAATCTCTAAAAATTTTCTTCTCAAGAACAGCAAAGCCATGATTGGTCATATTTACATGGAAGCATCCTCAGATAGTGTAGATTCAAATTTATTCAACTCATGACCTCCGGGGGTCGGATGGGGCCACAATGGGCAATCAAAGTTTTACATAGGAATATATAGGAAAAATCTTTTAAAATCTTTTTCTCAAGAACAGCAAAGCCTTGATTGGTCATATTTACATGGAAGCATCCTCAGATAGTGTACATTCAAATTTGTTCAAATCATGACCCCCGGGGGTCGAGTGGGGCCACAATGGGCAATCAAAGTTTTACGTAGGAATATATAGGAAAAATCTTTAAAAATCTTCTTCTCAAGAACAGCAAAGCCTTGATCGGCCATATTTACATGGAAGCATCCTCAGATAGTGTACATTCAAATTTGTTCAAACATGACCCCTGGGGGTCGGGTGGGGCCACAATGGGTGATCAAAGTTTTACATAGGAATACATAGGTTAAATCTTTAAAACTTTTCCACTCAAGAACAGCAAAGCCATGATTGGTCATATTTAAATGGAAGCATCCTCAGATAATGTAGATTCAAATTTGTTGAATTCATGACCCCCCCCCCCCCCCCCCCCCCCCCCCCCCCCCGAACCACTTTTATATTTAAACTTTTCAACCTTTTAAGACTGAAGTGATTTCTGCTTTTTCCTAGCCATAGTGCTCAGGTGAGTGATGTGGCCCCTGGGCCTCTTGTTTGTCTTTATTGCAATATTTGTACAATAAGTATTCAAAATCAAACCAAGCTGTTTCTCAATAGATATTTTTTTAAGAGAAGATATGAGATTTTATTTTAAATTAAGATAAAGAAATTAAACCTAACAATTGATTTATATATGAATGAAGTGCATTTTCATCATAAAATTTCTTTACATATGCACACATGTCTCATTTAGTTTCTTTATTATCTTTTTTTTTTTAATTTATTTATTTGGATTTTTTTTTGGGGGGGGGGGGGGGGGGGGCTGGAAAAATTCCTAGATCCAAAATGATGCAGATCATAATGCTATATACTTTGCTAAATAATATTTATGACAATGCCATAAGAAACATCTATTCAACTGAATCAAACGCAGATCTTGAAGGGTGCTGGGAGGTCCAAAACCTCCTGCCCTGGGATTTTCAAAGTTAATAAATTCATACAATTGAGTTAACAACAAACAACTTTGGAGCTCTCTCCCCTGGGAACACTATCCTACATAATTTGTAAGAAGAATCTTACATTAGGAAAGTCAGCAACCACCCACCTAACCCACATACACATACAAGAAAAGGTCTTGCTTCCCCCCCCCCCCCCTTTTCATCAATGAGTAGCCCCCAGCCCCCACACATGCACACCTACAAAAAAAATTGTGTCTCGTTTGGACAAATTTTTCTTATTATTTATTTCAGGTCGTCACCCCCTCCCCCCCCCCCCCCCCCCCCCCAATTACTTCATTCAAATAAATCATATAAAAAAAAACACAGTCATGATATAATAAATTTCATGTTACAAAAAAACAAGAGGCCCATGGGCCACATCGCTCACCTGAGTAACTTTGGCCATGCTGTTCTTTACCAGATTCCCCCCTCCTTGTAATACCTATTTTGGCCCCTCCCTACCCCAGGGGGTCATGATTTTAACAATTTAGAGTCTACACTACCCGAGGATGCTTCCACATAAGTTTCAGCTTTTCTGGCCCAGTGGTTCTTGAGAAGAAGATTTTTAAAGATTTTTCTCATATATTTCAATGTAAAATTGGATTCCCTATTGTGGCCTCACCCTACCCCCGGGGGTCATGATTTTAACAATTTAGAATCTACACTACCAGAGGATGCTTCCACATAAGTTTCAGCTTTTCTGGCCCAGTGGTTCTCGAGAAGAAGATTTTTAAAGATTTTTCCTATATATTTCAATGTAAAACTTGGATTCCCTATTGTGGCCTCACCCTACCCCCGGGGGTCATGATTTTAACAATTTAGAATCTACACTATCCCAGGATGCTTCCATATAAGTTTCAGCTTTTCTGGCCTAGTGGTTCTTGAGAAGAAGATTTTTAAAGATTTTTCCTATATATTTCAATATAAAACTTGGATTCCCAAATGTGGCCCCGCCCAACTTCGGGGGTCATGATTTTAATAATTTAGAATCTACACTACCCCAGGATGCTTCCACATAAGTTTCAGCTTTTCTGGCCTAGTGGTTCATGAGAAGAAGATTTTTAAAGATTTTTCCTATATATTTCAATATCAAACTTGGATTCCCTATTGTGGCCCCGCCCAACCCCCGGGGGTCATGATTTTAATAATTTAGAATCTACACTACCCGAGGATGCTTCCATATAAGTTTCAGCTTTTCTGGCCTAGTGGTTCTTGAGAAGAAGATTTTTAAAGATTTTTCCTATATATTTCAATATAAAACTTGGATTCCCTATTGTGGCCCCGCCCAACCCCCGGGGGTCATGATTTTAATAATTAAGAATCTACACTACCCGAGGATGCTTCCACATAAGTTTCAGCTTTTCTGGCCCAGTGGTTCTTGAGAAGAAGATTTTTTAATGACCCCACCCTATTTTTGTCTTTTCTTGATTATCTCCCCTTGTAAGAGGACTTGGCCCTTTATTTTAATAATTTAAACTCCCTTTCACCCAGGGATACTTTGTATCAAGTTTGGTTAAAATTGGCCCAGTGGTTCTTGAGAAGAAGTTGAAAATGTGAAAAGTTTACAGACGGACGACGACAACGGGTGAACAGAAAAGCTCACTTGAGCTTTCAGCTCAGGTGAGCTAACAACGATATTTATTATTAATCTATTTATCAATTTTAAAATTACGATTATCTTGTATTCGTATGAAGCTGCCAAAGTTTTGTGAAACAGTGGTAGCATATCTTATATAATTGTCATAATTCAAATCGAAAGATTCCTTATTTACAATATCTCGGTAGTTTTTGTTTTTTTTTTTTAGGTCAGGTCTTCCAGCAATCTGTTGGAATTTTGATGGGCACTAATTGTTGGCCTTTGTTAGTTGACCTGTTTTTGTTTTCTTTTGAAACAGAATTTTACAATAACTTGCTGTGGTCTTCAATTCAGCATTTAGATATATAAAAGATGTTTTATCAATTACCAATATTCATTTTCATCCCTACGTTGATTTGTTATATCCCTTTGAACTCGAAATTAAAAAAAAACATCAAAGAGTCTGATACATATGATTGATGGCAAACTAACAACTAAACTTTATGATAAACGTAATGGCTTCGGCTTTCTATCATCAACTTCATTTATTTATGCAGCAATATACGATTATTACCTGGTGTTTATGTCTCTCTTGCAATTGAGATTCGAAACAAAAGAGCTTGATCTACGTACGGTCAATTTTTAAAACAGGCAGCCTGTTGACAAATAAGTTGATGTCACAAATATATCAACAATCTCCATTGAAGTCAACATTTTCTAATTGTATGGTCGATTTTATGACTTTGTTTGAAAATATTTGTCATTAGGTAGAATATAAAGTGCACGGTTTTAATGCAAATTGTTAGGCCAGTATTTTCATACTGAATTGTCTAATATCTATAATGCAGTTCACATGACAAAGGGCTCATGGGAGGTATGACCAGTCGATTTGAGACGCTTACGCCTCCTTGACAGCTGATAGCACCTCTGATGTTTTCAGTATTTGCTCTGCTCTCAATTTTTAGCTTACCTTAGCATTGGGCTTTTCTGATCACCTGTTGTTCGCTGTCCGACCATCTGTCTGTAAACTTTTCACATTTTCAGGTTCTTTTCAAGAACCACTGGACCAATTTTAATCAAAGTTAGTACAAAGCATCTGGGTTTAGGGGATTCTAAATTGTTGAAAAAAAGGGCCAAGCCCCCTTCCAAGGGGAGATAATAAAAAAAGGCAAACATAGGGTGGGGTCATTGAAAAATCTTCTCAAAAACCACTGGACGAGAAAAGCTAAAACTTATTTGAAAGCTTCCTGAGTTAGTGTATTGTAAATTGTTCAGATCATATCCCCGGGGAGTAGGGTGGGACCGCAATAGTAAATCAAAGTTCCTATAAAAACTTCCTGGGGTAGTGTAGATTGTAAATTGTTCAGATCATGGTTCCTGTGGATAGGGTCGGGCCACTATAGGGAATCCAAAGTTTTACATTGAAATACAAAAGAAAAATCTTTATAATCTTCTCCAGAACTGCTGGACCAGAAAAGCTAAAACTTGTGTTGAAGCTTCCTGGGGTAGTGTAGATTGTTCATTGATTAGATCATGGTCCCCGGGTTAGAGTTTGGCCACCATAGGGACTACACAGAAAAAAAAATCTTTAAAACCAGGGACGTAGCTTCCATTGTGGCAATGAGGCAACTGCCTCACTAGTTTTTTCAGCAACATCCTCTTCCCATAATTATTACCACATTGCAGAAAATATTTAATTTGTTTTTAAAACTAATAGTACAAAAAAAAAAAAAAAAACAGACACCACACAATTCCTGTTCACAATATACTGTCCAGATTTGTCGGATCCAAACGCCGCCGAAGTCAATAAAAAGTTTTAAATTAAAAAAATAAAATAAAATATGTATTCATCTTCGAATGCGTTAGAAGTTTGAATATTGAATTATTTTTTATTTACTCTATTAAATACTTTTGAAATATGCAGTATCATATGCATGCTGAAGTCTTCAACAATGAAACTGGTAAACTTACGAAATTTCTGACCAGGACAAGTATGAGTTTTATATTCTAAAACCCCAAATTCATTTATTTCCGTCAGGGGGCTTCGTCCCCCTCCCTCCGAACCCCCACCAGGGCTCCGCCCTAGCTGGACCTGCTGAAGGCCTAAAGCGGCCCCCAGACCCCCGGCCGCAATAGTTTTGCCTCACTAGAATTTTTAGTCAAGCTACGCCCCTGAAAACTTGTCTACTCAAGAATAGCAAAGCTATGATGAATCATATTAATGTGGAAGCATCCTCTGTAGTGTTGATTCTTAGCCCCTATATATAGGGTGGGGCCACAAAGGACGAACAAAATTTTACATAGGAATAGATGTCAGCCACGGGTACCGCTGAGCCTTGAAAGGGTGTTGACACATCGAGTCTTACAGTGAGATTTTTTGAGTGACTATTTTTACAGTTTCCTATAAATTAAAATTTTGGGTTGAGACTCGATGATTTCAACTATATATTTTAAGATTTCATATCAAATTCGACAATTCTTTAGTCGAAAGCATATTTTCATTAAAATCAGTTGACTTTCACATAAACTTTTAGCCAAAATATTGTCCGATTTAAAAATTGATAAAAGAGGGGAAATCCTTCCCTGAGAAAGATAGAGGGGGAAATCTGGCTCTAGAGTGATATTTCCCCTCAGGGGGAAATCCTACTCTATAGATTCCGCGGGGGGAAGGGTGGCTTTGGGGGGATCTTACTCTACAACCCCGGTACACCAGATCAGTATTGTTACATAAACAGATTTTATGCTTCGTCTATTCAGAGTTACATGTACATGTGATTTGTAATCCTAATCCTTCACATACTTGTCTCGTCGGCTGTAGTTGGTTATAATTGGAATGATCTAAGTTTTTCTATTCGTTTTAGCAAACAAAAATGCAAAGCATCTGAGCCTCCTGTACGAGAGTTTTTTTTTCAATGTTTGAATGAAATGAAAACTTAGTTATTTACACTGAATCTTTATTTAAAACGATCTATAAAGATAAGGAAATTGAATTAGAGGTTGACATTGCAGACTTTTTAATTAGTTGTCAAAAAAAACCACATGTCCAGGCGCGTAGCTGCCTATACGCAAATACGAAAGTGCGTACACATCATTCATTCAACAAAAAGTCTAGGGGGAGAGAGAGAATTATTCGGAGGAAAAAATCTTAATACCATCTCCAACAAATATATGTGCTTCAAATTATTTTGTGTCATACTGTTTCTCTTCAGATTTTATATTATGATGTCTGAATAATTAAATTTGAAATCTTTCATTAAATAATCATTGCCAAATCCAAATAAATCGTTCATGAATTTGTAATTGTTCTATAATACATCAATGATTTTGTTTAAGGATCTTTGAGAAATTTAATTTCAAACACATCGTTGAATGCTATGATTAACTAGTACTAGTTTATGATAAAAAAGATACAATATTCATTTTTTTGTTAATAATTAACATTTATTTTATACTTGTTGTCAGACGTTGAAAGAGAGTATATGATACCAGTATATCGGTAAAATATTTAGCCTCAAAAACTTTCCACGGAACTACATATATTAACATTGCGTTAAAAATAATAATACTAAGTCTTTTTCTTTCTATACAAAAGCGAAATGGCATGACTTTTTTTGCCAGAAAATGAATGATATTTGGTAAACCCAGAACTGAGAAGCTTCCAGCGGCTTCGACCCCCCCCCCCCCCCCCCCCACCTTGCTGCTCTCTGCGTACACTTCATTTCCATTCATTTCCATTCTGGCTACGCACCTGATGTCTAAAACATCTGACAACTATACAGCTTGGCTTACATATTGCCTTAATTTACTGTACACAAATGGTATGAAAGGGATACTAATATACTTAACTGTCCCAAGACGTCACAGTCTTACTTACAGAAGCGCTCTCGCAAGTGCAGTTTATTAATACAAAATATACAATTTTACTTTTCTTCCTTCGAAACTCTTATATCAACAAAGACAAAAACACATATAATTTTATACGAGGGGTAATCAAAAAGTTCGCGAACTATCTCCTTATTTACAAAACCACAATTCAGATCAGAATGAAATTTGGCACACATAGTCATACACATGTTCTATAAATAGCAGATGTTATATAATGTTTTGCTGCGTGTTTGTGACGTCACAATGTGAAAATGACGTCAAGTAACTTGTAACAAAAATGGTTGACTCAGTCGTACTCGAGCAACGAACGGCTGAAAAGTTCAACGTATATCTCGGAAATTCCTTTGCAGTAGAATATGATAATTTGTACAAGGTTCATGAAGACAAGAGACTTACCAGAAGTTCAGTTATTAATTGGATTGATTGTTTTAGTGAAGGCAGGGAGATGGTTAAAATGATGTTTGTTCTGTTGCCCAGCGAAAGCGAGCCGTTAAAAAGATGTTCCTTAGTTGAGCAATTTGTTTTGAAAGATCGCCAAGTTACAATTAGAAAAATAGTTGAATATCTGAACAATAATATAATTATTAAATCCCTAATATATCGTTTACTTTAAACTTTAAACATATGAGATATGAAAAAAAGAAGGCGCCCCTACTTTTTCCACATTGGATAAACGACGCTCCCGAGACAGAGGACACGGGTTGTGATGGCCACCATGCTAATTCTGGGAAGGGATATCCTTATCCAACCATCCTATTGCCGAGATTTGGCCATTTCTGACAGATGGTCTGTTCTTGTTATAAAAAACAACTTGCATGGTACGAAATATAAGACACGGAAAAATCTCTTGGCTTCTGTGAACAGACCACTACGGAGCATGTCACGTGACCGCCAGGATCACGTGATTTGCGCATGGGCAGAACAATGGCAGATGTGCATTAAAATCGGAGAGGACTACTTTTAAAAATAATGAACACTGAAACCTCATTTTATTTCTTTTGAGGAAGTAATTCAATTAGTTCGCGAACTTTTTGATCACCCCTCGTATAAATCAATACAAAATATATTTGTGAGGGCGGCTGGGCGGGGAAACGTCTGACTGCACGAGATAGAGCCTTCGAATGGCATTAAGGTATGTCACTCGTGAAATTTGTTATTTTTTTAGAAGTATATTTTGGATAAGTACTCATATAGTATGTCTCAAAATCGCTGCGAAAATGGGGGGTCAGTGTGCATCTAACTGAGCTACGGTACAATTAAGTTGACCTTTTTGCACTTAAATTGTAACTCTTTGATTAATCACTTTAACCGTTATCATATTTCATAAGATGTAACCATGGCAATAAACATAATCTTATTTTACGTAAAATAGTTTGAATAATATTTATCATTGAACAAATCATGCAAATTAATGCGCGTAAATTATTGTGTGACCTTTTTGCACTAAAAAAAGTCTCATATTTGGAGTATTGAAAATCTAAATAGGCAATAGAATATTTTCTTGTATCAAACTTTTTACGACTTAAGTGCTGATCGGTCAAAAGTATCGAGTAGTTTAAAATAATGAAAGAAAAAGTTAGGGTCAGTGATGTAAATTTTGAAATATTAGTCAAAATATGCGATCTTCAGGCAAAAAACTGTGTAAATTTTATCTCGACTTCCTTAATATATCTTCATTTCTTGGCAATGTTTGTTGAGCGAAGGTGTAAATTTTGTTATAAAAATATAAATTGAGACCTACATTTAATATTCCAGGCATATCATAACGGAAAATATTCTTTGAGTAAAAGTATGTGGGGCTAAAGTTCCAAGATATTAAATTTAATAAATGTGTAGATTTGCAGAATTTTCTGCTAAATATCCTTCCGCCACAAGAAATAGTCCCTTATAAATCTTGCTTCTTTGTGAATTTTTGAGCAGTTTTTTAATTGAATGTTGAACATTTTACATTGTTTAACTTAAATATGTTATAAAGATTGAATTGTAATAAATAGTTTTTAAGTAAGAGGTTCTGACTGAATTTTTCTAAAAGGCTGACGAGTGACATACCTTAACTATTACATGCCATAAAGCGTGCTCTATTAGAATACCTGTAGAACAGGTATTCCATAAATACAGTAACCAATCAAATCGAAAGTCTACATAACAAACACCGAGTAAACACGTGTTCGATTGATACATGTGTTTTGATAACTCCAGTAAATACATAACTTAATTCACATAGTTTTCAAAAGAAAAAAAATCATCCGAAATTATGACAGAGATTTATTACAAATCTTTTCTACGGGTATGGTCCTGCCATTGAGTATGAATTTTCAATTTTATTAATATCAATGGAGATCAAATAAATATATATTCATGTATCTGAGCTCATATAGACAAATTTGAAACTAATCATTGCACTAGAATGATGTCCCTCTAGCTACTGATTCTAAATCCTTAAATTTGTATTTGTATATTTGAAACTTTTATTTTTTCGTTGAACTTTATCATAAACTACATTTAAACTTCATCTTTAGCATCACTGAAGGATATCCTGTATTCTCATTAGTGAAGCATGTTTTATTTTATTTACTGATACTTGTGAAAGTGACTGTTGATACGCGTAAAGAGCCGCGTGTGGATTCCCTGTGACCTGGTAACAGATCCCTAGGATCTGCCATGATATGTCTTCTAAACCTTCCGGTATGAACTTCCTGTGAGGATGGTGGACTAGGTGCTGGAGATAACATAGAGCTGTTTGTACTTTTGTTGTATCAACATGACTGTAGCACAAGATCTCCAGTATGTATAAGAGCACGAATACAGGGATAGCCAAATTAGACTGGCTTTCTTGTATACTAGACAATTGTTCAGGCAATAATTCATTGATATAACAGATATAATTGTTAAGGAAGATACTTCTTCTTTTAAAGAGTCTCATTTTTGAAGTCAAGGACTGTCCTCTCAAAGCCTCGGTATTCGTTTTATATGACAGTATGAATTTTGTCATTTCTATAACAGATAATGCGTCCAAAAATCTCATCGTCTTGTAGTAATACATGGCCGTATACACCATGTCAGAAGGGCAACCAAACTTGGATGTTAATATAAGGATGCGATGGGACATTCTGTCAGCAATATACACCATTTTGTTTCGACAAGTTTTGATGTACATGTTGTGTAATATAAACGCAATATTCTGGAGGAAGGAGGTTGTATGTTTCTGTAAGGTGACAACATGATATGGTGTCAAGGGTGTATTTATCAACTGTTCTACACCTTCTAGGGCTTTCTTACAGTGATACAGGTTTTTTACTGCTTTCACATGAGCACAAGTTAAACAATTAAATAAGGTTAAATCAAATACAATCTCAGGAAACAAGTTGCTTTCATCTGTACAGATGGGAAGCATTGGGTTACAAAGGACGTTTAAAACATAGGGCCAGATGGAGGTACTGTGTAGCAGTGATACTAAACCCTTCTCATACAAAGCATGCAGCCTAATGAACAGCTGGTTTTGCTTATCACCATGAATACTACTTAGAAACATATTGTTTTGTGGAATGAAAAAGTTAGGGCAGAACCCTTCATAGACCCACTGAAGGATTAGTTTGAAGCAGTCCCAAAAACAAAACAGGAGATTTCGTGGACAAGAGTAAAAACCTGTGTTTTGTTGAATAACCCAGAAAAGTGATGTTTTCATGTGGTAGGAACACAGTAGTTTGTCATGATCCCCTAATTCATTATTAATAACTTCTTTTAAGAACAATTTCAGCAAACCATAAGTTAAGAACTGCATATGGTTCATTGAGTACACAAGTTTTTGTTCTGCCCTAGAGAAAGAAATTCTCCATTCGTGGTCTTCATGATTTCCTAGTTTGTGTCCAGTTGCTACAAAGTGACATCCACTTCTGATGATGTCGCTAACAACATGAGGCTGGGGCCATGAGTGGCATCTGTCTATCCAAGAGGCAGCAGGTGGAGGCCAAAAGTCAGAGCCAAAGCAGTAGGCAAAATCATATTCTAATCCAGCATGAATTCCACTGGCACAGGGTCCATGTGGAGTGAATCTAAGTGTTAGTCCTGGACCCCTGGTTTCTCTGTATATTTTACTTGACATAAAAAGGGCACCGTTTGTTCTGACAAGTGTTGAAAGATTATTTATGTCCGCTATTCCAAAAATGCATGATGATGTTGCTATGATGGGCGCTGTTATCAAAAGCTGAAGTAAACAGAATCCTGGTGGACTATCGGAACAGTCGCAGAGAATTAACGTGTATCTGTGCCTGTTGTAATACCGAGTCTGAGATAAGTCCCAAATGACTCGTTCGTAATTTCGCCAGTACATAATGTCTATATCTGATCCCTTCAGTCTTAATCCTTCTCTGTAGCTTCCACTTGTCATTATAGAGTTTGAATCACTATTGACTTGATTTGTCAGCTTCTCCGTGATGTCCAATACCTCTCTCCTCATGGCTACCTGTTGTGAGGTCCCCACTATGTGACACAGTCCCACAAACACCGACTCTGATATATGTTGTAAGGCTGATTCACTAAATATCCACAACCCAGAAGGTAATTAAATTAAAACAAAGAGAAAATTTAAAAAAAAAAAATACCTAAAATAAATTTCATTTACTATTTAGATATAAAGTCAACATATATACTTTATATGTTAAAGTTGTAATAAGCTTAATATTTCTGTAAGAATTTTTTTTTTAAACTTACATTAGAGATTGTGCATTTGAATCCATTTTTCAGACAAGACTAATAAAATGTTTTTTGTACTTTGTTTTGGTACAGGGAAATCCTGCGGAACTTTCTCATACCTTCTGTGTTACTATTTAAAATTCATAACTCAATGTTAATGACATAACCGGAGTTTTTCCATATCATCATAATTCAAAGAACATGAAGAGGGAGATGTACTTAAACACGTACACTGCATGTCACATACAGAAATGAAATGTTCATATTACCACCAGTGTATTAACTGGAAAACAGTAAAAATGATTGATGAAATTTCTAAACCTATTTATTTTCTCTTATCTTGAACATTGTGAATTCTGAGTTTCAAGAAGACAGAAATCATCTCTTTCCTTACCTTTGTATTTTGATGTTCTCATGCATAGCTCTGATCCTGCAACGTATTTAGCTCCAGTCTTTGGCACCTTTTCTCAGCTCTTCCAAGTCTTCTTTTATTTAAATATTTTGGATTTCCAACGTTTCGGCTTGAGCATCACTGAAGAGACATAATTTGTCAAAGTACGCATCTGGTGCATAAAAATTGGTACCGTATACGATTTACTTTTCTAAACCCTCGATATCGCCATATCCCTGTGCTGTCTTTGGGTGAATTAAAAAAAAAAAGACCACCAAACTGAATTTTTTTTATAGAAAAAATTGAACTACCCATAACATATTTTTCACTTCGTTATATCATCATACTGTATTTGCATTCTAGTTAAAATTCTTGAAGTTGCAATAGAATATAGACAATATGATTAAAAAAAAAGTTTCAGAATTTTTATTAGTAAAACTTTATTTGGAAAAAGAAAATATCACCATATCCTAAAAGACTTTCTAAAACATATAATAAAAAGAAATTATAGTTTTAATTTATGCTTCAAAATGGTATCAGGGATATAAAAGATTAGATCTAATCCTTGATTGAGTTTCTTCTCTTGTATATGTGGAAAATAATTGTCTTTTTGATTGGTATTTTACATTATTTTTTCAATTCCAGTTTTAGAAGTTTTAATATAAAAAATATAAAACAATAAATTTCCCTCCAAATCATTTCTTTTCTCCATTTAAATTTAAGCCAATAAAATCTTAACTTACAAGTTTTCTTACAAAAACTACTAGATTTTGAAGTAACCCTATTTTACATTATTGTGTTTCACACCTGACATCTGAAATGTATTTCATTTAACATTGTTTTAAAAATTATAACACACAATAACCCATTCTTAGTTTGTAAATCAGTTTTTTTTTTTATCGTTTACGGCAAGTTTTTCATATTTTCAATACCTCAAAACATGATTATTTGCTATATATATATATATATATATATATATATATATATATATATATATATATATATATATATATATATATATGAATGTAAAATGTCTGTAATTAGTTGATAGACATAATGTTTTGAACATCAAATCGTATCCAACATTTTTTTTTAAATTCATTTTTTAGTTAAGACAGATGAAGATCATTGATAATTATAAAACAGTTTTGTTGCACTCCTGACTGCAGTAAAATTGAAAATTAAAACCACACAACACAAAAATTCATAAAGTGTTGGGAACATCAAGTGGTAACGAAATTGTGCAATATTCATGGTCCAATACTTCGTAACTAAAACACACTTGGCTTTATATCTTGAATTATTTCCAATTTATGTCAAAAAACTAGCTAGAATATATATTTAGAAGATAAAATATATCTTATAGTATATTTTCCTTCACAGGACAAACATTGTAAGCAACTGAGGTCAACCAGAAACATTCTACTCATCATTTTTTCTTTATATTTATTCATATTTGATCAGCAATAATTCTAACATATTTGTTGCACTCCTGACTAAGAGCATGGGAGTCTTTAAAGTAGAATTGTGAAGCGAAAAGTATTTCAGAACCTGTTCTGTTGTTTCAGTGAAGTTGAGATGGAATTACTTGAACTTTATAAAAATTTTTCAGTGTGTTTATTTTTCACATTCTTAAAAAAATCAAAGAAAAGATAAAAACACATCTGAATTGATAAAATTGAAAATGAGAAGGATTTTAACAATGAAACAGTCAATATTTAGTACTAAATTATTCAAATAGATCATTATTAATTAAAGAATATTTCTTAGCATGAGTAGAAGTATTTTCATGAAATAACTTGAACCTTTAAAAAATGTGTTGCACTCCTGACCATAGAAATATAGATCTGAAAGACAGACATACCCTGTAATTGATAACTCTATTTTGGTAAAAATGTTCTCTGTGTCTTTTTTTTCCAAAATAAAAATCAGAGAATCATATACTGATACAAGTTTTTTTTTTTTCATGCTGGGGAACAAAACATCAAATGTTGCACTCCTGACATTATTTGGTATGCACAGATACTTGACTCTCATTCATGCTGCTTGTGAATTATATAACTTTTTTGAAGTTTTAAATTTTATATCAGTTATTATTTTACATTTTGAAAATTCTTTTTTGACTTGTCTTTCAGATTTTTAAAATCGATGTTTTTTTTTCTTTCTTTTTTGTTTTGTTTTGTTTTTGTTTTTGTTTGTTTGTTTGTTTGTTTTTTTTTTTTTTTTGTTTTTTTTTTTTTTTGTTTTTTTTTGTTTTGTTTTGTTTTTTTTTTTTTTGGACAACACTTCATTTTTTTTTTTTTTTTTTTTTGACAACACTTCATTCTTTCTGTTGCACTCCTGACATGGTATAACATTTTTTCAACATCAGCCATGACCACATCTTGGTCAAACAAAAGTTGCTACAGTCTACATTTAAAGGTCAATACTTTGAATATTATCAGGAAAGTCTTTATTTCCAACACAAATCAGTATTATTTATTTCACAGATCTTAAAAAAATATTGAATTTTCAAAATGTCACAAAAAAGGTGTTGCACTCCTGACATTTTTAGCATTTTTGGGCATAACTTTTAAGACACTATCTAAAGACATATGGTGAGACATAGAAATTTATTCCCATTGCTTGTACTTTTAGAACAGGTTGAAAAAAATGTGTTTGGTCATTTTTTTTTTTAATTCACCCTCTTAGTCCACAGGGAGTGTTATATCATTTGCGGATATTTGGATATAAACTGATGCTTAACAGCCTTAATTATTCTTAAGAATTTTTAGATATAATTTGTTGTAAATTTGGATTTCAATTATAGAGCTGATTAACCCAAGGGGTTACTAAATTCTTTTTATTTATTTATTTTTCATGTACACAACAGTTCTAAGAAAAATTTCACTTATTGCTAGGTTTGGCAATCTGAAAACCATAGAAAACAATAGCTACCACGTGACAGAAAAGCGGACGGACTTTGACTATAGAAAAGCTTAAACATTCAGATAAAAAATTGCTTAGTACCACGAGAAAATTAGCTCTGGGTCATTGGACTTTTATATCTTAACAAGGCATTTCAGGGGGAAATTATATGGTAGACTGGAACTCAAAATAATATTTAAGGGGGATGACAGGGATTTCTATCCCGCAATACTTCACGCAGTATAGTGAAATAAAGCGTATTAACAAATTTAATTGTATTAACTAATCAAATTTAGAAAATCAGAATAAAGAAATTACAGATAAGAAAATTTAATTATTTTTAAAAAAAAAAATCTGATTTTTAAAACGATTTTTCAACTGATAGGTAGATGGAGGTCATTTTAATGTGTTAATGATATTATGATAAGCTGAAGTTCTTTAAGAGATGGTCCTAAAAAGTAATATTATAGAAAAGTATACATGCTCTTGAAATTTTAAAGACAGGAATTTGAATATCTCATAGTTTGTTCTGTTATCTTTTTTTTTTTTTTTTTTTTTTTTTTTTTAATCCTTTGTATCTGCCATCTTTTGTAGTAATGACTCCTGAAAACAGGAAAATGTTGTAATTTCTGACATTTTGAGATCCCCCCCCCCCCCTCTGGAAACCGGAGGCAGAATTTTGTGATTTTTACATATGATATACAATATCATATTACTCATCACATGTAATTTGAAGTGCAAAAAAAAAAAAAAAAAAAAAAAAAAACATGCATTTTCCCATGCATACAATTCTGTAGTAAAAGCAATTTTTTTTTAGATGGTTCCAAAAAAATACACGGCAGATTTTCCTGAAACTTTTCATGTATACTAATATCACTAATGCAATATATTTTAATCCCTTTCTGTCGTGTTTGTCAAAACTGAACAGGAACGTGAAAAAGATATAAAATATGGACAAAAATCATAAAGCCAGACAAAAATCATAAAGCCAAACAAAAATCATAAAGCCTGACAAAAATCAAAGCATGACAAAAAGTGATCTCTGATTTAAATAAGTCTTGCAATGCATTGTAATCTCACTTAATTTACAAAATTTCGAAGAATATCTCAATCTAATGAATATACCCATCCAAAAAGAGCCCACACAATACAAGCCTTATAACAACGATTTTTTAAAATATATTTTTTAAGTACAATGACACAAATAATTTGTTCAAAGTAGCATTTTTGTTTTTTTTTTATTTTTGAAAAACTCAAAATTTTTGGTGAGGCGCATTTGCCTCACTTGCCTCAATGGTTGTTACGGGTTTGTGAACTTTGTAAAGAAAAAAGTGACGAACCATTACGTCTTGTAGAGGACGTGACTCCCGGAAGTCTCTCGTAATTAATTTCCTTATCATCATAAAAAGTTACCAGGTCAACAATCTCATTAATTAATTATAAAATTCTAATATATGGATAAGGAAAATCCTAAGGAATTTGCCAGCTTGTATTTTTATTTAATTAGCGACAAGGATGAGAGCTCATCATGTCTATTAATGTCACTGTCATTTAATCACACGAAAAGATGCATGTCCTTTCTTTTTTATAAACAATAAAGGTCTTGAAATCAAAGCACTGAGAGTACTAGGAAGTTCTCACCACTAAAATTTGATGTATATCTTAAAACGTTAAGAGATCTAGAACATCAACAGCCATATTTGATAAATTACATCCTACCCTTATCTAGAAGTAAATTGCAAAAAAAAAAAAAAAAAAAAAAAAAAAAAAACGCGTCAGCAAAATAAGCTAAAACGTACAAAATATTTGTTTTCAAGAATACTTTCTGTATTTAAAAAATCAATATAGGGTGCATTTCATTTGGCGGATTTTTCAAATGTCATTTCATCTGGGTGGAATTGCCTTGTTTCATTTGGGCGAAATATTTTGCATGTAATAGCTTAACACGTCTACATATATAAAACATTTAGGGTAACTCCTTCCTTTATTAAACTCAGAACATGTCAATTAATCATTAGTACGAATGAGGTTAATATCTAACGTGTCCAGATCAAGATAATCGTTTATAGAAAGAGTTCCAGTCTTACTGGACAACTGCAGACGTGTGAACATCAGGCGCGACATAGGTATTACGGAAGGAATTCATACAAGATATCCAGCCAAAACTTAGTATCTGATCATGAATTCGTATACAGGCTTCTTTTAATTTTTGCGCGTATGTAATGTATAATGCTTACTTTTTAAAGAATAAAAAAATTAATATAGTTAAAAAAATATAAAGTTCAACTAATGATTTAATAAAGATTTCTTTTTAAAGTTAGTAAGCATTTTTAATCACTTCTAATGACCATACTGTGACTTGTATCTTTGAAGTTAAACAAAAGATGGTATAAACAACACTTTGGATATATAGGCTGTGATTTGTAGGGAAATTGTCTCTTATCAACAAGGAAGGTCTTAATTAATAACAGGCTTTTTTCTATTCTCTTTTGAAATATGTGGAGATAACAAACAGTATTCGAGCTCAAAAGTCCATTAAACATTAGAAAGTAGGAACAGAGCAAACACGGACCTCTAAGACATCAGAGGTTGGATCAGGTGCCATGGAGGAGTGAGCATCCCCTGCCGACCGGTCACACCCGCCGTGTGCTCCTTGTCATGATCGGGAAATAACGGAAGTTCTGACGACATATCAGTGTGTACATAAAGCCTAACAATTAGTATGAAATAAAGTCAGTCAGCATTTGACTTAATGATAGATTGTATTTGCTGACAAGGTCATTGTATGTAGAACTTACGAAGTGATGACTTTAAACGAGACTGTTGATATTCTTGTTTCATCAACTTGTTTGTCAATAACTTACCTCGTTTTAGAAAGTGTTCATACGTAGGGCATGCTCTGGCGTATCGAATCAACTGAGAGATATAAACCCCGTCTGCAGGTGATAAGGGTATGTTGCTGCATAAGAAAGGGAAGTTGGCGATTGAAAAGTTAAAGTCATCACGTTTATCATAAAGCTTTGTTGTTAGATTACCATTAACGTCTTTTTCTAACAAAATATACAAATATGAAACAGATGTTTCAGACTCTGTGGTATCTTTTATCTCAAGCTCACCAGGATATATCGTGTCGACATAAGAATGGAAATAACCATTCTTAACTGACAATGCGTCGTCGATATATCTAAATGTCGAGTTGAAGGCCACAGCAAGTGTTTTCTTCTTTTCACGTAAAAGATTTTGAACGAATTCTGCTTCATATGAATACAAAAATAGGTCTGCTTATAACGGGACGCAATTGGTACCCATGGGGATTCCAATGGATTGTTGGAAGACCTGGTTATATAACTAATCAAGCAACACAAAAAAAAAACAACAAACAAACAAACAAAACAAAACAAAAAAAATCAAAAGTTTCATAGCTATATTGAAGTGTAGTACATTTTTAGATATTAAACATAAAATTTATATTAATTCTCAATTCTAAATGTATACGCTATGATTATTATTTTGAAATTAAATAAATTGAAAATTGAAATTATAAGATATCTTTAAGTGTATTTAATTGAATTTTAATGTACAAGTAATTGAAAAAATGCTCAATTACAAATTACTTTCTAGTATTGCTTTAAAAGATTTAATTTATCCATGGTCTGTATATATGATATGAATGTTTATTACAGACAGGTGTAATTTATTTATAAATAAATAAATAAACTTAATTATTTATTTGTTCATTTCTTTTTTAAGAATAGGTATACTAAGGCGGTTTAACTCTACTTTTTACAAAGTCACTACTACTACTACTAATAAGAAACAGGCATATTGTATCGGGATCGGAATTTAAAAACTCTTAACCATGTAAACAGCTCATGTGACATTTTTTTGTTGCTGGGTGTTTTGAATGTTAAAAATCATGGTAAGAATTTCAAATTGAATAAAGCTGCAGAAAATAATTTAATGTAATGAATCACCAACACAAGAGTCGGGTATTTTATTTTAAAAAAATATGGATTCATTGTTTTTATGTAATTCTTTGTGCAGCTGTTGTGGTGAATTTTACAGAATAAGTGATTGAATATCCTACTACTCTGGTTAAATTTATGCCCAAGTTGTTAAGAATTCTTTCTTCAGCATATAATGATAATGTTTAGTGCCAAGTGTACTTTGATAGGCATTCCACGTTTTAAATGGTAAGTGTAACAGGAAAGGAGAAAATGTATAGCTGGACCAGGTCCAGTCCACAGACTATTTTTTACTTACGTAGCTAGTTATAGCTACCTAGGTATTTAAACCTACTCCAGGTAGCTATTTTTATATACCTTTTGCTTTATTTGCATTTTGTTGCCAAACGCAGGAGTGATGCAATATGGTGAGATACAGTTATGCTGACTATGAATATGACAAAAATGTTGGCAAAAAATGATTACTACCTAACTTATCAATTTGGTATCAATAACTACACCCATTTCCATTTTCTAGGAACTAAAGTTGAAACTTAAGTGGTAAGAAGCCTAAATTGTCTTAGAAATCAGTATTACTTTTAAAACTTATCTTCATGCATTCTTAAATACATGTATAAGGTTTTTAGGACAATTTTCCTTGCATTTCTTCTCTTTTCTTCCTATTGTAAAGTTTTTACACTTACACTCTGTATTTTGCTGTGCAAGTGCACAACATGATAAACAACAAATCTGACCTGTTTTAAAGGTGTGCCTTAATTTTTATTTTTAAAGACAGGTAAAAGTAGGTAAAAGTAGCTACTTCAAGGAGGTTTAAATACCTAGGTAGCTATTAATAGCTATGTAGGTAGAAATAGTCTTTGGTCTGTGGACCAGAAATCAAACTCAGCACCCCTCAGGTCCCATGCATCACAAGTCAGGTGCTCTAACCACTGAGCAGACTGATATCCAGAGCATTCATCCCTCAAATAGTCTTCACTCTCGTAGACACAACTCAAGTTCTTTTTGCCCCTGGCAGGACTTTCACCTGCAAGTCCAGGGGTGGTCAATGGCACCAAATGTAACCAACAAGGGAGAAAAATGTGAGCAACCAATCCAGGATTCAAAAATAGGCCCCGTGAATCACTAGTCAGGTGCCCTTTGAGCTATTGAACCTGCCTGACTTCCATTTTCCTCCCTCCATAAAGGTCTTCAACCCTGAAGACACCAATCCAGGGCTCTTCCCTGAAGGGTCTTTACCTCTCACATCCTTTCATGGTTTGAGATTATGTAACAGGTAAGGAGAAAAAGTTTGGCTGGACCGGTAATCAAACCCTGGACCCCTACATCACTAGTCAGTACTCCAGCATGCAAGAGGTTAACAGTGAGATACTTTTGACTTGACTCTATATTCAATTCAATTAGTTTATTGACCAATTAAGGGCCCACAAGGGGCCAAAAAAGTACATTGTAGATACTAGTATAGTCATCAGGAGGGAAAGGAACGTTAACTGAGGCTCTTACTTGTAGGAGTACACTAGTCAGGTGCTTTAACACTGAGTTGGCCAACATTCCATGCCCAGGAAGTGACTGGAATTCACTATAACTGAGTTTTACTGAATGTTCAGTATTAGGTCTATATACACAATTAGTTGTCATGGAGATTAAGCCTAAAAAAAATGTATTTAGTGTGTTCACGATTGAAGAGTTGGATTACATATATGTAAATTCATTTATCTGTGGATTTGTTTTGTAGATGTCAGACTTACAACTGCTCAACGAGGAAATGGATGCAAAGTTAATTCTGTTCTTTGACACTTTGACCTCCCTCTACCAAGAACAGGAAAAACTTAATGACCAAATCAAGGATGGGTTCTGGAACATGTCCAGAGCACGATACAGTATGGGGGTTAAATTTGTAGGGATAGATCAAATACACGAAGATGATATGCAGGCATTAACGAAAGTGAAGGTCACAGAGAAGGAGGAAGAAGAAATGTTTGCTGCATTCGCCAATGTGGGCATTACAGAGGATGAGACCAGTGAAGTAGAAAATGTAGGAGTACGAAAAAGAAATGTTGGAAAATCTGAAAAAGATTCTTCTCTATTGGACAAAAAAACAACCAAGAAAACAAAACAACAGCATGATCCAATGAAATGGTTTGGTGTCCTAGTTCCCCCAAGCTTACGACAGTGTCAGAAGCAGTTTAAGTCCTCTCTGGAAACCACCATTGCTATCGCAAACCTTAAACAAAAACTTCTTCTGTTAAAATCTGACTACTCAGATCTAAAGAGAAGGAAAGCAGAGATTACATCTAAGGCAGGAGATTAAAACTATACAGACTTCCTCAACTTTCAGTGTGCAGGGCAGATAGATTGATGTGCTGTAGTGAATGAAAAAAAAATATTAAGCTTGAGGCTTAACATGTTAAAGGAAAGTTGTGTATGAACTCTCAGCAATAAAACAAATGCAAAGGGAAATTTATTTAAAATTTCCTGATGAAGGTTCAAATGGGCATTTTTTTTAAATGAGACGATGGTTATGAAAATTATACTTGAAATATGCATGCTACACATTAATCTTGATATGTTATAAACTGTAGTAATTTCCTTAGCCAGATGCAAAATTAAACAAGGACCAGGAAAATTAAGATAACTCATTTTTAGTTCTATTTATGTACAATTAACAAATGTTTTAGTGTATATCTGAAACTTCCTGACCACATGCATAAAAATAAAATTGAACTTGCTGTACTATAAGATTTTTAAGTTGGAGACTGAATTACTTTCATTACGCTCTTTCTACAGAGGTTTTGACAGAACTTATTTTTCATGGTTTGGCCTTTACAAAGACAGGAATGTTTTAGAAACATTAATTACACAAACATGCAGTCATTTCCTGCTTTGTTTGTATTTAAAATGACTCGTATATATCTTCAACTCAGATTTGTTTCTAGAAGTTTTTCTAGGAAAGGAATGTTGACTTTTCATTTATAGTTAGGTTAGATTTTACTTTGAAGCAGATGATGGATTATAAGAAATAATGTAATTGCTCATAATAGGAAAAAAAGTTCTTTGTGATGATCAAACCCAGCCAACTGATTATTAGATTTGAAAAAGCATTTAAACTAATGTTGCTGACTCTGATACAGTGATAGTTTATGATAGAAGTTTATATATGTAGCTACCAACAGCAGTATATGTATATTTATGTACAGATTTTTTTCATAAGTGTTAATTAGATGGTCTAAGCATTATGTTTCATTTTTTAGTGATATGTAACAAAATATGTATATATTCTGTGTACAGAGCACAGATGAAATTTTTAGAGAGGATCAGAGTCAATAAACTAACAGTAAAAAGTTTTAAATATCTTATTTTTTGCATCAAATGCTTTGATTAGCTGTATTAAAATCACAAATCAAGAAAATCAAGCAAGAATTTAGGAGATTTTCCTCTTTCATACATCTCTGACTCTCAAGAATCAAGTTTGCATCAGATATGAAAAATTATACATTTACGTCAGGCTTTAATATTTATTTTCCTTTTGCATCCATATTCCTTGTTAAACATGTTAAAACTTTTCTCAAACACCTGAATTCTTTGTCACAGAGTATCCTTGGCCCAAGAACTGTATTTAAGAGTTGTTTCCCTTTGACGATACATTGTGTAAAAATATACAACTTAGATTATCTTCATGTATATAAGGATTATGAATATTACATTTGATTTATTATATTTATTGTTATTTTTATGACAATTCCACTATGTTCCATTACTCACTCCACTGTGTGAATAAATGATATGAACCCTCACACGAGTTTTTGCGTTTCCTTGCACATCCCAGGAGTGTTTATACAACTGTTTACTTCCTTAATTCAGATCCAAGGATCTATTCATATATTTCTGGTTTAAAATATTTTTAAATATCAACTTTTAAAATTGCTGATACGATCTAATTATTATAACCAGAAACGTATTAAACTGTATTTATTATTCTCACAACGACAGGGGTCCTGAGTTCACTTTTGGCCGTTTTTCTCCAATTTAAAGTCCGCGAGTGGACTCGGGACCCCTGACGTTGTGAGGATGGGTATCTATAGACAAATAAGAGAAGTCATTGGTTATAGAATAAGAAAAAATGGTTCTTGGAAACCTTGTGTTGTTAACCCTTTTTGGGCTTCCTATTTTTCACTCTACAAATCATTTTCTTCAATTTCCTTAAATTTATTTACAGTTAAAGAAGGAATTTCATTCATATCAATTCCGCAGTTGTTCCACTCAGTTTTTTTAGTACCATATTTTTTGTCAAATTTTAAACACTCAGATACTGTGTCTGAATTATTTACATTCCTCGAGAACCCTGCCCCTATGCAGAAAGACGATGTGAGAAACAAGACCTCGATCGCTGTATTATAAATCAACTGCACCACTGTACATATAGATGTGTGTGTAGGGTTCTAGATAAAATGGTACATTTCACAAATTGTATTTGATGGCTTTTTATCCTATAACAGATTCTCCAGGTTCAGACCTACAATTGAAAAGATAAATATTTACCTTACCAAATATATGTAATATAGCTACCTCTGGAGTACATAATGTATGTAATTACTTCGTATCCTCCAAGCCAGGTTTATGCAAGCCAGCTAGGTTTTTGTGACACATTTATATATGTAAAAAAAATTCTTGATAATTTCTGGTATTCCGATTGAATTTAAAAACATTAATTTCCAACATGACTGAACAGCAGATATGAATGGCTACATGTATGAGTCTCATTCCTACAGCGTCTCTGTTCATTCCAGTATATATGATTATTCCAGTAATCTTTACTAATAAAAATAATACAAAATGTAAAAAGAATCACCGCTTCAATTTGTTAAAAAGCTACTGTGGAATTATTTCTATTCCTGAGGATCAATGTTTGTGGGCAACCAAAATTGTACTGCTTCGTTGAAACGCAATTCGTGTAACCCGTTTATACGAAAGATTTGATGAACTGATATGACACATATTTCTGTGAACTGATACGACACATACTTCTGTGAACTGATACGACACATATGTCTTTGAATTCGTGGGTAAGGATGGCCCACGAAATCCAAGAACATTTGTCACTCACGAAAATAATGATTCCACAGTAACCTTATCTTCCTCCTTCTGTCTCTCACTCTCTCTTTCCTATCTCACTTTATTAAGTCCCTTTCCAAATACGTCACGACAAAAGCATGACTCACCCTAATAGCATCTCACACACAAATGGTTTTACTGTATTGCAGGAGTAGTCTGCCCATTTATAATGTGTGTCTGCTACTGCCAAGACACAGTTCTCGCCAGTGTGACCATTTGGCTCGCTTTTCCCCCAGTTATTTAAAGAAACATCGTCCATATTAGAGGAATACACCCAGTGATTTTCATTTATAATATCCGAAATACCCAGCCAGTAATCCTTCCCTGTAATATTAACGTGTTTGTTTATAGCTCTCCTTGTCACATCGTCGGATACCCACGGGTGATCTCATCTTTTACTCATGAGTAAAAGAGGGGATCACCCGTGGGTATCCGACGATGTACTTGTCGGAGATTATTTTAAAGTGTCCTTTGTCTGTCTGTCTTGTTGTATTTTTAACATCTTTATTCAGAATGATACCCTATCTACTGTAACAGTTTTTGTATGTCATCTCGATAAATCTGTAGCTACATCTAAAAAAATCTTTATGAAGTTTTAATTCTGATGATAGGTATTACAATGTATACTACAATATATTGTGTGAAATTAATTCCAGATGTACAGGCTTTAGCCTGATTTGAAAGAAGCTAGGTAAAGTTATGCATTAAAAGTTAAGAATTTAATTCGAACTTACGAATAAGTTTAAATTATAAGATTTAAACTTTTTTTGCAACAAATCTACTCACCTAAATGTTCAGCGAACCCAGAGATAAAGTTCATCTCAGCCTGAGTCTTTGGTTCCGCTAGGTGAGTGTGGTAGGCCTGGCATATACTCTGTCAAATACACACATGTTCATTTGTATGAAATATATGGAAATAACGAACAGTATTCAAGCTCCATTAAACAATACAAATCAGGAGCAGAGCAAACACAGACCTCTAAACCATCAGAGGTGGGATCAGGTTCTATGGAGGAGTGAGCATCCCCTGCCGACTGGTTACCGCCGCCGTGTGCTCTTTGTTAGGAAAGTTTAGTTATATTCTAAATCTTGTACAAGGGAGCAAAGTTCGACTTATTGATGAATTAATTTTTTTTTTTACTTATTGACCTCGATCTATTAAAAAAGTAATGATGAAAACTAAATATAATGGTTTTCGTTTTGGATAAGATTTCTGATACTCACCGAGGCTGCTGGCCATGGCTCAGCTAACATACTGAACATGTAACATTTGTCTTGATGTTGTACCCAGCCATCCTTACAAGCTGGTAATTAGTAAAATATTCAAATTAATAACAATACTAAATGATTACTGATATATTCCCCGGTAACACCGAGTTACTATAATGATACTGTTTTTATTATTACTGATTTGAAAATGATCTATAAATACATTCCTAAGTAATGACGCTTAATTAATATCCTATGGTTATGAACATTCAGGCCTGGTATCAGCACTGAGTAAATACTGACTAAATTGCTATAGATATAATTTTGACTCATTTATTTTTTTTTTTTTTTTTACCAAATATGTTTACTGATGAAAGTAAATGTTTGGTAAAGTAATTGCAGATGCATTGTATAAAACTTTCTATATCTATAAGTTACATGGGAAAATTCAACAGGGAATTCAGGGGAAGCATGATAGAAATAGGAAGCTTGCCTAAAAGACTTACGAAGCAGCTCAAACCAACTCCTGATTACCTTGAATGTGGTCCATAAGTGTTACTAGTAGAAGAAATGAAACAAAAGCTTTCGGAGACATAGTAATGGAGATCAATGTTCCGTGTTATGACGAAAGAACTGAGTGGTATTTGTTGATAAGAATTGTACAATGTAGTCTACAGATATAGGCCAAACTGAGGAAACATGAAATTATCGGTCGTAGTAACCATACTCTATGAACATCTAAAATATGCAACATGTTTATTCTAAATTACTAAGTAATATAATACCTGCTGTTCATGAATTCGTATATATATATATTTTCTTCATATAGATTAAAGGTTTAAATAATTGTTCAAATATTTTGAATTGGAAATTTTATTTCAAGATCAAAAAATTACATCTCACATGCTAACAATTTACCATCAACTCAGTAATCAATCAGAGACACAGTAGCACGTGACTAGCTCAGTACCCACTCAAAATGATCCATTCTATAGCTAAGTAGCCAATCAGAATGTGTCTTCTACGATCTCATTAGACAGTCAGAATGTGCCTTCCTATAGCTCATTGGCTAGTTAGTGTCTTTCTTTAGATTAATAGCCAGTGGGAATATGCCTTCTACAAGATCAGCAGGAGATCAGAATAATATAGCTCAATAATCAAAATGTTTTCATCTTGGCCAGTAAACAGTGAGAATGTGTCTTTCTTTAGATTATTAGCCAATCAGAATGTGTCATCATAGCTCAATAGCCAATCGGAATGAGCTTCCTATAGCTCAGTATATATAGCCAGTGAGAACGTGTCTTTCATAAGTTCAGTAGCTAATCAGAATGTTTCTTCCACTACAAGCTCATAGATAGTCGGGATGTGTCATCATGTAGTTCAGTAACCTTCTTCCTATAGCTCAGTAGCAAATCAGAATATATCATCTTATTGCTCAATATCTAATTCTATAGCTCATAGTCGATCAGAATGATCATCCTATAGCTCAGTAGCCAATCAGAATGTGTCATCTTATTGCTCAATATCTAATTCTATAGCTCAGTAGTCGATCAAAATGGTCTTCCTATAGCTTCAGTAGCCAATCAGAATCTGTCTTCCTATAGTTCAGAAGCCAATCAGAATCTGTCTTCCTATAGTTCAGAAGCCAATCAGAATCTGTCTTCCTATAGTTCAGAAGCCAATCAGAATGTGTCATCTTATTGCTTAATATCTAATTCTATAGTTCAGTATCCAATCAGAATGTGTCTTCCTATCGTTCAGTAGCCAATCAGAATATATCATCTTATTGCTCAATATCTAATTCTATAGTTCAGTATCCAATCAGAATGTGTCTTCCTATAGTTCAGTAGCCAATCAGAATATATCATCTTATTGCTCAATATCTAAATCTATAGCTCATAGTCGATCAGAATGATCTTCCTATAGCTCAGTAGCCAATCAGAATGTATCTTTCCATAGCTCAGTAGTCGATCAGAATGATCTTCCTATAGCTCAGTAGCCAATCAGAATCTGTCTTCATATAGTTCAGAAGCCAATCAGAATATGTCATCTTATTGCTCAATATCTAATTCTATAGCTCAGTAGTCGATCAAAATGGTCTTCCTATAGTTCAGAAGCCAATCAGAATCTGTCTTCCTATAGTCAGAAGCCAATCAGAATATATCATCTTATTGCTCAATATCTAATTCTATAGCTCAGTAGTCGATCAGAATGGTCTTCCTATAGATTCAGTAGCCAATCAGAATGTGTCTTCCTATAGTTCAGAAGCCAATCAGAATCTGTCTTCCTATAGTTCAGTAGAATGTGTCTTTCTATACATGTAGTTCAGTATCCAATCAGAACGTGTCTTCCTATAGTTCAGTAGTCAATCAGAATGTGTCTTCCTATAGTTCAGAAGCCAATCAGAATGTGTCATCTTATTGCTCAATATCTAATTCTATAGCTCAGTAGTCGATCAGAATGGTCTTCCAATAGATTCAGTAGCCAATCAGAATGTGTCTTCCTATAGTTCAGTAGCCAATCAGAATGTGTCTTCCTTTAGTTCAGTAGCCAATCAGAATGTGTCTTACTATAGTTCAGTAGAATGTGTCTTTCTATAGTTCAGTATCCAATCAGAACGTGTCTTCCTATAGTTCAGTAGCCAATCAGAATGTGTCTTCATATAGTTCAGAAGCCAATCAGAATGTGTCATCATATCTAATTCTATAGCTCAGTGGTCGATCAGAATGGTCTTCCTATAGCTTCAGTAACAAGTCGACATGTGTCTCACAGTAACTAAGTAAGAAATGCTGCTACTTCATTTGAAAAAAGGACAGTGAAATTAATTATTGTATTATTAATTGATAAGTCAAGTTGAAGCATGCTTTAGATACCAAATGAAGCCATTCAAAACCAAGGTTATACTTATTTTGAGCATGATAAACGTTTATATTTAGTCGTACAACAATTATTAAAAATGAATGCGGAATTTTCCAAATTACAATGTATTCATGTGGTAACCACTAATGACAGAACATAAATGACATGTTATATATATATATATATCTATATATCTATATATATATATATATATATATATATATATATATATATATATATATATATATATATATATATATATATATATATATATATATATATATCAACGAGAATTAATGTTGTATGGGTGCCTACATGGATTCATCAATGGACGAATATGCACTTATTGAAAAACTGGTATTAATTGTGACATCGCTTTCCCCCGGTTAATAATAAATTATGTTATTATCATGTATTATTTGTTATAAGTGATTAAAAATATATTCTCTATATTCTCCGGACATATAGAGGACGTGGTTATACAAACATTGCATACTGAATGCAGTCAAATTGAAAGCGTTTATTTGAAAGATAATGTATTTACTGTGAACTTTTTAATTTGAAAGAAATTCATCAAAGGGCGAATTTAATGAAAAATTGCTATTAGTGGTTGACATTACTTTCCGTAAATAACGCTGCATATTCAATGCAGTCAAATTTGTTTTTAACAAAGTATATTTACCGTGAACTTTTTAATTAAAATTCAAATACGACCTTGATTCTTTTCTTACAGTTAATCACAATCCAGACGGATGGCTGTCATTTCACAGATTAAAAGCGGCCCAAAACACCTGTGTGTATATCTAATTTGATTACAATTTTAGCATAAAAGACAAACGTTGAGGTTTTTTCATTACATAATTCGTTTTTTACTGACTAATGAACGTCTGACGAGAATAAATTAAGGACTTTTAGGTGGGCCTTCCATTACAGGCTTATGTATAGTTTCTGTAAAGTCGTGGATTCAAATTTCATAAAATTACTAGGATCACATGAAGTTGGAAATTTAATTTCTAGAATGGGATTTGACTTTTAGTAGTCTTGCTTAGTTCTGAAATTTAAATTTTATACCCCCCCCCCCTCGCAAACGACGTTTGGGTGGTGGTGAGTTATACAGGTGTCATGACCTTGTCTAAGGTCATTCTGGCAAGTTCAAGGGCAGTGAGAGAAATAGTATAACTCTTCTTCTTCTTTTTTTGGGGGGTGGGGGGGGGGGGAGTTGAAACTTCAAACAAAAATTATTTGTGAGCTATAAGTATGTCAAAAACCTTCACCTAAGGTCATTGTGGCAAGTTCACGGTCAATGGCAGTAAAATTCATGTCAGATCTATAATTTTCTAATGAAGAAACTTTGGATATCCATATGGCACTCAAAGATTACTTTTGTCCAGAGGATATTTGCCAATTTTTCAAGGTCACATTTACAAAATTAGGAATGAACCTCTAGTTGCATTATGGGATTTTATTTATTTATTTTTTTTCAAAGATGCTTGTTATAAAAAAAAAAGCAAGAAAATTTGGATTTCATTTTTCAATAATGGGATTTATTTAATAGATGTTTGATCTAATAACCCTATTAAGTTTGGGATTTGGTTTTTTGAGGTTTGGTTTTTTAAACAATTCAATGTATGTATAGATAGGAAATTTGTGCAAATCTTTAATGTTCTTAAATTTTTTTTTTTTGAAAAGTTAAGAAATTAATCTCTGAAAAGAAATTCTTAAAGAATTTATAATGATTGACAATGTTGTGAATCGTGTACTGTGCAGGTATTTCTCGTTTCTTCAATCTTAAAAGTGTTTTTCACAATACTTTCTGTTAATTATTAAATTTAAGAATAAATAACAATATTATTATGCTTTTCAGTTTACTGTAATCAGAAATACCTGTAATTTTGATTACATTTCTAAGGTTTTCGAAAATTCAATCAGTTACTTTTACAAGTCATGTAATCGTTATATTAATCAATTATTTGAAAAACAAATTAAATTTGGTAGGACGTCATCTGCTCTCAAAAAGAAAGCAAAATAAAATAAAACTATATACATTTTAAAGCAAAAAATATAAAAAAAAAACAAACAAAACAAAAACAAACAAAAAATTATCTCGTGAAAACGAGATAATATATAGTGTAAACGACATATTATCTCGTGAAAACGACATATTTTCTTGTGAAAACGACAAAATATCTCGTAAAAACGAGATATTATCCAGTGAAAACGACTTATTTTCACAAGATATTATCTTGTTAAAACGAGATATTATGTCGTGAAAACGAGATATTATGTCTTGAAAACGAGATAATATCTCGTGAAAACGACTTATTATCTCGTTATAACGAGAAATTATCTCGTGAAAACAAGATATTATCTAGAGAAAACGACTTATTATCTCGTGAAAACGACATATTATCTCGTGAAAACGACTTATTATCTCGTGAAAACGAGATTTTATATGGTGAAAACGAGATATTATCTCGTGAAAACGACTTACTATCTCGTGAAAACGACATATTATTAATATTGTGAGATAAGTCGTTTTCACGAGATAATATGTCGTTTTCAAGAGAAATTTTGTCATTTCACGACATAATATATCTTGTTTTCTCATGAAAACGAGAAAATAGGTCGTTTTCACGAGATAATATGTCGTTTTCACGAGATAATATCATGTCGCTTTCATGCGATACTTCGTCGTTTTCACGAGATATTATCTCGTTTTCACGACATAATTTTTCTATTTCACGAGATAAATTTTTCCTGGTATCTTAAAAATAATTACGCGTCCTAAATGTACCACCGTAGCCAAGCAAGAAAGCAAAATAATTTTTTCTTATAAATTAACTTTTACAGTTTTATAAATCATTTCAATGCTTGAATTTGATTGGCTGCATTGGTGTTATTGATATGACTAATTTCATCCAATTGTGTGTTAGAAGGTTCGCTGCAAGGAGATGCTTCGGAAATTAATGTTTTAAATACAGCTGAACGAATGCTATACAAAGTTACAGTTGAAATTTTAATGAAATAATAAATTACATTACAATTAGGCTATGTTTATGGTCGATTTAGAATATACCCGTAAGCATTGGTTTGGTAAACCTCTGTATTTTGCGGTAGACCTCGCACACATCTGACGCGTCAGTTGACCCAGACTTTGCTATATAAGTCAACCGATTCCGTAAATATACAGTCACTTCATATATTATGTTTGTAGAGATTTCGTAAGACACCTGGCAGATCTGACAATGACACACAAGCTGTTCTGCCTACTGCTGGTTTCGTGTTTTCTAATTAGTGTCAATACCATCAGTACGTACGAAATTTTCCAGAATTCCTGCCAAATACCCATAGATGGTTATCTTTTTTGCTCGTTTTCTGTTAATAAAAACTGGGATTTTTTGAAATTCCGGGAATGGATAGATGGTGTACCAGGAGACATAAAACTTGCAGAACTTTACATTAGTTGTGAGACAGGGGCGTCCGTTTTCCTGCCCTGGCCAATGCGCGCGCGAAGCCTTAAAGTCTTGGACATTAACAACTGCATCATCCGTGGGTTTTATGACGAATACGAGGACTCTGCAAATTACACGGACAGTATGGTGGACCTAAATATGATGAACTGTGTCATCGAAGAGAACCAAAATGACCACATTGACCGGACCCTTCATAGGTATCCGAGCGAGAGCTTCGCGTGCGGACAGAAATCTGTTGTCGTCGTGGACATCAGGAATCTTACATCGACGTTCCCTCGACTTCCTTCTGGGCCCAAGATGGATCAACATCGGAACATGACACAAACTAAGTGTACTTATAATCATTTAATTCATTATGAAGAAACTTTTCAATATAGTCAGATGGAAAACGACTCTACCATAAATTATTATCCAGTGCTCAATGTCGCTACGTTTTCATCCAACAATCTATCTTCGGTCCCAGAAAAGGCCAGAAACTGGCCATCCTTTTTTCCAGCTTTAAAGGTGCTAGATCTGTCTAACAACAGCATCGGAGAATTTGATTTTGAGATTCCAAATGAAAACCGTACCTTATACGTTGATCTGCGGAAGAATTCTGTCGTCGACGTTTCGATGAATATGACGTCATATCTAAGAGATGACCGTGCTGTTGTTATTGACCTTCGACAAAATCCTATTCGATGCAGTTGCAATGTTTTAGATTTGAAAGAGTATCTCCTGCAAATAAATGAAAGGTTCCCAGAGTGGGCACAGGGGACGGAAGTATATTGTGAAACGAAAGACCAGAAAATGAGTCTGATAACTGGCATCACCATGGAGACGTGTCATGACGTCAAGTAATTTCAAGTCTGGTGGTTCACCGTCTACGTGGTTTGTACAATATCTTGTGAGTTTTTTCTTCCTGAAGCAAATTATACCAGAGTCGGACTATTGACATTTTCCAAGTGTTACCCCCATTGAGCACTATTTTACCTATTATTTTCTTTCTGCGTTTTCATAAGACATACCGGTAAACAGTCAGATATGATGTCACTTTATTTCTAGTTGTTGAATGTTGTATATATTTTTATTTCTTGTTCTTTCGTGAAATGAAATTCACCGGCTCTTGATAATAACATAATATTCCTCAAATTCTTTTTTCTGTTTCATATGTTATGAACAATTGTCTTCATTACAGAGTTGATTTTCTTACTGAATTACTGAATATTATTTAATTTTTATTTTATCTCTGATGTAACAAAATTTTCATGAAAGAATCTAGCTGTATGATTTATTCTGAAAAAAAAAGAAAGAAAGAAATCTATATATAAAGTATATTTATTTAGGGAAGATATTTTTTTTTTATATCTGGTGTTTATTATAATATTTAGGGATGTGCGATTTTATCGGTATATCGCGATTTTTTATTTCGTGATACGGAGACTAAAATACCGGTATTTGGTACATAGCTCTAAATTCCGGAAATTATTCATTCATTTGTTCAAACTATTGAATGACAATTACAGGAATTGTAAAAATGTTGAAAACAGTTAAACAACAGAATCCAAACATGCTTTATATTAAATAAATACAAATTTAAAAAAGTAAAGTTATGTTTTTATAGCATATTTTAAAGAAATATAACGGAAATTCATTTGAAATTGTAGTAAAAATGGTGTGTAAAAATATCACGATTTATCATGATATTTTTGGGAAAAAATCGTGATATATCACGATACGAAATTTTTGCAGATACCCATCCCTAATAATTTTCAATCTGATGTAGAAAATAGAGCGATATTTTGAATTGTTATAGAATCTAGCTGCATGCATGATTTATTTAAAAAAATCTGTGTGTGAAATATTTTTTTAAGGAAATATCTTCTTTCTTTCTTTCTTTTTCTTTTTTCCTTTCTTTTTTCTTTTCACCAATAATGATTTTGAAAACTTTGCCAATGTACAAGAATACGAATTGAACATGAGCGGGGACTTCACACACGATTTTTTTTAAAATAGATAAATAAAGTCACCTATTAATTCATAAAATCGATGAGCATACATGTAAAGATGAGAATGAAAAATTCTGTGCAAGATCGAGGAAAATTGAACATAAAAAGGAATAAAATTGTTTTTATTGATTTTTATAATAATGTAAAGAAAGCAAAAATAACTTTTGAGGGGAAAGGTCATAAATTTATAGAAAGTTGCATTCGATTGAAATTTTGTCATTTCTTATTATTGTGAAAAGTCCTGATAAAAGTTTGTGGACTTTTTTTTTTGTTTTTGTGATAGCTACATGTATTTAAAAGATTATGCATGTTTTTGACTATACTATTTACTTATTTAATTAGATATGATTGATGATAAAACGCGACTTTCTCAAGAAAATATTTAATCTTGACACCTACATTGTGATGTCGTCCTGCATTACACGAACCAATCTCTCACCAGAGGGCGTATTACGCTTCGCTACAACACGTATAAGTGGAGCGTAGCGGGAACGATAACTCTGGGTAGAGATTGTACACGAACATGTCAGTAAATATGAATTTCATGAATATTTATTGTTTTAAAAGACTTAAATGGCTGCTTGTGACATAATTATGATAAACTGGTGAAATTTTCTGATTAACCATAGTGTACATGTGTTGTTGTTTTTTTGTTTGTTTGTTTTTTTGTTTTTTTGGTTTGTTTTTGTTTGTTTGTTTGTTTGTTTGTTTTTGAGGGGGAGGGGGGATACTTCTTATAGCTGTTTGTTTCGAAGGAACATTTTGGTTATTATAGTAACTTTCCCTTTTCTTGAAGTTTTATCTGTCGGACCTAGGTGGATCAAAGATTTCCAGTCAGAGAAAGGGGTTGCATTGATGAAAATAAATAGACATATGAATGAATAAATAAATAAAAAATATATATTAGTAAAAATGTTTCCTGTTTAATAAAATGTCATTTTACAAATGAAAAAAATTACTTTGTTTGATTTTTTTGAACTAGATATTACCATAGGCACTCCCCAGCTTAATTGTTAAAAAATATATATCTACTATACTGTAAACATAAGTTTATGTTGATAGTATAGTAGATATATATTTTTTAAGAGCCATTCTCTGTAATGACTTGAACTTTTATATAGGAGCTGTGGCACGCATAGTCTCAGAATTTCTCCAAACTCTCTATGATAAGAGTCTTTGATACCATAAATTCAAATCAGGCAAAAATTGGTTGCTACGTATCATGGTTACCATAGCAACATGTCGTAAAGATTGAAAAATGGCATTTTTCAATATGTTCAGAGTCCCACAGTTATTGTTTGCAGCAAAGCAAACAAGTGGCAATAACTGTCTCTGAAAGTTGAAGGCCCGATGTCTTAAATGCATGATAAACATGTTTGGTAAATCAACTATAACATACGTTACTATGGAAACAAAGTATTCAAAAGTAATAATTTTGTTCATTTAATTTTATAAAGTCATACACTTAAGAATAAAAACAATTATAGGTTGAAATGCAAGCAAATAATAGACAAGAGATCCTTGTAACACATACCAAGGACAAAATATGATATTTCTTATAGGTTGGCAATGGTTGCCATGGTTTTAATACCACGAAGGGATTTTAAATTTACTCTCTTAGTGTTTTAATCTTATCCTATCTTTTTAAAAAGCATATTTCTATATAACTGATGATCAATTTTTAAAGGCCTTGGTGTTACCCTAATTTGCACATTTCAAAAAATTCAATTTCAATTCTTTAAATAGTACGTTGCTATGGAAATAAGGCGAAAAAACATGCATAAAAATCTGAAAAATACTCCGTTTCCTTGGATACGTACCCTTGCATGTAGATTCCCAAAACTTTTATGATTGATATATGTGAACAACTAACCTGACTTTCAATTTTGACTACCACCCAATCTCTAACTGGATGCAAAAAGCTGGCACATAGGGTCTAATACTGACATAAAATTAACAAAATCGAACATTTTCTCTTCTTGGTAACCATAGCAACAGTGTTGTATTTTTCAACAACCTTTATCAATATATGATATTCAACTTTAGTTCTACATGATAAGTACTATTCAAGGTGATTCAAATAATATGTTTCTTGATTAAAAGGTTAGTAAATTCCTAAGGCACCAAAAAAAATATCACTTTAAACAACAAGTACGTTGTTTCCATGGTTACACTGCAAAGTAACAATTAATCTCAATTTTTCTTATGTTGTCGATGTTGCAAGGTCCTAAGGATGAATATGTGCCAGTCATGAATTTTATTGTTTTTCCTCAAGATAGTAGCATTAATCCAATCATAGCGACAGATTTTGCATGGTGACACTGTGTTACCATGGCAACCATGATAGTTATTTTTAGAATAATATTGGCAATACCTAATTACATAAGATAAATATTTTTAGTTGTTTTTCTTAGGTTTTTGATTGAGTTTGATCATGTAACATCTATCATTTGTGAATATTGAGCATTTTTCAGCATTTTTCAGCATCTAAAATGTATTCCAAATGTATCCATGGTTACCACTTACTTAGAGATAAATTCTAAATAGTTTCTTTATAGCATAAGTGGCAACAAAGTGTCATGTTTTTGGGAGAATAGTGTGTTTGTTTTTCTTAGTCCTTATTAAGGCTTAATAAAGATTTAAAGTAGCTGAAAATCTCAATTTTTTCAACTTTTCTGGCTGTTACCATGGCAACCAAGACATATAGCAACGGAATTTTATTTGATATATGTTTCTGGTGTCAAGTTGTAATAATGGGCAAAGTTTCATCAAAATCGGTGACCATGCGTGGCAAGAAGTTTAAGTGGTTACAGAGAATCGCTATTAACAATTAAGCTGGGGAGTGCCTATTGATATTACACATAATAACTTTTAATTTAAAAAAAAAAGATGTGCGCCTCCTTTAAAACTGGTGGTGAAACTTTTATGTCAAGCAATTTTTTTTTAAATTATCAACTTATGTGGTGGTCTAAGGGAAAGAACTCCTGTGACGCACCTTGACGAGAATATTGGGGTTATCGATCCTATTTGTGAAAAAAGTAGTCCGCATTTAATGATTGATATTTTATAAATGTAAATCTTATTACAAAAAAGAATTATCGTTCAGTCTATTCAAAGGTCCTTCATATTTGATAGATGATGTAAATGAGCCAAATTTACCTTTAAACCGGAAATGCGTAGGAATAATTTTGGCTTAGCATCGATTGTTTGAAAATGGCGGCGATCAGAAGCGGTGGAGAGCACGGCAATCTTTTGTGTGTGAATTGCTAGGCTAGTTGTATGAAAATTATGTGAAAGATATTTTCTAGAGAATGTTTTAAAGATACGGTGTTCTTCTGACATGTGTTTGGGGTAAAGCAAAGGAATGGCAGCGCCCGAGACGCCCCGACTCCTGGTAAGTGTGTTAAGCAAGATCGCGTAACCTGTGTTGACAAATAGACTTATCGTGTTCATACAACCATGTCGTACAAAAAGTAAACATACATTAAATATATAAAAGTTACATATTGAATTAGATTATACTTGTCAAATGATTATTTACTCTTGATTGTCTGCATACTTCATGAAATGATTGAAAAGATGGTGGTAGATAGAAATTAAGAAAAACAAAATCATAACATAAACCATTATCCCAAACAACATCCATAAATTATTGCATCCATTCTTAAATCCCTGTACTCAATTGGGAAACACTTTGTTAAAGGGGCACTTCTATATAAAAAAAAAAGGCCTCGTTTTTTTTTTTTTTATAGAAGTGCCCCCTATAACACACTTTTTACAGTATAGTGACTTCGTCCAACAATCTTGAATAGGCTTTGTACACAGCGAAAATGCCTTTGTCATTTCCTGCACTGAAGAAAAGATATTTTTAAAAGAACTGTACTGAATAATCCATGAAATCTTAGGTGAACTTTATGTACAAGTCTGGTGAAAGTTGGGGGTTTAATTTCTAAATGTAAAATAGAGTTGATTATTTTTATATTGCATTGTGATTGCACAAGATGAGAAAGAGGGAGGAAGTTTGATAGGAAAGTCAGTAGAGGGAACTTATATAAATATATTATTATTTTTTTGAAGATTACAAGCTTTTGATTTTGTGGATTCTATGACATTCATTTTACATATTCATTTCTTGTTTATGAAATTTTGATACACTGGTGAAACGTGTACTAACTGCAGTAATGCAGTTCCTTCTTTTTGTTTAAATGCAGTTGTGTTTCTTGTGATGTTATACAATCATAGAAAATTATGAAAATTATATACTTGAGGAGGAGAGGGTTGGGGTTGGTTGGCATTGTTCTACAAAATGTGTTTTTACAAGCTTATGTGAAAAGAGATCACCAATTACTACTAAATATATAATACAAATAACAAATATTATGAATTAGTGAGATTTAATGATGATTAACGACTTTAACGTGTATAAATTTCTGATAGGATGTGATAGCATTTAATCACTCAGCTACAAATTTCCTGTCCTGAACATGATGGATTTGAGATTAAACGTCCAAACAGAGTGTATTCAAGGCCAGCAGTTCTTACAACACTTAACATTTATCAGTACACCAGTGTATTTATGGCAGAAACAAACAAGGCATAGATAACCCTGTGATTAATACAACAAAAAGGCAACACTTCTAGAATGGGTTTTCCTCCCTGAGATTATTTTGCCATTACTGATTTATTTTTAATAGGTTGATGGTACAAATCAATATTTACTTAAGAAATAAGATAGAACATAAGTACCTGAAATATTTGAGGTCTGGTAAAAAACTCTGGTTATATGCAAAAGTGGTTGAACATAACAGACATTTAAACCTTATTTTCTACCTCTGTGTGTATAATCCATCAGAGACATGAACACAGGTGATGATAATTGTTTCATTTATGCATTTGAACTTGGGAAGAACATTGGTTTTGAACCTGCATGGTTCTACCATGTCTACTCTGGATTTCCAGTGCAGTCAATACATTACAAATCTTTAGAGAATACAGGGTTTTTATTTTATCCAATGCTCTACATTTCATTATTAGAGACAATATTATAATGTCTTTCTGCCCTACTAACAAAATTTTGAAAATTTATGAAAACTTTCAGATTCAGTGTTAGTAGTTCTAATATGTCAAATGCATTTTTCATTATATCTGCATATGCCATTAGTTGCAATATAATATATAATAATATAATATAGGAGGGGGTTAAAAAATTGTTTACCCCCATCCCACCCCTTTCCCATGCAATATGAGGTCACAGTGTGGTATGAATTAAGTAATCATTAGATCACCATATCTGATCTATATATACATACTACCTTATAATCTGCCCGGCTTATTGTATTTTAAGGGATTATGAAGATTAATACTGGCTTTTAATATTAGGCCATGTGACTAAGGAACTTACCTCTTTTACTAGTAGTGAAATCAGCCCCATAATGACACACAGAAAGGTCAAACACAAGGGTGTCCAGTGACTATACCGTGTATTCTGATGCCTGGAATTGGTAAAAATGGAGTACATAGTTAAATAAAATACTCAAAGGGGAATGTAAAACTGGATTGTAAAACAGTGGACACTTCTTAGTGTGATTTTTACATTTTGTGTAACTTTAGCATGTTTAGTGTGTGTACAAAGGATTTAATTATGTGAAAACTCAAAGTTTGAATGCAGTCGCCAACATTGAAATACTTCATTTTTGTAAGTACATCCCAATAGTTTTCACAGTGTTTAAAGTTAAACATTATTTATACATATATGCATAGTATTTAGCATGACTTACTTTCTAGTTATAGAAGTTATTTTCTGAGCAGCATGGTATGTGTGTAATGGAGAACAAAACATATGGTATTGCTTTTTCTATCACATACATGTATCTCATCTCAATTAAAGTACCCGGTACCTAAGAATCAGCCCCACAAACAATGGCAGAGGGCAGATATTGGAGACAGGAATTCAGTGAAAGTGTTTTGTTTAAGGAATAATTGTCTTTTTTTTTTGTTGTTGTTTTTTTTGTTTTTTTGTTTTACGATGTGACCAGTCAGTTTGCTTGTGTGAAAATTTGCATAAATGCCAAAGGCGTTTATGCCTAAAATTATCCCGCAAGCAAACTGATTGATAATCATCATAAAACCAAAAAAACCAGACAGATTTTCCTTATTATGTATTCTTACCTAATCCTTGATTCAATAATAAAATATATGTATTCAATAATAAGAAACTTCTGGAAACTTCTGCCACCAAGTGTATTAATAAGCAACACACAGGTAGAAAGCATGCAGTTCTGTCATGTGCTAGGCAAATCGCTTTATAAGGATATAAAGCTATTACCTGAATGGTTTTATCTCGGACAAATTCAATTTGAAATTGAAAATATTAACTGTTGGTGGTTTGTGTTGTAGGACAGTCCGTCGGACATTCGTAAGGAGATTGACAGAAAGCTAGTGGACGATGGCCTCAGTGCGCAGTGTCCGGAGGAGGAAAAACTGTTGTATGTCTGGAGGCTTTATCAACACACAGAGGTACAGTTAATAGAAACACACAGACAAGGTTAATACACTGGCCATAATACACAGAGGTACGTTCATACAAACCCATAGACAGGGTTAATACACCAGCCATAATACACAGAGGTATGGTCCATACAAACATAGTCAAGGTTAATACACCAGCCATAATACACAGAAGTATGGTCCATACAAACACACAGACAAGGTTAATACACCAGCCATAATACACAGAAGTATGGTCCATACAAACACATAGACAAGGTTAATACACCAGCCATAATACACAGAGGTATGGTCAATAAAAACCCATAGACAGGGTTAATATACCAGCCATAATACACAGAAGTATGGTCAATACAAACCCATAGACAGGGTTAATACACTAGCCATAATACACAGAGTTATGATCCACAGAAACACAGACAAGGTTAAAACACCAGCCATAATACACAGAGGTATGTCCACAAACACGTAGACAAGGTTAATACACCAGCCATAATACACAGAGGTATGGTCCATACAGACACATAGACAAGGTTAATACACCAGCCATAATACACAGAGGTATGTCCACAAACACATAGACGAGGTTAATACACCAGCCATAATACACAGAGGTATGGTCAATAGAAACACATAGACGAGGTTAATACACCAGCCATAATACACAGAGGTATGGTCAATAGAAACACATAGACAAGGTTAATACACCAGCCATAATACACAGAGTTATGGTCCATACAAACACATAGACGAGGTTAATACACCAGCCATAATACACAGAGGTATGGTCAATACAAACACATAGACAAGGTTAATACACCAGCCATAATACACAGAAGTATGGTCAATACAAACACATAGATAAGGTTAATACACCAGCCATAATACACAGAGGTATGGTCCATACAAACACATTGACAAGGTTAATACACCAGCCATAATACACAGAGTTATGGTCCACACAAACACAGACAAGGTTAATACACCAGCCATAATACACAGAGGTATGGTCCATACAGACACATAGACAAGGTTAATACACCAGCCATAATACACGGAGGTATGGTCAATACAAACACACAGACAAGGTTAATACACCAGCCATAATACATGTAATATACAGAGTGATGGTCAAAGTAATATATTTCAAACTTGTATACCAATCCTTGGGCAGAAATATTATAACACACAGAGGTATGGTCAAACATATTACATCAGCATTATAAGTTGATCAAAGTAAATACCTAAGTCTAAACACACTGGGGTGTTTTCAAACTTAACACCATTAAGAAAAATTTAGATGTACAGTTAAATATATGTTGTCAATACTTCTGCCATAGTGCTCTCAGATTGGACTGTGCTGTGTCAGATGTGTAGTTACGATCACTGAAGTACATGTACTTAATTACTGAAATGATGAAGCTAATGTGCACTGTGCAGAGAAGTATGGAATTGCTCATGATTGTCCTAGGAAGAGAATTTCTTGACAAAGAAAAAAAATACCAAAATTGAGAAATCAATACATTCCAGATTTAATGATTTCCAATCAGGCATATCTATAAGCTGTGTTTTCTGATAACTTAGTTGCTTATGAACATGATGAAGCTAGTTTTAGTTAACTTAGTTATCTGTCACTGACATACAGTTATAAATCTGTATAGAGAATTTGTCATAGATAATTGTGTGTTAATTATTTAACCCAGCTAGTATTAAGGGACGGTAATTAGTTTTACAACTTGGCCACCAGACCTAGCCTGTTCTTTATTGAAAATGCATCAAGTGCAATACATTACTTTCCCGATAATCACTTATTGTCAAAACTTGTGTTAAGGCCCAATCATTGTTTGAAAGTCATAGAAAATTATGGTCAAGTTTTCTATGATCAGCACATTCTTGAATGCGGTCCAACATTCTGTTAACAAAAGATCAAGAGAATTTGTTGCACTTTGCCATTTAAAACCTGGGGATTGGCCATTAACTCATTTCATGTAACGGTTTTGTATTGACGGACTGTACACACTGTGACACTCGTGGGACATCTTTGTCAGTTTTACAGGTAGAGCCACCTTAAGTACGTCCTCATGCGATTTCTGTCCAGACTTGTTCACACAATGTTCTGTAACAGACCCTCCATAATAATAACACCTAGTGTTCTCCAGCAGATTAAGGGGAATGTAATATGTAGTGGACTGTTTTCTTTGTTAGCATTCAGAGAATGGGGTGTTTCTTAATATCATACGAAAAGTAAGCTGTTCGTAAGAAACAGCAGCATGTTATGCTGGACTTACAGTCAGGAAACAATTGAAATTAAATGGCTTCTTACGAGGGATTTAGAGAACTGATCCGAAAAAAATCCACGATTTATGTCAACAATGTAGGTCATACTTAAAGGCATGCATTGATTACAAGTAACAAAATAACAAAGAAAAACAAAGCATGGGTGATAAAGAGGGAGAGAAATTAATCGATATTAACATTTAATATTATATAATCAAAGAAATATGATACAAAAATTCAGAAATATCCATATTACGTAACATGAATATACTTGCAAATTAGTGACTGAATTTTGTCTCTCAGATGGAGTATTTCCGACTATAAAATCAAATGCTTAAAATCACATTTTTTGAAATATTATGTTTTCATTAAATGATTTAATCATAATACTACCCACTTCCTGAAGGTGAAAAATGATGAATAAATGTTCTGAAAAAATATGAAAAGACGAAAACAATTAAGTATATATTGATCTGATGTTCCTATAATTTTAATTTTGATTATAATCTAATTACCATGATAGAGAAAGTCTAGTTTCTAGTTTGATCATGTTCTTACTTTTTATAAGAATTATTTCTGTAAATTTAATATATATATATATATATATATATATATATATATATATATATATATATATATATATATATATATATATATATATATATATATATAGATATAAATATATATTAGGATCATTTCTATAAATTTCATCTATGTTTACAGACGGACTTGCAGCGAGCCATTGAAAATGAAGAAAAACTTAAACTGGCTCAGACGGCTGAGATGCAGGAGGTGGAAAACTACGTCGAACACATCCGACATCTGTCAGACGAGCGAGAGGCACTCATTCAAGAACTCGAGACTGAGAATGATCAGCTCAAACAGGAAATAGACTCGCTCAAACAGGACCAGAATGGTGAGTTTTCTAAGTCAGGTGGAAACTTAATTGCAGTTTAGAGTAAACCCCCTTTAGAGTTGTGTCGGAATGAATTAAGAGGTGACGGAACACTTTTATACAGTCCAGACTGTCTCAGTTAAATGAAAATAAAAAGTGTATATACTAATAAGAAATAAATGGCAGGCTTTAACTGAGGGTAAGACAAACACATAGGGTAACCTATCCCCTGACATGTTGTATTTGACCATCTTTCTATGAAGTCGAACATAAAAAAAAAATCAATCTTGAACATATTATACTGCACTCTTGACTGGCCATGGATAAGACTGTGTAATGTTGAAGTGGTTCTACACATGCATTTAAATTTGCTGAGAGTTGCTACAATCGGATAACAGCAGAGAAACACGATTCATGCTGTCTGGCAAACCCATATCTAGTACATGTATCAACATATCAAATAATCAGAGCCAATTAATGCTTATTAATTGTCATAATTAACAACCTCACAGTCAAATGTCAGGTCTTCAGTGGAGTAGCTTTTCAGTTAAAATGATTATTAAGTATAATTATAGATCTGATTTTTTTCCCCTTGAAAAGAATAAAATTCTGTGCTAGTTAAAGTTCTTCATGGCATATTTAAACTAAAAAGAAAAAAGTCGATAGAAGTTGTATTTCTTTCACATTACTTTGCAAGGTGATTCATTACCAAAACTTAAATTATATGGTGTGAATAACCAATAATCAGGGTACAATAAACTACAAAACACTCATTTATATAGTAATTATATATCATGATACAGACAGTGTATTTCACAGCTAAATAGAGGCAGTTTCCCCTGGGAAAAATTCCATTGGGGTCTTCTTTTTCCAAAAGATCTGTATTTTCCAAATTGTTTTTAAGATTTCAAAATACTGTATGGATAAAAATATGGACAGATGTATAATGAAGTCGTAAAAAAAAGATATTAATGTCATCATCTGTTTATCAATAAGGTTAAATTCTGATTTTACAATTATATCTTTCCATCCCAAATATATCCATTTTCAGAAATGGTCATCAGCATATATGTTTCAGTATTCATACATCATGTACATGTACCGGTATACAGGAATGAATTATGTCTGTAATAATATGTATAGGATACATAAGCATGATTGTGATTGATTGATTAATTATATATGCTGTTTAAAATTTCAGTTCAGAATTTTTCAACTCATATCAAGAGACATCAACTACATTAAAATTTGACCTTTCTATGCATGGCGGTTACTGCCATAGCAGTGAAGGTTCTTTAGCATGTCAATGCCTACCATGACGTTAGTATTTAAGGTCTTATCATCTGAAAATGATGGGTGCTTGGCAAAGAAACAGTCACTACCTATGTTAAACATCTTCATGATCTTAGGTTTGGTGTGGTGCTGGGAACAAGAATCAAACCCAGACCACTTGTGAGAACCCATGGACTGCCTACAAAACATTAAGAGAAATTTGTTTTTTTTTTTTATTCTTGCTAGTATCCTCTTGTAACTGAGGTGGAGTATTCATGTATGCAACTTATCAAAATAAATATATTAAAAGCTAGAATTTTGGACTGAGATTTGGGCACAGGTGAAAAATGGTTCATATACAGTGATAACCACATAGTCAGAGCTTTCATTTCAGTGTAATGCAGTATGTCACCTTTTGCTAAAATATCGCAATGAAGAACTTTCCTAAACAGATTACTGAGAAGCCTTCTATTGTTAAAGTATATATATCTAGTTAGGACATTTAATGAATGATTACTGATCTGATTGATGTAAATCTTCTGTGATCTGTCTACACATCCCTTGGACTCTTGGCTCCCATTGTCTTAATCCCTGAATTTCTGCCAAACCCAGCCCAGCTAGAAATCGTCCCCTTAAAATTGATTAATCATCTCCTGGTCTACTTGCTACAGAATTTGGGCAGTTCTGGTTTAATTGATTGAAAATATTGTTTAATGGAAGAAAAACGGCTTAACCGGTGTTCTGAAACCATTGAAAAGAGACGTCTTGGTTATTAAGTGTTAAGATTGCTGGAGGAATGGACCCAACTGCAGTTATTATCCATTGTAGTTGAAGGACATATATGTGATTGAAACTTTACAATATCCAGGGTGTTCCTGATAAATTCAGTATGGATTGATTTAGCTCAGTGTCCTTGTGATCTGGAAGGTTTCTAAATGTGATTTCTATCAAAATGGGGGCTTACTTTTGTAAGATAAATCAACACAAATGCTATATCTCCCACTTAGAATGGATTCTCGAGGACCAGTCTTGACTCTAGACTTTAGTAATGATAATTGTTCAGGGTTAATGGGAAATTTCTACTGAAAGTAGTTCCTTTGGAGGACTGACAATGGCTACAGAAGAATTAAAGAGCTGGCAATTTACTGAAAATATTGGGCCAGGTATTGAGAGTGTGCACTTGTAAGCTCTAGAACCCGAGGAATGTTATATAGAGCTCTGTAAAGGGTGTCAGGGTGCTTCTGACTATAGATCTCTCCATGACTCTTCTGTACAATATTTATGATACACCTGTTTGTCCACAAATTACTGATAACCTATTGAACTTTAAATTGCCAGGTGTAAAACTGATATCCTTTGTCATGTTTAACTCAAGTATTGCTTTCATCTGCACAATTCTTGTAAGCTAAGGGAGACAAATGCAGGTTTAGCTACCATTACACCGTTATACAAGAAACACTGACACAAATGTCAAACCCCATTGTCTGCAAAATGTATGTAAGCATTCAGGAATGTGTAGAAAACTATGCCAATTTTTAACAAATCATGCCATAAATTTTTGCCAGACCAACACAAATTCATTTTTAAAATGATAATTCATCTTCATGATTTTAAAAACTGAAGTTGGTGAAAACATGTCTATGCCATTTGTAAAAAGTGCAACACCGAATAGATGCAGGGATCTTTAAAACTTTTATATAAATAATGCAATGGGACATCCTCCTGGTCGTCCTTAACAATATTCCATTTTAACTGCAGGACATGCTTTTCTTTAATTCATTGATTTTAAAAACATCCATGTAGCTTAGAATATTTGATGGAATTTGAAATAAAGAGCTTATATATTGGTTACTTTTAGCTGCAGCACTGAGGGATGAAACTGCTGAGATGCTCATACAGCAGGGCCTAGAGGAGATTGCCAGTGTCTCCACCAGTGAGCAGATCGCATTTCTGCTCGTCGAGCGAGCTCGGCTTCTGGATGAACTGGAGGCTGAGCAAAATAGGACAATGACCCCATCTGTGACCCCTGCCCTGACTGATACAACCTGTCCCCAGACCCCAGGACTGAGTACCCCAGGGATAAACACGCCTGGACCATCAGAAGATGGGAGGATGTCAGCTGTTGAGTTTGAGCAGACGCTGGAGCGAGAGCGAACTCAATTTGAGGAGGAACTCAGTCATTCACGTGAGAGTATAAAAAACCTGAAGGAGAGGCTAAAGAGGGAACATGAGGAGGAAATCAATGCACTGATGGAGGAAAACAATAAACTCGAGGATGATTATGAGGAGGCAAAAGCCAAGGTAAGGGGCCATATCAAAATAAAGTAGGGAAGGTTCTTTGAGAAAAGGGACCATATCAAAATAAAGTAAGGAGGGTTCTTTGAAAAAAAGGGGCCATATCAAAATAAAGTAAGGAATCGGTTCTTTGAGAAAAGGGGACATATCAAAATAAAGAAGAGAGGTTTCCTTAAGGTTAAGGTGTATAATAGAAATGGATACCTTCCAAAAATGGAAGGTTAGAAATGTTTACAGAACAAGAGATATCAGCTGATCCTAGTATGAAGGAATCAAGACTGTCATAAAAAAATAATACACTGTATGTATGAGATTTAAACGAAATCTGATAAATTTTATTCTTCTAGTTAAACAAACTTGAGACTGAGCATGAAAAGCAGGTAAGCTTAAGGAACAATCTATAACAGTTGTACAGAGTTATTGGTTAATTTAGGATCTTGCATGTTAGTACCAATTAAGTAAAACAATTGTAGAGCCATCTTTACATGTGCACCAGTTAATGGGGGTTTATATAGGTATAAAACAGATCTCATGTAAAACTTATTTAACACTGACTTACAAAGGCTATCCTTTTTTTTTTTTGATTTTATACTCTCTTAATTTCTAAAATACTTTCATGTATTTTTAATAAATTTGCACAGAGAACATGGTGTTTGTAGCACAGTTCTAATTAGGAAAATTCAATTAAGCAGTTTGCACTAGATATTGATGGATGAAGGAATTATCAATCAAGAGTAGAAACTGTTTTATTCATATTTTGAGGGTCAATTTTTTGATGTTAGGTTTTGGTAATTTTTGGAGGATTTTGAGATCTGAATGAGGTATAAACTTCTCTCTTCATGAAAATGTGATGTATTATTCTTTTTTGTTTTCAATTTTTATCATTATTAATAATGTTGACAGGTGATATTTTGATTTTTCAGAGACATTAATGACAACTTTTTTGTGAACACCATTTCTGCTTAAGTTGATGAAATTTTACACTTTCCATATTGTTCTCTATCATTTAAGTCAATTAGAAAATTGGATTTCATTTCAAATGACATTGAATTCTCATGCACTCTTTTTGGAGTGTATGCAGGTGTTTTGTAATTGACAAGGTTAGAACACATACAGTAGTTTTGAATTCTGTGAAATATTTTAATTTCCACACTGTGTACATACCATTTTCACTTATCTTTGTATTGAACAAGGTATCAAGCTGCGATTGTATGAGAAGGGTGACTGTCAAATGGTCACTGAAATACCTGTCTTCTCGGGTAACAAAATTACCTCTTTGGAATTTTTACACGACCCCTTATATATATCACACCCCCACTCAAGTAAATAAATTAGGCATATCAATAATACACTGGCAAATTCTTAATATTCTTTTTCAAGAGTGTTTTATCATTTTTTTTTAAATTTGTGCATCAATAATTTAAACCACATGTCAATGATTAAAGGCCAAATTTCATTTTAATAAAAAAAGCAGAGCATATCTAACATATATATACACTAGACATGCTAGAGTGCCAGGAATGATTTAAATTGCTGATCTGAATTTTTCTATGGATAAGGATCAGCGTATATGTGTATATCAATATTTACGTATTAATAATCTCAGCTCAGAAATTTTATCTAGTTGTTATTTTGTGTGTCAACAATGCATGCTCGCTGTGGATCAGTGCTTGATTTTAACAACTGCCGTCTGTAGGATTTATCCATGTCATTAAAGAGCAGTCAGTCCCCAGCAAATATTTAGACAACTCCTGGGCTGGAACAGCCCGGGTACCGGATCCCTTGGCTTAAGGTACTGTACAAACTCAGGCAGAAGCTCAGTTTACTTTACTTACTTGAGTCAATAGTTGATGAGTGCCCTGTTACTAAACTGATCAAATGTTCTAGTCTTTTGAATCATTTGAAGTGGTTGTGATGTAACGATAACTTTGTTCACTGGACTGTGTCAGGATTTGGTTAGAGGATACTGGAAAATTTGTTGTAAAGGGATAAAGTTTGATCTAGTTATATGAATGGTTGGACATAGATCTTCTGTCAAATTGCTGTGTCTCTCGGCAGTGTCTGTGGTCGGGGGGTATTACTATAGGGAATCCCATGTCAAGAATTCACATGATGTAGATCAAATGATAAGTGTATGAATTATGGATATGCTGGATCTAGGGGTGGAATGTATGGTGGGAATAAAGTGATTTAGATCTGTGGAGTGCTGCCTAAAGGACCCTGTAAAAGTGGGTACTGAGTCATTTGTTACAATTACAAGCATGGACCAGACTAATACAGAAGGAACTAAGTCAAGTAAAAATGTTATAGGCAGGGATCAGAGTAATGCAGAAGGAACTAAGTCAGGTGTAACCGTTACAGGCAGGGATCAGAGTAATACAGAAGGAACTAAATCAAGTGTAACTGTTATAGGCAGGGACCAGACTAATACAGAAGGAACTAAGTCAAGTGTAACTGTTACAGGCAGGGATCAGAGTAATGCAGAAGGAAATAAGTCAAGCGTGACTGTTACAGGCAGGGATCAGAGTAATGGAGAAGGAACTAAGCCATGTGTAACTGTTACAGGCAGGGATCAGAGTAATACAGAAGGAACTAAGTCATGTATAACCATTACAGGCAGGGACCAGAGTAATGCAGAAGGAACTAAGTCAAGTGTAACTGTTACAGGCAGGGATCTGAGTAGAAGGACCTTTCCCTACAGATATAAAATTAAGGTACACAACATCTTTCCAACAGGTGTTTTATGGATATTGCACCTGTTTCTTACCTTTAGTGTTGGCATAAAATCTACCATGTGTCAAGGATGGCATCATTAGATTTTGGAGACTATCTGGATCATTTTTATTTGAGAAATTAATGTCTATTGTTAGCCTAAGGATGTTATCTATAAATTTACACTTACTTCTAGTAGATATATAGGAGAGTAGGTGACAATATTTTAAGAGTGTCTTTTGTCTGGTTAAGGTTTGAGCACTCCAGATGTTACCGATAATCATGGTACTAGATGCTTTTGGAGGTAACTGTAGCACTTTAAGGTATTACTGATAATTTTGGTTGATATGGAGGCCTGGAACATCCTAGGTATGGCTGATAATCATGGTTGATATTCATAGAGGGTTGTACCATAAGGAGTTCATTTCCTGTTACAGTTGTGACAGTTGTTTGTTGTAGCTATATCTTCCACACCCACTGTTACAGAAGTTTGTCGTAGATTTCTCAGATAATTCACTGCTGCAGATGATTGCAGCTAGCTTTCAATTCACTGCTGTCTGTGTCAATGACACCTCAGCATTTTACTTCTACTAGGACCATTTAGATTTTTTTTTGGCCATATACATGAATGAAAGTGTTAAGATGGGTGGAATTGTATGATTTTTTGTCATTTGAAATGAATTCTAGGAAGGGAAAGGGGGTGAGATGAATGGTTTGGTTTTTATAATTTAATTATCATGGTCAAGACAATAATATGTAATTTCAAACCATTGGATTCTTTGCACTTGTATTTCATTTTTAACAGATGGAGGAACTAGAAAAGGAAGTGAAAAAATTGCGGGAAGATCTCCAGACATTACAGAAAGAAAAAGAGCAGAAAGAAAAGTCAGACTCTGGTAAGTTATAGACAGTAGTCAGAGACACTCTCACTCAGGTAAGTCAAAGAAAAGTCAGACTAATGTAAGTTATAGACAAGTAGTCAGAGACACTCTCACTCAGGTAAGTCAAAGAAAAGTCAGACTAATATAAGTTATAGACAAGTAGTCAGAGACACTCTCACTCAGGTAAGTCAAAGAAAAGTCAGACTAATGTAAGTTATAGACAGTAGTCAGAGACACTCTCACTCAGGTAAGTCAAAGAAAAGTCAGACTAATGTAAGTCATAGACAAGTAGTCAGAGACACTCTCACTCAGGTAAGTCAAAGAAAAGTCAGACTCTGGTAAGTCATAGACAAGTAGTTTAAAGATAAGTCAGACTTGGATAAGTCATAAACAAGTAGTCAAGGAAAGTTAGACTGTATTTAGTCTTAGACAAGTAGTCAAAGATACTCTGACTCAGGTAAATCATAGATGAGAAAAACAGACAAGTCAGACTTGGGTGAGTCAAAGACAAGTCAGACTGGCAAGTCAAAGACAAGTCAGACTAATGTAAGTCAATGACAAGTCAGACTGGAAAGTCAAAGACAAGTCAGACTGGAAAGTCAAAGACAAGTCAGAATGGAAAGTCAAGTCAGACTAATTTAAGTTATTGACAAGTCAGACTAGAAAGTCAAAGATAAGTAGGACTGAAAAGTCAAAGACAAGTCAGACTTAAGTGCACTGTATTGTTAGATAACAAAATAAAGAAAGATATCTAGTTGCTAAATTATGAAAAAATGATTTTTAATCCTACTGTTCATTGCCTAAACAGCGTAAATATAATTTTAAAAAGGTTGTCAGAACTGCATATATATCAGCTGACATCTTGTATGGGAGAGGTATGTAATGTTATCTGATTAAGATAGTTACTTATACTTCAACAGTTGATAAGAATTCTGAGGAAGATTCCCCTAATCCTCTAATACAAGCTTATTGTGTCACCATTCACTCAGTGCTTCACTCTTCTACTACTATTATAAAGAAAATATGTCAGAATTTTAAACGCTTAAAAACCTCTTCTTTTATGCTATTGTGTAGATATCAAATTACCACTTGCAAACTGAAATCAATAACTGGCAGATTAAATATACCATCCTTAAATATCCCCCAGACCTTATATAGGGAAAGAGTGAAGGGGAGGGAAATGAACTGAATTTACCCTCTGTAATTCAGATGTGTCAGTTCTTATTCTGTTGTACATCTGAGTAACCATTTGTTGAAGATTGCATATTAAGTTGTAAATAGATTAATAAAATACAGGACAAAATTGAACATTCTATGATTAGTCAAAGGTCAGGATTTGCCTTCTCATGTGACTTTCAAGTTGATGACATGGATAAAGTCAATTTAAGAATTTTTTCTGAGATAAAAAAAATTGCATGGTCATTAAATAATGTTGACAGTTTAAAGTACAGTGATTTATTTAGTTTCTTAAATAAAGACACTTAAAAAGTATGACAAACACAAAATGATTGCAGATCTTTGGTCAAATTTGTCTATTTATTGACTCACTTCCAAACCGTAGTAAAGCTTCACAAAATTAACAGTTCCCCATTTGAAAACCAGGTTTTTGGTCTTTTAATTGACACATTGGTTTTTACTATTATGTGTTATGTCAACATTCCAGTCTTATTAAGACTTGTTCTTTGACAATTTTCTTAGAGCTTAAACCTCTGTTTTTAATCTTTGTGATCTTTATGAAGTGTTTTACAATATTGAACTTGTCATTCCATCCATTCAAGTGTTTAATCACTGCTTCATATATATGTATTTTTAACTTCTAAGTGTCATTTAGAAACAGAATCTACCTGTTAAATCTAGTGGCAGAATTAAATTGCTTTTGAAGCACAACTGAGCCCCAATTAAGCCACTGATCCCCAAGTCAATATTGACTGTACATATCACCTCTCTATATGGATGGAGCTACTGACCGTGTAGACATGTCGGGGTCACTCACGTCACAGGGACCGTAAATCTGGATGTTTGGATGGGAGATTACTCTCAGTTATTTCCTAAAGCTATCCCGTTCAGACAGTGACCCTGTGTTCACTGACATGGACTGAATCAGGAAAAAGTTAATACTAGGGATAGCATTGTTGAATTAAAGGCTTTTAATATTTTATCTTGTAAGTTAAAAAAACATTTCAGTAAATAATTTATGACATATCAAATTAAAAGATGTTAATAAATATTCGACATTTCTTCCAAGGGCAGGTCAAGGTCACTTGATGAATGTTTTCTCAGACTATTACCTATGTGGACTCATATGAATTGCAGTTTATTAGATTTTAAAATTTGGAGTAAGTGTTTACACTCTAACCACATTTATGACTGCCAGTTCATTATATAACTTTAGTTTATGTCCCTTTGCCTTTAATTTTTACCATGAATTGGTCCATGTAATTAAACAGGTGTATGTTCTGTGAATATAATGAGCAGTAATCATGCTCAAAAGTCCATTAAAACAATACAAATTATGAGCAAAGGAAACATGGCCCTTGAGAGATGGGATCAGGTGCCTTAAAGGAGTAAGCATCCCCTGTCTACTGGTCACACCCACCATATGCCCTTTGTTTTGTTTATATTATGTAGCATCCTTCATCTTAAAAAAAAAAGTTTGACAAACAAAAGGATGCAAAAGATTTTCCCATCTCTAAGTAACCATGATATCTGATTGTCAGTTTGTATTCTCTTTTTACCTGCCACTGAGTGTGATAACTTGTCTGTCAGTTATTAATGTTTTACTGATTTCTGACTGTAAGTTTAAATTTCATACCTTGACCTTGATTTACCTGTTGACAGATTCCCGGTCCTCTACCCCTGCCAATGTCTTCAGCGGCCGTCCTCCTAGCCCAGCCCGGTCACCAAATGACATTGCCATCCGTAACATCATCCAAGAAAAGACCAAGATAGAAAGTGAGCTTGTACAGATCAAATCTCAGAGCCGGACAGTACAGAATGAGAATACAGAACTCAAAACCAAGGTACACAGCACATACACAGAACAGAATGAGAATATATATAGAACTCAAAACTAAGGTACACAGCACATAGACAGCACAGAATGGGAATACAGAACTCAACACTAAGGTACACAGCACATAGAGAATATAGAACTCAAAATTAAGGTACACAGCACATAGACAGCACAGAATGAGAATATAGAACTCAAAACTAAGGTATGTAACACATAGAAGCTCAGAATGAGAATATAGAACTCAAAACTAAGGTATGTAACACATAGACAGCACAGAATGACAATACAGAACTCAAAACTAAGGTACGCAGCACATACACAGAACAGAAAGAGAATACAGAACTCAAAGGGACACAGCACATAAACAGAACAGAATTAGAATACAGAACAGAATTAGAATACAGAACTCAAAACTAAGGTACGCAGCACATTAACTCTGTGTGAGGCTAGGCAAAACTAATTTGAATTAAGTTTTGACGCATGTGTAATAGCAAAATTAAGCCACATGCAAATGTCGGTAGTCAGATATAAGTACCCATACTATTTTTGAGTGAAATTCAAAGGAAAATTAAGTTTATTACTAAAAATGTGTACAGATGCTATGACATTACGTCAAATGTATATCTGCTCTGCATAAGGTTACATAATTTGCAAATGACATCATAATAGCCTTGCTGTACAAATGAAATTTTAATGCATATTTGATTTGTATTAGTTTAATTTTCATTATTGCACATTGCATTAATTTTCTACGAATTAAATATTTAGTGCACATTTGTGTGAACAGTGCATTATTTTCATTAAAATAATTTTTGAAATCCAGCACATATACTTGATATGAAATGACTTTTAATGCAGGAGGAAAATGATTTGACATCCAGTTCCATGACAGATGTAATTCACTTCTTTTACAAATTTGATCATTATTTCTTGTTAAGAATTTAACATTTTTGATTTTGATAACTATATTTATGTCTGCCATAATTCTTTTGAAGAGTTAAATTTATCATTTACATCTTGTTTAGGAATTTTTGTTGATTTTATAAATTTCAGATTCCGTTTTATACATGTAATTGTTTTAATTTGCTACATTATTCATGCTTCATTGTACTTTTATTTATTTTTTAAAAAAATTGTTAAACTGGATAAAGTAAAGATAATGTATTTCTATTCATTTGGAAATACCTACCATTTGGATAAGTGTTCACAACATGCTTGCCACTGTAATGGACATTAAGTTACCTCTCTTTTATTTATGTGACTTTAAAAGAAAAGGTGGGGTATGCCAGTACATTTTTTTAATTTTGTTGCATATAATTCTAGGTGACCTCACTCACAGAAGAGGTACAGGAGCTACAGATTTCTGTTCAGCAGTTACAGATGAAGAACAAAAGTCTGAGATCAGAACTGGAGGAGGCCGAGAACCAGTTAGAGGAGGCTGAGGTAAAGATTAACAGTATGAGTGACATGTAAGAACAGGGCTCGAGCTGTGATTCGCCATTTGCGCCAATTGCGAATTTTTTCCAAAAGTGGCGAAAAGAAATTCAAAAGTGGCGAAAATGAACTTTTTTTTTAGATATACCATACAAAAGTGTGCGTACTCCTGGCTATCTCCTTTGTTTATTCAATGTATACATATTAGCCCCTTTGTTTATTTAAAGCAAGCAGACGTGTGAATTCAGGGTGTGAAAACTCCATGAAACTAACAAAGCAATGTACATGTAGGAAATCACGTCTCGCTTGAACGCACACAGCTGATATAGTAGGTAACTTTAGCCTGGAGCAGTAAGGGGATACAAAATTACTTGAAATAATATAAGATGGATTAAACAAGGAAAGACGAAGTGTTTTTGGGAGATGAAGTTAGTTAATAAAAGATTTTAATCAATAAAATCTGGATCTATATAGATTGTTTTTTTTTAAACCGAAAGTAGGAAAAAATGACGAAAATTGCAGAGCATGGCTGCTAATTTTACCTGATTAAAGTTAAAATAGTGTGTTCATTATACCATAATCTGACAAAGAGTGAAAGAGATACTGGCTTGGAAACAAAACAATACTTTTGTCAATTACGCTGAATTATTTTCAGTTATATGAATTTACATGCATATACACCCAGTGTCCAAGTTGTTAAATTAAGCCAAGTTTTAAACCTGATTTTAATTACTTCTTTTCACAATAAATTATTGATATGATTAAAATTTTCGCCTATTATATCATTTTTTCATTTTTAAAAAAAATGTCATATATCTTTACTAAGTCTGTAACCCCCCTCCCCAGGCTAAAAAGTTATGAACAAGAGGACATCTACTGTCAAGAGTTGGCTAATATCAGTATCAAATTAATTGTATAAATGTAGAAATAATTCCTATATCAGTTTTGTAAGTGGACACAACTTTAAAATAATGCCTGTGATATAAACAAATTGAAATAGTGCTATTAGTGGAGTGTGTAACACTGTACACATGTCGAGACGAGATGTAAAAATGTGATTCCTTTCATCGCGAAAAGTGGCGAAAAATATTTTTGCTCCAGTGGGAGCTCTGTGTAAGAATGGTAGAAAACCAGTCCAAGAAGACTGAGGTTGCAGATGTCATAACAGTATTTCACTTGAGGTTCACGTCAAATCATGGCTGACGCAAAATAATTCCTGAATCTTCCCTTCCGATTCGGGCATTTTAACACGAGACTGGAGCTGAATTTTTTTATGAGATGAAAAACAATATGTAAACTTCCTATATTGACTAGATTCATTAAAATTTAGGGCGTGCTGAATTTTCTATATACTGTATTTGAGTGGGGAGTGATTAGGTCCTGGACTTGATTTTCAAGCACCTGCTCGACTTCGAGCGAGACAAACTTGCGTGCCTTGCTGGATGGCTATGTATTTTTTGGTACTAAAATCTTTATAAAGAATTGTTTTACAAGATCTGAAAAGGAAACTTCTCAAAAGTTTGATTTCAATTCATACCACCTACTCAAAGTTGCACATTTTTTTTAAGAATATATAGCAAAATTTAATACTGTTGTGCAACCTAAAGAGATGTGAAAGAGAGAACTGTTAAAAATGGCTGTGAACCAGTCAAAGGAGGCTAAGATAGAGATGTGAGAGGGAGACCCGTAAGAATGACTGAGATCCAGTCAAAGGAGGCTGAGGTAATGAAATGTGAGAGAGAAACCCATAAGAATGACTGAGAACCAGTCAAAGGAGGCTAAGGTAATGAGATTTGAGAGAAAAACCCATAAGAATGACTGAGAACCAGTCAAAGGAGGCTGAGGTAATGAGATGTGAGAGAGAGACCCGTAAGAATGACTGAGAACCAGTCAAAGGAGGCTGAGGTAATGAGATGTGAGAGAGAAACCCATAAGAATGACTGAGAACCAGTCAAAGGAGGCTGAGGTAATGAGATGTGAGAGAGAGACCCATAAGAATGACTGAGAACCAGTCAAAGCAGGCTGAGGTAATGAGATGTGAGAGAGAGACCCGTGAGAATGACTGAGAACCAGTCAAAGGAGGCTTAGATAAAGATGTGAGAGAGAGACCTGTAAGAATGACTGAGAACCAGTCAAAGGGGGCTAAGATAAAGATGTGAAATAGAAACCCATAAGAATGACTGAGAACCAGTCAAAGGGGGCTAAGATAGAGATGTGAGAGAGAGACCCGTAAGAATGACTGAGAACCAGTCAAAGGAGTCTGAGGTAAATGAATATAGAATATATATGAGATTGTGAATGGGTTGATTTTGAAGTTGAAATTCGGTTAAGAAATTTTTAGGATGGGAGTCTAAAATCTTAGCCTTTTTTTAGTGTAAAGATCAATTTAATAGTTACCATATGTAGTATTTTGTAAAAAGAGAATAAATTTTTCACTTTTAATAAATAAAGGTCATTTTTTTTGTTGTGTGTAAGGAAAGTTTTGAAGAACTCAAAAGTTTAATCCTAAATTTATTGTAGACTGCCAGTGAAGAGGTTATGAAAGATAGGGATGAGATGAAGTTACGGCTAGGAAGTCTGGAAAAAGAGGTCAAAACTTTACGAGCTGAAGCTCAGAAAACTCACTCTTTACAGGTATATTATCAAATTAGTCAAATGTAGTATAAATCAAAGAACTAAAAGTACTGCAGGTCCAAGGTTTATTGTTTATTTGATCAGAAACTTAAAGATGTTAAAAGCAGTGATTGGGAGTAAAATTTTAAGGGGAAGGGGGGTTTATTTATTATTTACCCTATTTTAAAAATATATGTGTAAATCTATTTATCAAAATTTCAGGACTCCGTCCAAATTCTTAACCAGGAAAAGTGTGATTTAACTAATGAACTTGATACAATAAAACGTGAACTTGATGAATCACAGACTGAAAAAGAAAGATTAGCCAATCAAAAATTAGCTCTCAGTAAGGAAGAGATTCGCTTAACAGAAGAGAATCAAACTCTGAAGTCAGAGCTGGAAACGTTAAAGTGTTCACACGAAGAAATACAGGACCAGAAGAACGAGTTAAATCAGACATTAACATTACTCGATAAAACAAACTCTGAATTAGACACTCTTAGGTCAGAGAAGTTTGAGTTAACTTGTCGATCAGAAAAATTAACAAAGGAAAATAAAGACTTGTTAAATCAAGTGGAAAGTCTTCAGGGAGAATTGGAGCGGTTACAGATGGACGGACAGGAACTATCTAAACAACAGGTATGGAGGCGAATGATATTGTGTCCAGTTAAAACTGCTCCCCAGGTTAAAAATTGACTGCAAAATTTGTAGCAATAAAGCTTGATTGTTAGACCAAAAAAAAATTTATGAAAATATCACCTTATTCAAAATTAGATCAGGGAACCAACTTGTAAAAATAATTAAGCAGCTATTTTTTTTTTGTATGACTTTTACTGTGTTTATTGCTAGATCATAGTTGGTCACATGAGAGACCAGGTTCAGAAATTAACCAAAGAAGTTAGTGATTTAAAAGAAAACCTACAGGAAAAAGAAAAAGCTGAAAAGGATCTCACTAAAACCATTGTAAGTACATGTATATATCAAAACCTGACAAGTGGGAAGATGTCAGTATCTGCAAAGGAAATCAGGATGATTTGCAAATGATGCTAAGAATACTGTTAGGTCAAGTTGACATTGTTGTTATTTGTTACTTTACCTTTTCAGGAAGCACAAGAGGCAGAAATTAGTAGGTTAAAAAGTGACACAGACAATCTGAAACATGTTCATGAAAAAGAAAAAGCAGACATTCAGGAAGAACACAATAATGAAATAGAAGATCTAAAAATGAAACTCCAACTAACTTTACAAGAGTTGTCACGTTCAAAACAGATGCTGGACGATGAACGAAGTCAGTGCTCAGAGGTTGAGGTCAAAGCTCGTGACCTTGAGGTGCTCTTAGAAGAAATGCAAAAAACTAATAGTGCTTATGAGAAAAAATTAGATGAAGTGTCTCATTTAGAACAGAGAGTGAAAGATTTAGAAAAATTAGTGTCTGAAAAATGTGATATTGAGGACCAACTTGAGGATAAGAATCGTGAAATCTCAGAACTGGAACAGGAAATTGAGGAGTTTGAGAGTATTAAGTTAGAGTTGGAGGACACACATGAAAGTCTGGACAAAGAGAAAGTCATTCGTGCCAAACTAGAGGCAACGGTCCGAGATCTAGAGCAGATTCTGGATGATCAGAGGACAGATCATGAAAATATTCAACGTCAGTTCACAAATAAGGTAAGGCTCTGGAAAAGTAGAGATCAAACAGCTGTGGTAAAATTTATAGCAATGGAGAATTAGGAGTTTGGTTAGTGAATTTTATGGCATATGATTGCTTACTACTTTTTTAGTACAGTTTAATTGGTTTATTTTGATTGTCAATTATTGATCAATTTTACAAGGAGAATTTCTGATTGATACTGTAACTGTAGACTGGGAATGAGATCTCCGAGGTTCAAGGAATTTTATGAATGTGCTTTCTTTATAAACAGGATGTAGCAGTTAGAATTAAAGAGAAGGTGATAGCTCCAATATCCACTCTGTTGATTTATATTCCTTGTTAAACTTTTCTTTACTTTACTATGGGAGATTTGGTCTACAATTATGTTGCTCTAAAAGAGAAAGATAGCGTTTTTTTTTAAATATATATATATTACTTTTGTGCTTGTTAATTAGATGTACGACTTGTAACTAACATTAATGCAACTTATGTGTTAGTCTTAACACTTATTAGAAAATTAAGTTAAAAATGTTCGTACTAGTATAAAATCTTTATTTTCTAATTATTTTTCTTATGAGGTTTGGAACATTACCTTGTACACATATTGTAACAAATCCTCTGTTTATATTTTTTTTCAAAAACAATGTTGAAGCATTATTACTTTATGGCAAAACTAAAAGTCACTGAAAATTAATTAGTTCTAACTAATGGAAATCAATCAAAAATGAAATTATCTCCCTATAAGAAAAATTACTTGCATATAAAAGTGCATGATGCTTAGTAATTGATGTAATTTTTATGCTCCCCCAAAAAATTTCAATTCATATAGTCACCTTAATATTATTAACACCTGTTATTATTTACCTGAACAGGTGCAATCACTGGAAAGCCAGGTACGGGGTCTACAAGACGATCTGTTTGCAGCACAGGAGGAACTCCAGGTTACAATGGAGAAACACGAGCAGGTATAATCACTTGTTTTGTGACAAGACAACACTGCTTATCTGATGTCAGTCTTAATAGAGAAATGCATTCACAGAATACTATACTAACTGTGTATAGACAGCAGGAATCTGGGTTAAATTAAAAAAAAAAACAACAAAACAAAACAGAAACAATCACATCATTAGCATCAGAATCTCAGCAATTAAAAATCAGAATATGGAAATTTTGACATCTTAGAATTATCCTATTTCGTGAATCCAAGTTTATAGCATTGTCGATATGATATACAATAACTGTTCACTACTCTTTTTTTGTTATGGTAACCTGGTTATCTTTTTGTAAAGCACATGTTAAATACTGGAATTTGTTTGTATAGATGACCTTGTACAGACTCCTCAAAGAGGTTGGTTAAATGTCAGCAGAAGTTATTTGCCCCGGAGTATTTCAGGATTATGTGCCCTTGAGTGTTTTCTTCAAGGGAGTTAGCTCCCCTTTGTTGATTTTAGGGGCAGGGTAAATTTAGGATATATAACATAGAATGAAATGAATTGAGCCTTTCCTGTAGAGTAGGGACATTTAATGCAATACTGACTTGAAGTCATGCAGTGTGATAAATTTGATAATGAGTTTGTGTGTTAATTTGTAAGCATATTTCTTTCCTTGTGTCAAACAAAACCCTTTTAATTTTTTTTTGGCCACTTGCCTATCATAGACCCAATGTATTGCCGCCTTGATACTTACGATAATCTTCAGCAAAGTTAAATATAGTAACTGATATATATGAAGTAGGTATTGGTAAATGTGCAGTTTTTCATGTTTTTTCAAAATACATAATTCAATTGGTCTTTTTTTTTTATTTTCTAAAATATATTTTTTGGATGAATTTTGAGATACTTCTAATTAAGTTTACAGTAGATTTTGGGTGTTTGTTCTTTTCAGTACATTCTTGCTAAGATAGGGAAGGTATATTGTCTCATTTTGATGTAATGTCATCACTAACTTCCCCTACATTCAGTGATGCTATGAAGACAGAATCTTCTATATTTGTGTGAATCTTACATTTCTCATGTTATCAAAACTTCATTATGGTACTGGGTCTAACCCACGTAAACTACATCAATTATTGTTCCTTTACTGGAACAATAAGTTCACGTAAAGTGTGAATTAGTTCAGAGCACTGTAACTTCCAGGACATCCCCTATGTAAGCACCTTGCCCCTGACAACCATGGTGCTGAAATACAGACATATTTTTCTCCCTTGCTTCATTTTGTGGTCTTCACTCATTCATTTGAGTTTCTGTGTTGTTATCAAGCCCTATGATGTATGGCTAATGGTCTACGGGTGGATTTGATTGTGTGTCCGGTGTGACTAATTAATGCCATTAGATAATTTAGAAACCGCTATTCATAACCCACATCAGCCAAGTCCAACTCGATTAAAGCATGTGCATGTTAGAATACATAAATTGTTTTGATTTCTTTGTAATCTAAAGATCAATGACATTTTAAGCTGTGGACTAGCACACATTGTTATATAGGAATAAACATGAAGGCCTGTTGACATTTTACAGATTGAAAGTTTAAATGTTTTAAATCTTTTCTTCCCTGTATTTTCTGATAAGGAACTTGAGGAAGCTAGGGCAGCACATATTGAAATTCAGGAGCGGATTGAAGCAGAGAAACAGAAGCATGTTTTACAATCTAGTCCAGAAGTTCAGGGGGCTGACCAGAGAATAGAGGCCCAAAAAATTGAGGTAGGTTCTCTTTTTGCAGTGATTAGCATGTGTAGATTTGTATGAAATACTACTTTAATAAATTACAAAATTTAAATAAAAACTAATCATGTTTGAAGCACATTTAATACACTTATTTTTAAGGGGGGAGGGGAGGGTTATTGCAGGATTATACGATGGATTCTTGGAAAGCATTTTGTTTTTACAGAATCTAGAAAAGCAGATAGAAACCATGAAGACTCGTTTGACTGAGACTCAAGTTCAACTTGACAAGGTCACACAGGAAAAGTTTACCTCAGAGAAAGAAATCAAGATCCTCCGAGACTCGCTAAAGCAGAAAGAAGGAGACATGAAGGAGTTGGAGGCATTGAGGCTTGAGCTCAGTCAAGCACGACGGGAGGTGGAACATTTACAACTGTCCACAAAATATGACAGTGAGGAGCGCCAGAAACACGTGGACAGAATCCGGTCCCTAGAAGAGCTGTCCAAACAACTAGAACTGGACAACAGGGAGCTGGCCACCAAGGTGAGTACTGGAGGGGAGGGGGGGGGGGGGTAAAGAGAAAATAAATCAAATATTTAATGCTAAAGTCAAATTAAAACTGAGGAAAAGAAAAAAAATCACTCATCACAAATGTTTTACAGAAACAGGTATTGAATTGAAGTAAAAAAAATATTAAGGTTAGGGTTAAAAGTTTCATGTTTTAAAGTCTTGATCTGGCATTTGGGAAAAAATTGTCTACCACTACAACAGCAACTTGATGAAAGTATACAATTGAGTTTTGATGGTATATGTGTGATTTGATAAACGAGAACTGTAATGTGATTTACAGCTTCAGGAGTCATTACAACAAATCACCCACATGGAGGACCAGTTAAAACGGGAGAGACAGAGAAACACCGACAATCAGTACATGAACCACCGTCATGTAGGTCAGATAGAGGCTGACCTTGACGAAGCAACCAAACAGGTCAGACAACTCAAGGACGACCTACAGAAAAAACAGACCTACATCATGAAGTTGGAGGCTGACACCATAGGAAATGCTGTATGTATTCCTAAACCAGTAATTATAAAGATTAGTAATTTCCTATAGTTATGTTTGCTGTTAATTTTGTATTTCACCTCTGTTGTTTGGAAATTGTATTAGACTTGAGTACTGTGAAAGGGGAACTGTTGAGTAGGATTGCAATATTAATGAAAGATAGGCCTTAAGCTAAACTCATTTATACATCTCATGTACTTTTTATAGGCTAAATATGACAGTACAATATCCCGGCTTGAGTCAGAGCTGAGCGAGACAAAACAGTTCCATAAGAAGGAAATGGAAGCAGTGACGGAACGTCTTGAGACAATGAGCAAAGACAACAAGGAGTTAAGGAACCAACTCAGGGGGCGAGAACAGGTATAAACTATTGTAATTCAGTATTAACCAACTCAGGGGGCAAGAACAGGTACCCGGTATAAACTATTGTAATTCAGTATAGATCTTTTATTTATTTGACATAGTGGCATTATGCTTTACAGAAATATGGAAAGTTAAATGTGCTAGTGTCCTAGCAAATTGGGGGGGGGGGGGGGGGGGGCATCAAAAGGCATTGGTCTTACTATTTGATTTTTGAAGCAGATAGTCTCTAAATAATTGCAGTAACTGCTATACTGTTATATATTTTATTAGATTATCTTTTTTTATATAAAAAATTAGAGTAATTCTGGTGTTTCTTTTACAGGAGTATCAAAGTTCCTCTCAGGATTTAAATCGTTACAAAGGGACAGCAGATCGTCTGGAATCCCAAATCCAGACGGAAATCAAAATCCGGACAGACCTGGAGAACAGGAACACAGCTCTGGATAAAGAAATCTCAAAAGTAGGTCAATTTGGAGGTCACCTCTAATCTGTCGAGTTCTATACTGCTAGTTATTTTGTTATAATCCAGAAATGTATCCAGTACACTGTAATACATTATATTTAACACTCAGCATGATTAGAGGTGCAGTAATATCAGTCAAAATATATTATCTGTAGTTATCCAGAATTAAATTCTCTTAAAAATTTGGAACCAATATTAAAATTATTTTTATGAAATAAATGTCTGTTTAGAAGAGTAGAAATAACTGGTGTATATTGTACTGCAAATATATTACTTCTTACTATCCTTTCCTGACTTAGGCTAGAGCAGAGCGTAATGTAAGAACTTTGACACATGTAATGGGTTATTTTTTTTATTTGATGGGTGGAGAACTGTAATATTTTTTAAGAGAGATTTAAGGTAAAAGTGTAAGACTGGGAACTTTGGTTAATGCATAATATACCGGTATAGTTATTGGGAATAGAATTTTAGTTTCAAGATTTTATTAATTCCTTTTTTTTATAGACTTCAGATAGAAGCATTTAAATCATATTCATTTCCTTACAAAAATTGGGAGACTGTACTGTAGAATTATTAGACTTTTTTTTTTTTATTATAGTCATGCCAGTTATCATTGTCATTATCATCTTCATTCTCATCACTGTTTTCTTAACCTTGTATCTTTGCACATGTAAAGCATTCTGTATTTTTGCATTTTCACATGAAGGAGGAATTTCCTAACTTAAGAGTAAGTCTGTTCTCTGAATCTGCTTCATTAATTAATCATTCTGTTAATTAGTTCTGTCTCCTGGTATGAACCAGAAATCAGTGTTGGTACCTCTGGTTGTCTAATGAACCAGAAATCGGTGCTGGTACCTCTGGTTGTCTAATGAACCAGAAATCAGTGTTGGTACCTCTGGTTGTCTAATGAACCAGAAATCAGTGCTGGTATCTCTGGTTATCTAATGAACCAGAAATCAGTGCTGGTATCTCTGGTTGTCTAATGAACCAGAAATCGGTGCTGAACCAGAGAGACTGGACCTGGTACTATTGATCCTAGTGAACACTCATTCTGTTGTGATGTCTCATAGTCATGTAGTTACATGTAAATTGCATTTCTCATTATTTCTGAGCTTTGCTTTACTGCGTACTGTAAATGTTAGACTGTTTTGTTACATGTATGTCTGGCTTATACTTCCGTAGTCCTACCTTGTACAAACACTCAGTCACTCACCTATCACCTAATACACTCATTTTGTTTCATGTCGTAGTAAGAAATCACTACCTGTATTTATGTTCATCTTGTTTTATTTATATCTAAAATCTTAATTTTTACAGAAAAACTTAACAATGCTTTTTTTTTCCCCTTTTTAAGTCTCTTGAAAATAAAATCAAGGTCAAACATATCTTTAAATAATTAAGCCACTTAATTCTGTGTCTAAAATTGCTTTTTTCATGAAACTTTCATGGTGAATGTCTTACAAAATAATGGTATATAATACTGTATATTTGTTGTTCAAGTAGTCCTAATTTACAAAGTCTTATACATGTATTAGCTTTGTATCCAGTTTGTAACAAATATCAATATGCCTAATACATGTATATCATCGTCAAGTACATGTAGTTGATTAAAAATCAAAGCAATGTATGGCTGTGGATGTAGATATCAACACTCATTGTGAAGATACATTGTATATTGTTATGAATGAAAATTCTTACTAGTATATATTTTTGAACAAAAACAAGCAAAAGGAAAATGGGAAAAAAAGATGATATTTGATTCTTGTAGATTATATTCCCATGACCTATATTATCTCATGAACTAATGATTTATATTTTGGTTTTGATGATGTAAATTTGTGTGTATATGTATATTTATGTACCTTTTACCTATATTTACAGGTGTGGAGCCAGGTAAGGTCACTAATGGAGAAAAATGCCAGCCTGGAGGCCGCCAAGAGGAGTTTGGAAGATGAACTAGAGAGGGTAACATAAACATTAAATTATGCTAGAGAGAGCATTTTTATTGAACAGTATATACAAAAAGGAAAAGTCATCTTCCAGGACTGTTGAAAGTTGCGTAGTGATGTTGAAAGTGGTTCTGAAATCATTAAAAAATCTCTTTTAAAAAGACTGCCAAAAGTTATAGAAGAATACTGAATGATTATTAAAGCTGAACACGAAAGGAAGAGATTTATGCTTGTCGATCATAGTTCTCACTTCTTCAGTCTATTTCTTGAGCCCCTTCACAATTTGAAGTATTTCACTTTACAGATCTCGTCTGAGTGGATGTATATGTTATATATCATTGTTACTTGGTCTTGATTAAATTGTCAGTTGTATGCAATTATACCATGTCAGGATAAAAGTAACATCAGTCAAAACAAATAAAATGTAAACTCTAAAATGACATAAGAAATACTGGCATGAGTTTCACGCATGCAATCTGGTACTGCAAATGTGAAGATTGGAGATAGTAAAACAAATATGGCGTATGGCTATTTACAAGTCATGTTAGGCTTTAAATAAACAATAAATGGCAAAGTTTAACAGCTTGACAAATGCATAAGAACTAATATCTGGTTTGTTTTTATAGAAGAATTCCAACACAAAGTTCGCCGAGACCACTCTGTCCCAGGCTTCAGCCAGCCATGAAGTAGCTGTTAAAGCGTTACAGTCCAAGGCGGACACAGCTGAGAAAAGGGTCAGTAGAGTTCGGTCAGCAGCTCATTTCCAGAATCCTTCCTGTCTAAATCATTTCTAACACTGACTCTCCATAGTGCTCGCAGAAAATCAGCTATTAATTAGTAATTTTTTATATCTCAATTATTTCAGTTTTTAATGAAAGTACAATGCAGCTCAAATTTAGTTTGATTTTGATCATCATGGCTAGTTTATCTGGCTAACTTTCTTTCCATTATTAACAATGTACATTTATTCAAAAACTTTCATTTAAAACATGACCCTTTTTAAATTATTTTCTTAACGTTCAGTGCCTTTGCTACTTAAGTAGATACATTGGTAGACCCGGAGTTCTATACTTAACGTTACCTGTTGTAGGTGTTCGGGACCCATGGTAGTGCACCTATACATTTCAGGGTCAGTCATGTTGTACTGCGTGTGCACTATATTTAGCTTTATAATGATCCAGCTCTCTAATCATTCTTAATCTTCTTAATCAACTTAAACCTTTCTGCCTCCTAATCAGAATACATCTTATCAGCTTTCTCTAAGACATATGTATATTTCAGTAATATGAGATAATATTAAATGTAGAATTTAATAACTGATCTTTTTGCAGCCATGCTATCCTTTATTTCTACCATGTTTATCCCAAGTCTTAAAAAACTAAAGATGAAAAAGAAGTTTTCCCCTTGTCGTGCTTTTCAAGGACTCTGAAATAATTTTGCTTTACATCCGAATATATGATCAAATTGGATGGTTTCATTTTCATGTTTTCCACAAAAGTAAATACCTATGTGTTATAAGTATTATGATGAAAATTTCCCTATAATCATTACCACTGAGGTGCATATGTACTAATTTGGGATAGATATGGTGCTGTAGTTTTTTAAATCTAGAAATGAATATCAATTTAATGTATCATATTTCTTCCCTTGTAACCGTGGTGACATGCTTAATGTGTTTATTTAAAGGAAACGAAAGCTAAGCCTTTTGTGGTTAAAGTAAGTAGACATCTGTTTGTCTTCTAGAAGTGGTTCTCTAGTTTCCTTCTCTAACTCTGCTTAGTACGACACTACTGGTCCCCCACGCAGTAATGAGAGGATGGTGTAAAGAGTAGACAATAGATTCCCTACCTTGGTACCTCTCTGATTTAGCTTAGTACGACACTACTGGTCCCCCCGCAGTAATGATGGTGGTATAGAGAGAGTAGACAATAGATTCCCCACCTTGGTACCTCTCTGATTCTGCTTGGTACGACACCACTGATCCCCCTCCCCCGCAGTAATGAGAGGGTGTTGTAGAGAGAGTAGACAATAGATTCCCTACCTTGGTACCTCTCTGATTCTGCTTGGTATGACACTACTGGTCCCCCCCCTCCCCCACAGTAATGAGAGGGTGGTGTAGAGAGAGTAGACAATAGATGATTCCCAACCTTGGAAAGGAATACACTAGTCATGTAGAGAATTTTAATCTACATTTTCCTGAATCATTATATTTTTATGTGATCTCCATACCTTTATGTAAGAGCATCACAATCTATTGATAAACTGCAGATTTGATGCAGGAATAACAAAGTTGTATGGTTATCAAACAAAAACAGTTTAAGCATTTTCTGTAGATTACACCAATGTATCAGTAAAAAGAAATAAAATATTTGTTGATTTTCTTATAGAAAGCATGAGTACTTCATTTGATCTCTTCAAAAATAAAAATTTCATACATGTGTTTATCTTAGGAAGGCATCAACTTAAGAATTCAGTCAACATGGTCATGTATTTTAGTTTCTGATCTGTTGTATGTTTCTATGAGGTTTGTACAGCTTATAAATACCTTGATTGAGAATAACTATTTGCTTTTGATTACAGAGCATATTTTTATCTTGATAATCTGCAGTTTTAATATGCTTTTATTTTATTTTTCAATCATGCATCATTCATTATACCCTCCCCCCAAACAAAATTGGGGGGTGTATAGGAATCACCTTGTCTGCCTTCTAGCTGTTCATCTGTCTGCAATCTAGTTTGTGCTATAACTTTGTAATGGAGAATCACTGGAAGTTCATAATTGGTACAAAGTTTATTTATGACCTGAAGTGTTTCTGAGTTGATCAAAGGCCATTCTGACAAGTTGAAGGTCATTGAAAGAAAAAGTACAAAATTCTTGTCTGATCTACAATTCCTTCATGGAAAACCATTGGCATTCTATATTTCATGCAATTGCTTATGACCTTGAGGGGTGTTATGACCTTGAACCATGGTAATTTGATCAAGTTCAAGGTCACTTATAGAAAAATTCTTAATTCCTGTTCAGACTGTATTTTGTCATGGAGAACATTAGAGGCCCATATCACAGATATTGTATATGATGTCGGGAGTATGTATGACCATGTCCATTATTTTGTGAACTCGCTCACAGTTTTTTGTTGCTTATATTGGACCTGAATATTGGACAAGAAGCCAGGGGCTTTTTTCCAGCTGGAGATTCAGATAAAAAATTCATTTTCATACCAAGTTAATTCTATTCACTGTTACTTTCATAAGCTAGTAGCTGAAAGTTCAGGTCATTATGTTTCTCATAGTATCTACAAACCACACTTTTCACCAGTACAGATTATGTATATTAATCACTATATCACACTGCAGGCTTTGGTGCTTAGACAAACTGTATCTCATATTCTTGTTGTTTGAAATTATTCATTGTGTGGTTAAATGATCTGAAAGCATCCAGAGGTTATAAATATCTGTGATTTTTCAGGCTGAGAAGCTACAGCAGGACCTTGAGGGGATGACCTTTAAATTGAAGACAGTAGAGCATCAGCTGAGTCAGGCCGAGGAACTGAGGAACGAGTTACAGGACAAAAAGGAACAGGTGGCAACCTTACGGAACCAGCTAGAGGCTGAGAAACTCCAGAGGTATGTATAAGTGTCCATTAAACAGGAAGTAGCTAGAGGCTGAGAAACTCCAGAGGTACATATAAGTGTCCGTTAGACAGGAAGTAGCTAGAGGCTGAGAAACTTCAGAGGTATGTATAAGTATCCACTAGACAGGAAGTAGCTAGAGGCTGAGAAACTCCAGAGGTACGTTTAAGTGCCAACTAGACAGGAAGTAGGTAGAGGTTGAGAAACTCCAGAGGTATGTATAAGTATCCACTAGACAGGAAGTGGCTAGAGGCTGAGAAACTCCAGAGGTACATGTAAGTATCCACTAGACAGGAAGTGGATAGAGGTTGAGAAACTCCAGAGGCATGTATAAGTATCCATTAGACAGGAAGTAGCTAGAGAACGAGAAACTCCAGAGGTATGTATAAGTGTCCATTAGACAAGAAGTGGCTAGAGAACGAGAAACTCCAGAGGATGTATGTGTGTATGTGTAGGAAGTGGCTAATCATGAAACTGCTAGCTATGGGTTAAAAACTCCAAAGGTGTGTGTGTGGGCAAAAGGACATTTATACTCCAGACCTGTATAATGACTTTTTCATGCTCTAGCATATTACTTCATGCATATCCACTTGCACACCTCTGGAATATCTCAAGTTCTACTAGTTACCTGTACATGTATAACTACTTCCTGTCTAATGAACACATTTTAAAGAGATGTGTACTACTTGATGTAACCTTAGTTCTGTTGTTGAATCTCACTTGAACATGTACATCTCAGTGGCATAGACATAATCTCAATGGCATGCATTTTCTTATCCTTGTTGTAAACATACATATATATCTTGGCAAGTATATACATATTCCAAAAGCTTACTTGTATACCTTACAGTCATACTTAAAGCAACAGACAATGGTTATGAAAGGAAAATCCACTATGTTGTCATATTGAGAATGCTTAGATGCAAATATCTATTTTAATTATTTGATACAATGAAAATCAAAAGATATCATCTGATTCAGTACTTTTTTCCTCATTTATTTTTAAGATATCTTTTTTATGATGTGATTTCTGTATTTGTAGAACTTTGTTGGATCAAACTGTTGCAGAATTAAAACACCAGGTGTCACTTCTGAAGTCTCGTGAATCCAAAGTTATGGACCAGAATCGTGAGTTACAGCACACGATGATCGACATGGAAACCAAACTGGATGACATGCATGAACGGAATCAGACTGCTCTAGATATGGTATGTTATGCTTCACCGGCTTTAGACAGGAAATTTTTTGCGTCTATATATCAAGCCCAATATATTTTGTATGACCTGTACAGTGCAGACTCGTTATTACGATGTTCATTTTGTCACGGTAAAATATCGTAATACCGAGGGCAATGTAATAAAAGTTCCCAATAAAATCCAGTAAAACATCGTTTTGAAAGCTTGTTGTTATATTAGGAGGTGTATTTTTCTCCTTTCGTTTCCTTCTATTCAAATTCTTCGTTAAAATGCAATATACATATACAGGTAAACTTCGGTATCTCGACATCGGATATGTCGACAACCTGGGATATGTCGACGTCCGTCCGCGGTCCCGGCAGTATTTACTATATAAATGATTTGCAGAAACTCTGATATGTCGACTTCGGTAATCTCGACAACCCTGGTTATCTCGACGTATATTCACAGTCCCAAAAGCAAAATTTACCTGGTATATGTCGACATCGGCAATTTTCTGCTCCACTGAACCTAACTGTTTGTCAGATAGGGTCGCTCGTCACGCACGGACGGCTCCGGGTATCTCGACGTCGTCAAAAATTCACATCTTTCACACCCATGTTATGACTGCACGCTGCTTAATTAATTCTATAGACTGTGTTTGTAGGTGAATCCAAAGTCCCCTCGGCGTCTTTGAAACGTTAATTGCTTAATGTTCAGTTTGGGTAATATCACTGATAAGTCTACACGATTCTGCTTAAATTTACAGGTGTTTATTTATGTCGAAACCTAACATAACTTTTAAAATTGAAAAAGATAACTAAATTACAAAGAATAATAAACATATTGAATAAATTCAACTAAAGAATTAAACGATGTTCTAATAATATTTCGTAGTTAAAATACATTCAACAGGAAATAATCCGATTAACGACACGATTAACCGAATCATCCGTAATTCATGCATCTGTAATATCACTACGTTAGTTTAGATACACAGAACTCTTAAAAAATTAATATTAATGCACATTCTTCCTGAATGAAATAAGAAAAAAAATAATTACGCATTTAATATGTTTTAGTATCTCGGATGTCGACTTTATCATGTTTATACGGTTCGGTTCGAAGTTTATAGAGCGCATTTCGTATCCTGTTCTGACAAAAAAGCAAGTTACACGCGAATGCTGGATGGAAAACTACAAAAATTTAGAACGATTTCGATAAAGAGAAAGAACAGGCTTTATAAATAAGATTTTTAAAAATAACTTCTTAGATTTTTAATAAAAATAGAGGGATTGCTGAAATAAGTTGATCTACAGCCTATATTGAAGTCATGTACGTATAATAAGCTTATACACATGTATGTGTTTGGTTATGCAGTGAAATCTTGGACGTCAAGTCTCATCTCTGATATCTCGACACCTCGGATATCTCGACATTTTCCGATGGTCCCGTCGATGTCGAGATAACGAAGTTTACCTGTAATTTATTAATAACTTATCTTGAATAGATATCTTCATGATGCTATTTCTTCTATTTCCTTCATTTTAAAAGAAATGTGTACATTTTTTATAAAAACTTTGACAATCTTCATTTATCTGCCGCCATTTCCTTTTACTTTTACTTTCATTTCTGTCTAGATAATGCGTTTGTAAAATTTTCAATGTTTTCGTATCGTTACTACATAAATAACAACCATACATCACTGGGCGGTTTTGGGTGTTCAGTGAGCTTAGAGCTGCAGTGAACAACTGATGAAAGTGGGCAGTGTGATAGGCATATTCCTGGACAGGATTTGAGAACACACAAGCTAAATGTCAAAATAAATTTGAATTTTTAAATTACTGAACAGAGTTCAATTAGCAGTTCAGCAATTATCGATTTGTATTTCTGCTGACACCTGTGAGGTAGTCCAAGCCACTATCCAAGCTGTTAAAACGTTAGTGGAGTTCAAATTTTGCCAAAATTATGTTTGATACCCAAGCTGTCAATTCCCGCTGTTTAACTGCAAACGAAATTACACATTACGTATTTAACATACATGCATACGATTAAATGTAACCCTTTATTTAATAAATAAATTTTACTTTTTATCCATAGTAAAAAAAAAATAAAATAAAAAACTTTACAGAGATAGATAAACTAGAGACTACATTTATAAATAAACAGTTTAATTGTTTAACAATGGCTTTGACATGTCTCCAATTCTGCTGACCTCGCTAGAAAAGTCAAGGTGTGTGCAGTCAAGCGTCACTAATCACCTAACGGTCCTGCAAGTAAACACTCTGTCAGAGCACAGGTGTTTCAATGTTTATTTAGCGTCTCCTTAAGTGTCTACAGTCGATCAACACTGAATAAACACGGGGTGAAAAAAAAAATTTGAACAGAATTTTTACATCGTAATACCGAGTCCCGGCATTTTAGGACATCATAATAAACAGTTCTATTTTGTATAGATTTGTTAAGAAATGGTTTTGTGCTGTGAATTTACAACGTAATAAGCGTTCTATCCTATAAAACCGTCACCGTAATAACGAGTCCGCACTGTATAATATGATTAATAATAATTATTAAGTAAAAAAAAAATCTTTACAAATCTTTGAATCAGCTTTGAAAGCATGTGACAACTACCTACATTTATATATATCTTATTCTAGATAATGCTTGTTTTGTATATATAATTGGCTTCCTTATACATCTATGTTATGTTATGCATGATTCAAAATTTTACAATAAGCTAAAAATAAAATAATATGTGGTAGCGTAATTTGCTATGGATGATGCTGTAGAAATGCTTTTTATTATCAATGTTAAACATGTAACCACTGTCAGAAATACAGGTAAACTTCGTTATCTCGACATCGACGGGACCATCGGAAAATGTCGAGATATCCGAGGTGTCGAGATATCAGAGTTGAGACTTGACGTCCAAGATTTCACTGCATAACCAACCACATACACGTGTATAAACTTATTATACGTACATGACTTCAATATAGACTGTAGGTCAACTTATTTCAGCAATCCCTCTATTTTTATTAAAAATCCAAGAAATTATTTTTAAAAATCTTATTTATAAAACCTGTTCTTTCTCTTTATCGAAATCGTTCTAAATTTTTGTAGTTTTCCATTCAGCATTCGCGTGTTACTTGCTTTTTTGTCAGAACAGGATACGAAATGCGCTCTATAAACTTCGAACCGAACAGCATAAACATGATAAATTAAAGTTGACATCCGAGATACGAAAGCATAAGTGCGTAATTATTTTTTTTTTCTTATTTCATTCAGGAAAATGTGCATTAATATTAATTTTTTAAGAGATTTGTGTATCTAAACTAAGGTAGTGATATCACAGATGCATGAATTACGGATGATTCGGTTAATCGTGTCGTTAATCGGATTATTTCCTGTTGAATGCATTTTAACTACGAAATATTATTAGAACATCGTTTAATTCTTTAGTTTGAATTTATTCAATATGTTTATTATTCTTTGTAATTTAGTTACCTTTTTCAGTTTTAAAAGTTATGTTAGGTTTCGACATAAATAAACACCTGTAAATTTAAGCAGAATCGTGTAGATTTATCAGTGATATTACCCAAACTGAACATAAAGCAATTAACGTCTCAAAGACGCCGAGGGGGGCTTTGGATTCACCTACAAACACGGTCTATAGAATTAATTACCGGTAAGCAGCGTGCAGTCAAAACATGGTTGTGAAAGGTGTAAATTTTTGACAACGTCGAGATACCCGGAGCTGTCCGTGCGTGACGAGCGACCCTATCTGACAAACAGTTAGGTTCAGTGGAGCAGAAAATGTCGACATATACCAGGTAAATTTTGCTCTTGGGACTGTGAATATACGTCGAGATAACCAGGGTTGTCGAGATTACCGAGGTCGACATATCAGAGTTTTTGCAAATCATATATATAGTAAATACTGCCGGGACCGCGGACGGACGTCGACATATCCCAGGTTGTCGACATATCCGATGTCGAGATACTGAAGTTTACCTGTAATGAAAATATTTTATGGAATAAACGGAACAATTCACAGGACAAGCCATTTTGACAAAAAAATGTTTCCACAATAACTGTTACAATGGATATTTGTGGTTTTATTGGAGAACTTTTTAAAAAAAATATGACTGTTAAAGTTTTTGATATGTCAAGATTTGAGAGGAGTTTGTCAGGTGAGGGTCGAATTTAGATTTGCAAAGCCCTATTCTGGGAGATGGTTATTTTTAGATTCTAGTGGGGAAATGATTGATTGAGATGTTTCAGATTATGAGTGTTGTATGAATGCAGGGATTGAAATGTATTTCCATTTGAGCAGGGTATAACCATATAGTTTTATCTAAAGGTTAGAATAGCTAGGATTGGGATACATGTATAGATGAGGGACATTGTGAGTATTTATTGCTAGGATTTGGAAAGATTGGAGAGATATTGTTCTCAAGTGCTGATAAGAGTTAAGATACTACTATATTTGAGGTATATTGCGAGTGTTTATTCTCTGTTTTCACGCCTCAGGACTCGGAGAGCTGGGAGGAAAACGGTGTAGAGGTATAATAATGAAATCACTGCTGACTGTTTGTCAGCAAAATAGCGCACAGCCAAGCACAAGTCTGATAATGTAAAACAGAACTAGACTCGGCTCATATTTAAATTTCTCCTAGTTTGATAATTCTATTCATTATGTAAATATGATACTTTAAGTTGCTTCATTTCTAAATCAGTAGGCTATGATTTTGATCCATGTTCATGCAATAAAGTGACCAAAAAAAATTCTATAACAAAAAGCATGTTATGTATGCAAATTAAGAGCTCTATATATATGGAAGCTTAACTCCTCTGCTGTGCTTTGACTAACCGCTGTTGTTCTGTTAGACTAAGTTGTGAAGACTTGTGGATGGCTCCATGAAAGCTTATAGTCATCTACATCTAATATCATTCAATACAAAATTCATTAAGATAAGATGCTGCTATCATCTGTATTCTCTTTATTTTATATCCCTACTTTCAGTATATGATCAAGAATAAATTGTTACATTTTCCCCCATCAAGAATATATCTAAATGAAAATTTAGTTGCTGTACCTTTAACAATTAACTCTGTCATAATGTTTCAAAAGAAAAAAAAAATACTCATAGCTTATTTTCTTTAAAAAATATCTTACCAATTAGATATCCATTGTAAATAGCAGATGTATGTGAATATGAAGCTATTTTTAAAATATAGTTCATATCATGCATGACCTGTGTCTCTGTGTTATTTCCCTTTACAGTTGAAGAGTATTTAGAAGAATTCCACTTTCCCTTCTTTTCTTTTTTTGTTTTATCAGTTTAAACATTATCTAGTTTTTTTGCAAATTATTTGTTTTTATTGCCTTGTAAATTTTCATCTGTAAATATATGTATTTCTGCTGGTTTCATTGATATAAGGGCAAAGGCTTTGGAAATACTATTATAATATAATATAATCATGATCCTAGTGAAAAGCACCAGAAAAGATTTGTAAATGTAGACATGGTAAAAAGAAAAATGTGAATGAGAGGGATTATAATTTATTATTATATACCCAACTGTTTGTCACTCAGTTTTACTGTTGAATTTATGCAATCACGTGACGGTGTGATCCGACGTTCCGGATCACCACACTGTGGTTTTCTGAATCCATATCACCCCTCTCTGAAACTGATGACGTAGTACACAGATAAATGACGTTTTTATTCTCGAGCATCAAAAAGTTCCCTAACAAAATGGTTTGTTTAATGTAGAAAAGTTATGTAATTGATCCAAAAACTTTCCTTTTATTATATTTTGCTAGTTGTAAAGGGGTATATAATAAATTTATCATTATAACAGTAACTTGATCCGAAGAGCAGTATTACGTCTCGTTGACAGGCGCGGATCATCAGATCAAACTCGACGCTTCGCGTCTCGTTTGATCTGATGATCCGCGCCTGTCAACTTGACGTGATACGGCTCTTCGGATCAAGTTACTGTTATAATAATATATATTTATGTATCAAGAGATTTTTTTGGTACAGAATTTCTTGCTATTCTCGATGCTTTTCACAATTAGTAATTGTAATTTCATCACATGACATCAAGCATGCAGGTCACGTTAAATCAGCTAAAACTTTGCATGATGTGAAGACGCATTTGTTTATTAAAGCTTGAGTGATACAAGGGTAGCTACCTAATATGCTGTTTGTTGTAAAGTTTGAATTATTTTATCTCAATCCTAGAAAATATGTATGAGATTATAAATATATGATGCATTATTTCTCAGTTAAAAGGCAGTCAGAGTATCTAGATTATTATTTTTTTATTGTGGAAAATTTTGTTGTTTTGTCTCAAAAGTATACCCAAATCTTCTTTTATTATATTATCCAGTAATTTTATCTGTATTATCCAGTAATTATCTCTATTATCCTGTAATCATCTTGAAATTATCCAGTATTTATTTCTGTGTTATCCAGAATTTAGAGTGTTATAAACTGTTTTTCTTTAGTGTATGTAGACTGCACAGGGATAGCCTATATCTACCTAGCTGTATATCCTGCATGTAAATAGAAGCATGTTTATAAAACTTGCATGTATTTGTATACCATCCTCTAACTGGTGACTATACATAAATTATTTAGTTTAGTGAGTATGAAGGTACTGTAGTTGAACTATCTATTACGGAATTTAATAAGGTAGAATCAGAGCTACACGTATGAGGAATGACTGTATCATTATGTTTTATTTAGTTTTGTCCCTGAGATTCATCGTATGATAGTGTCTCTTTTTGTAGGTGAATATCAAAAATATAAATAATTACTAAACATTTATAGTTTTAATTATAAAACAGCAGATTTCCAATGTGACTTGTGCTCTTATTTTTCAGCAAAAACATTATACAGAAGTCGGAAAGCGAGGCCTGCTAGACCAGATTCACAAACTCCAGAAAGAGGTCAAAGATTTACAGTATGAACTTCTGACAGTCAACGAACGACGAGAAATACAGGAAAGAAAGTACGAGGATCGTAAAATGAAGACAAAGGTCAAACTAATGAGAGCAAGGTAAGGTCAAGGTCAGTGAGAATTAATCTGAATGTGTGCGATGGCTGACATAGATTTTGAATGTTTATTTCAAGAATTATTTCAACTGATTGAATTTTTTTTACATTGAAAAAATATATGAATATTTATTGTATGTTTTAAAATTATTGAAATACTTGATGTTTAAATCTTGACAAAGAAGTGATAATATCAGAATAAGAGCAGTATTAAAATATATCGTCCACGAAATTACATAATGTGTATAGAAAACTATGTGACACCAGGAGCTTGTGATAAACTGGTTTGCCCATTTCAGGACATTTAACGTGGGGCATGTCGAGTCAGGACAGGAGTTTGTTGTGTATGTTAGCTTCTCAGTAGTCGGACACTCTAAATATAGTGCAGCTCTTTCATTGGTTGCTTATTTCTATCTTGCTCTCTGCTGGAATTCCTATTCTGTTTTATCTGCATTGTTTTGGTAGTTTTTAATCTTTGAAATATGCCTTAGTTTATAAGTTATGAAGAATATGCACAGCTGAATGACTGTGGGAGGTCGGAGGTCAGACAGAGTGTATTAGTTGTATTACAGTTCAGAGGTCAGGCAGAGTGTATTACTTGTATTACAATTCCTGTAGCTCTATCACTAAAACGAGTAAGAAAATGTATATGAAGTCAATAGAAATTAGACTAATTTTACCTGAATAAAGTAGATATATTTAGTGGGTTTTTTTTATTTTTATGAAAATTGATGAAGGTATTAAATTCAAGGGAATAGGGCACTCATTTACAGAAGTATATCCTTATCCTGCTCTGAGACCCATGCATTCTCAATTGGGTTCAGTTAATTAAGGGAAATTTCTCATTTAAAAAGTTATAATCAGTGGGCTTGCTTTATTATGGTTTACAAACACAATGTCAATATTAGTTAGAGGACAGAGGCTCCAGTAGTGATAATGATCTTTACATCATTTTAAGTTGGGGATATATATATATATATTAAAATAAAATCCAAGATAAACAAACAAGTTCACATTTAATTATTACACTAAGCGCTTTCGCCGTGAGGCTAAATAATTAACTTAAATGATAAAATGATAATAAATGATAAACTTTGTTACACTCTGAAGAGCCTCACGGCGAAAGCGCTTAGTGTAATAATTAAATGTGAACTTGTTTGTTTATCCTGGATTTTATTTTAATTTATAACCTACCTATACCGTGGACTTTTACTACAATTTCACTATATATATATATATATATATATATATATATATATATATATATATATATATATATATATATATATATATATATATATATATAAATTTTTTTTTGTTTTTTATGAAAAATTTTATTATCAGTTTCATAAATCATTTAATCATTTTTTTTCTTTAAATTATATTTTTGGTACTAATGCTATTTTTTATTGTTAATTTTTTGTTGTTGATAAATTGTATTATTTAAAATTTATTTTATATTTTAAACAGTTATAGCTTTACCTTGTGTGCACAGCATCTCTGAGAAGAGAGTTCACTTTTGATTTATGCCAAAAACTCTTTTGTTTTTTGCTTAATGTCATGAAAACTATCAAGATTCCTTTTATTCACAGATAATTTATGTATCTCCATTGTGTTGTGTTTATTTTAATTCCGTGCTAAGCTATATCTTTTTAATTACATTCACTGCATAAAATCATTTATTATGAACAAATTTGTGTAATTTTCATCATCATTCCTAATTTAATTAAATACTCATCGAGAAGAATGCAGTATAACTACTTCGCTGACATGTTATAAGACTTATAATCCAGTGTAATGGTGACACATACTTTTCTGTACAAAACATTGTAGGAGAAATAGTTTTTAAATTTTAATCAAACAAAGACTTGTTTAAATATGTTACTTATTTAAGTATAGATAAGTTTTATTATTCTATATAATGATTTTTTTCTTTAACAGAGAATTTTATGCCAAGGAGCGAACTCGTATGCAGGAACAGCTGAGGCAATATGATGATGACCTGAGACTGACTCGCTCAACACTCAGGAAAGAGATGGACTGGAAAGAAAAGATGGAAAAGAATTATCAGACAGTTAATCGAGAAAAACGTGAATACCTCACTCAGTAAGTTCACAATTACAATACTTGTAATATAGGAACAGAAAAGGTCACATCCAGGTCAGATTAATAAGAATTTTATAAAGAAGAAAAATTCCAATTATTTGCAGTTTCTGTTCATTTTCTTCACAGAGGTTGCACATACGAAATGAAATTTGGTATACAGATTTATCATAAAAATATCTAGGGCAAATTTTGTTTTGGGTACGATCGAGCAATTTTTGACAGAATTATGCCCCTTGGACTTTGAAAAATTCCAATTATTTGCAGTTTCCGTTCATTTTCTTTGCAGAGGTTGCATATTTGGTATACAGATTTATCATAAAACTATCTAGGGCAATTTTTGTTTTGGGTACAATCAAGCAATTTTTGACAGAATTATGCCCCTTGGACTTTGAAAAATTCCAATTATTTGCAGTTTCCGTTCATTTTCTTTGCAGAGGTTGCACATACTGAAATGAAATTTTAATGAAATGAAAGAAAGAAATGCTTTTTCTATTATATGAATTTAATTATGTAAAAATATGTTTCAGAAATGAAATTTTTAATATCTTTTCTAAGCTTTCAGACAAAATATGGTTTGGTTGCTTTTGAAAATCATAAAAAAACAAGGATTTTTACAAGTTTTTAAAATTTTAATTCCACTTCTAAGGGGAAAGGGGGGGCATTTATATGATTGATTGTCCTTAAGCTAGGGGGCTTATTTTGTTTCTGTGTAACATGTATCAAGTGCAGTAATATTTCCAGGTCGTTAGATCAGGATTTAAGGTTATTATCTATCATCATTTGCTAACATTTTATCCCCAGTATAAATCTCTTTGTTGGCTTCCTTGTGTTTGTAATATTTTCCCATGAATCCCTCTGTGTTTATAAATTTCTAATATAAATAGTAAACATTCACATTTACATTGTATGCTCATATTGTTTTTAGTACACATTGTGCTCACTTTGTTCATTTATATCTCTCATGGCTTTACTGTTTACATTTCTCTTCATATAATGCATTCTTACACATTGATTTTGATTCATAATTTAAAATACATGTATTAGATAAAAATAATTTCACATTCATGGAACAACAACATCAGTGTTAAATGTAAGTGTTGTAATCGTGTTAAAGTGTGCTTATAGTGTCTGTTGACATTATTATGTGGCAGATCTATACATGTTTGTGTGTGTTGTGACTTTTTCGACTTGATAAAGTTACTGGGTTTACATGTTTTTGTGTTATAGTTGACTTGAAAAATGTAGCAGGGTTTACATCATTTTCAGTGTTTCTTAAATTGATAAATGTGGCTTGGTTAAAGTTGACAGATAAATGCAGTAATGTTTGCATATTTTTTTATTTATTTATAAATTTAGCTAGTTTTACTTTCATTTTAGTTGAAATTCTTCCATCATTCTTTGATCCTTGCTTGCTTCTTTGTAGAACAAACATTTACTTTTCAGTTTATAGTTAAAATTAGCAGTGCTTAATATTGTTATAGTACAGTAGATTTTAGGACAACAAAATAATATCTATTTTAGGTTATTTAGGTGCTTTAGGTGAAGTTGATTTTATCAACAAATGCTCTTCTTCAAATTCTTCACCTTAGCAAAACTGAAAGCAGACCATCTATACTTGTTTGCACATTTCATTGACATATGTTTTACAGCTGTTTCTGACTAAAACCGTCTTTATGGTGACCTTTTTCAGTGAGTCAAATTTCTTACAGGCTGTCCGATATGGAGGAAGCCGTCCGCGAGAAGACTCGTATGGTCTCCATGTTACAGGTCCGCACCAAATTCCTAGAAGAGGAGAATTCCCGTTTACAGGATCGTATAGACTCTATCACCAAACAGAAGCAGGGCTTAGATAAACTCGTCAAAGAATACAAACTCACTGGCAAGGACAGGGACGTTCACGTAGGTTAACGGGGACCAGTTTACTATAGTTTGCCTTGTATGTAAATTAGAAATTTGCAAAATGATAAAAGTTTATTGATGAACCAAACATTGCTGATTAAATTTTTCTGTTATATCTTTGATAATTTTAAATCAACAGACTAATATATCAGTTACATATATAGATAATTAGTTATGGTTGCCAAATGTCCAGTTTCTCTCAGTATAGGAGTGACCCTAGTTAAAGTTATGTTGGGACTTGATCTTATGTTTGTATTATCTTTATTTTAGTTGTCCAGACTGGACCTCATGTTTTTATTTTATTTATTCCAGTTGTCGAGGCTCAGTCCAGACAGTTGACCTCTTTATTTTAGTTGTCCAGGCCAGACCTCATGTTTCTATTTTATTTATTCCAGTTGTCGAGGCTCAGTTCGGACAGTCGACCTCACAGTTTGACGGGAGGGACGAGTGGGATTGGGAACAGCGTCGACTCGAGCTGGGTCAATGAGCAGGATCATTACATCGATCCGTATCTGGGTTATCGCAATACGCAATCTTCTAATCTGGTGATCAGTAACTACCTCAGCCGGAGCTACGAGCCACACAGTCACGCAGTGGATCTATATCGCGGGGAAACGGGAAGTGAGGAATCCTACAGTAGGGAATTCGATACCTGACTTAAACCATCAACTTATCATCAGTGTTGACCAATCAAAAGCCATTATTTTAACCATAAACACATCACATGACTTGATACATTCCATGCCAAACGTTGCTTTTTTTTCACCACCTGGTGATGTATATAGGCAGTTTGTGCCATTCCTTTTACATTAATGCAGTAGAATAAATAAATTATATACATGTATAAAGTTTATTTTTAAAACTTAATTGTGATCAAGAATGTGATAAATTATTTTTATTTATTGATTAGTTTACTGTTATAGTATTAGTATAATTGATTAGAGTTTTTTTTTTCTTTTTTGTAAATTGTGCATTTATTTGATTTTAATTGTTGATATTTTGTAACAGGATGTCTGATATGTTGTGTACCTTCTACTTTTTAAAGATTTTTTCTTTAATTGTCAATATCTTAAGTTGACGTTTATATTAGATAAAGATGTAAGTTGTAATCTTTACATTCCTTTCTTCTTTTATATGATTGTCTCACTTGGTCTTGCAGTCCGTCCATACTTTACAAATTTTTATCTTTTTAAAAATGTTTTACCTAATTAATATTTATTTGACTAATTTAGAAGCTGCTTTGTTTTTCTCATCAGATGTAGACTGCAGCACAATCTGAATTGTGCCATCTAGTGGAAAAAGTCTAGAATGTATAGCTTTTAGTTTTCTTTAGTTCAGAAATCTTGTTACTGGTAAATTGGTTTTAGTTCTTTAGCTGAAAATATCTTAAAGCTGATCAAATATAAACGTGGTAGTTTATGTTGCACAATATGTAGAATTTTTCTTTGTAAAGTATTTTGTTTCGTTTTCAAAGAAAAATAATTTCTACAGTACAGTACCTGTTAAGTATAGCAAGAAAGTGAAGGGTAACCCTGGGAATGTTATCAAGAGAGTAGTAGTACAGGGGTCAAAGGTCAAACATTGTCCTACTTGTATTTTTCGACTTTTGTTACTTAGTTTTTATGTAAAGTGTAGTTTAGTGAAGTTATGTGAAGCATTACATCCACATACATACTGGGACAAATATTCCATGATCTAAAATGGAATGTCGAATTAGAAATATTTGGAAGATAAAATGAAGTATTTGGTGATTTATCAAATCAATGCATTTGCTTATACTTAAAGCACCTGTTTAAAACGAAGAACACAGTTTAATTTAAATGTTGTCCAATATTTTTACACTTAGAGTAGGTTTGATGTTGTAGTATCTTTATGATGTAGATCTTTTAGTGGTTAGAAGAAACAGGAGAATTTTTGTTCTTTTTCTTGCATTTGTAAGGAAGGGGACACAAGCAAGGAGTGTGGATTGATATTAAGTTGTTAAAAACACATTTTTTCAAGAGTTTAACTCTCTTTCTTAAACATTTGTACACAGAGATTTATTATTTAGACTTATTTTTATATTGAGTGAAAAACAGATGTAGATGTTTACATTGGAAGTATACAACAGTGATATTTTAAGAACTTGTCTGTGTGTTTATCTGTAGCTATCCGTCCTGTTTTTAAGTCCATTATAAATGATGTCTAGTCTAGAATTAGTCTATAATCTTGCAGCTCTTTATCTGGTTGTGTGAAGGAGACAGCTATTTTTCTGGTTAGGCTGAATGTCACAGCCTGCTTTACTTTCTGATTAGATTGTGTGTTGGAGCCATTTTGGTGCCTTGTGAACCATGCATTTAGTATACATGAAGACCTGAGTGGTAAACACTGTAAGAGGATTTCATATGTCTCATTATCATTATTAAGAAAATAAATTATATTTTTATGTCTAATGTGTTTTGTCATAATTTTCAATGTTTAATATACATAGTTTTGTAAAATGTTATCTAGGACATCTATCAGATGTTGGTAAAACTTTCACTCTTAATAGGTTTTCTGGTGAACCTACAGGCTTGTTTGTTGACAGATCATCATATAAACTGTTTAGACTTCAGTTTCAAGAGTTCATATGGTTCCATCATTGGAAATTCCTTTTAGAGGTTTCCCATTTCAAAATTACATGTGCAAAGAAAACTCATACTTTTCATATTTTGTCGGGTTGATTACCCAAACAAGAGATACACTGTGTATCATAAGATAATCCCAAAAAAAATGCAAACAACAATTTTCAATGAGCTGGTTGGAAACAGTCCATAACAATTCAAGGCAATTCACATACACAGAAAGGATTGTACCAAAGAATCTGAAAACTTTAATTATAACATCGCATTTTAGATTTGGAGGATCTGGATAAGTAGTTTAACTGTTAAGGATGGCATTTAATTGGTCAAGGGTTTAATTCCAGGCATGGATCACTTGCTAAACTCGCACCATTTTCCCCATACATTTCCACGTACGTATTTGATTTACAATATGTATACAGGTCAAATTCCATCATGTACTTCTCATACTTTTAAAAAAGTAAGTGAAAATCAGTTGAAACTTGAGGTATTATGAGAAATGTGAATCAATGATCAAACTGCAATATTCTTAATTAATATTTTATTAAAAAGATTTTGAAAAATTGAGCTAATTTTGGTTAAAAGTCCTTGTTATTTTATCCAGCTGTTCCTTTGATCAGTATTTGCTTGTGACACGGTTGTCCACAATTTTGTGACTAGATTCTTACACAGTAGGACTTGAAGAGCCCTCTCTATAGTTATTTTTTTCCCATGTGGTGGTTCCTATAGTTCATCTTTCCTGTGGTGCCTGGGTGGGCGCCTCCTAGTGGGGTCAGGTTTGTTGTCCCCTACGTATGGTCTCCGTAAGTTCTTGTGACCATGGAGGTCCCAATATGCTTTGGCACTGCGGACACATCGGAAGCCAAGATTCTGAGCCGTATAATCCGGCTGTAAACCCATTCTGAAAAATAAAAATCCATCACTGTAAGAATAGGCATGACTGTAATTTAAATATTTGACATGCAATAAATAACATGTTTTTTAATCAAAATTTTTGGTTGTTTATTGGGGACGAATTTTGCTACCTGTACAGAAAATTCATATTGAGAACCATGTTCTCACGTTCCCCATGAACCATGTATCGGTTTCTCTCATTTCATTAAGTTTTTTTTTGTCAGTCATTAAGAGCATTGTACGTCTTACCTTTGAGCTGTCCTGACGATATGATTACAGTGGCCGTCCCGGCTATCTATGAAGGATCCGCCCTTGACCACATACATTAACTCCTGGAGTTTCCTATCCACAACTCTGTCGTAGTACCGTGTGGCTGTCCACTCCCAAACATTCCCTATCATGTCGTATACACCTATAAAAGTTCACAATTGCACATTCGCACATTATACAGCATTCAAAAATGAAATCAGCAGGATAATCTACAAATACATCAGGTTTACCTATATGGTTTTATTCATGGGATATGAAAATTAAAGATACTTTATAACGGTTGATCAAATGTATAATCAGCGTCAATATTTTTTCTGGTTCTTGTGTGTTTTTCTCTTCAATAAAGGTACAGCAAGACGTTTGGTAAAGAAGTTGTACTGCTACAAACCAAAAGCGTTCTGTGTCTGGTAAAAATCGACAGGAGAGGTCCCATCCCAATGATCAGCCTTGGTGTTCCCGTTAGGAAACTTTCCCTGTAAAAATAAAGAAGATGTGGTCAGCCCTGGCCTTCCCGTTAGGAAACTTTCCCTGTAAAATTAAACAAGATGTGATCAGCTCTGGCCTTCCCGTTAGGAAACTTTCCCTGTAAAATTAAACAAGATGTGATCAGCCCTGGGTTTCCCATTAGGAAATTGCCCTGTAAAACTAGACAAGATGCGATCAGCCCTGGGTTTCCCATTAGGAAATTTCCCTGTAAAACTAGACAAGATGTGATCAGCCCTGGGCTTCTCAAGAGGAAACTTTTCCTATAAAAGTAAACTAGATGTGATCAGCCCCGTTGTGTTTCCTGTTACGAAACTTTCCCAGTAAAAAGAAAAAAGATGTTAGCTTTTCAACACGTGAAAAGACGCTTGCTTTGTGGCAAGTTTGATTGACATTGACCCAGTGGTGAAAGAAGTCGAAAATGTAACTCTAATACATGTAATTAAGTTACAGACCCTTACACATGTGGGAAGCAACTTCGGGGGGGGGGGGGCAACCTTAACCTAAATTCTTGACACTGCAACCCACCCACCACCCCCCCCCCCCCCCCCCCAAAAAAAAAAAATCATATTTCATGTGCAAATTAAACATGAATAAAAGCTAGATTGAAATTAATATTTTTTTTCGATTACATAACTTTACATATAAACATGACACCCCCTCCCTTCCGATCATTTTGCCTGTATACATGTACTTACAGCATTGTTATCTACAACAAAGCTAATAATTATACTGTGGTTTCCCCTCAAGAACAGGGTCTAAATGACAAGTCTTAACCTACAGGCGAATATATAAGAATTGGAGTGGGCAACAATCAATTCCTATCAATATGGACTCTCTAAGAGGTACAAAAGTTAAATCAACATATATCACTTGCCTCAGCCTTGTCATTAGTCATCAGGCAGCGGTCTTAAAAGTGGGGGACAACTTCCCGAAACCTTTGACAAGGAAAACCAAAAAAAAAAAACCTAAACTGATCAAATAGTTGGGGGGGGGGACTTCCCAAAATAATCTGACAAGCAAAATAAAATTAAAAAAAAAAAGAAACTAATCAGGTGTCCAAATCCTGGGATTTTCCAGTGCTCAACCTTACAGCAACAAAAAGTGGGGAGGCCAACATGCATCTAAATGAAAATTTTCTATGGCACAATACCATACTCAGAAAAAAGGGGGGCTCCCCCCCCCCCCGGCGTTCTGCATTGTTCTAGGGGTCTGGTCATAGGGCTCCACTCACCTGCCAGAGGTTGGTCCGATTCCTCTGATATCGATCTCCCCACGGATAAATCTTAGCTGTAGAAATAAAAATAGAGCCTTTACATCCATACAACAAGATGACACAAGCCTATTTGATTGCAGAAAAACAACGCTGTAAGCACGAACTAAACTTTCTGAAAATTACAACTTTTCCAATGTTCTACATGTAAAACAATTGCTTTGATGAAAAACGTACATGTACATGTATGTACAGCAAATGTGAATTCTTTCTTGTGAGAAAGAAAGTAGAATTCTCTCTCTCTCTCTCTCTCTCTCTCTCTCTCTCTCTCTCTCTCTGAGTCTCTCTCACCGTGAAGTCCCCCACGAGCTGCAAATTCCCACTCGTTCTCAGTGGGCAATCGCTTCCCTACCCACGTGCAGTACGCTTTGGCATCCTCCATACTGACATGTACCACGGGGTGATCCAGGCGGTCTCTAATGGTGGAACCTAAGCCCTCAGGCTACAATATATCAGCGGAATGATTTCACGCTTTATTATAAAAAAAAAAACCTGTACAGTATTCACTATAGAGAGCAGTTTGGATAATAGAAGTACATACTCAATTTAAATGATCAAGGAGTATAACTATACCTAACCCCCCACCCCCACCCCCCACCCCCCAATGCTAGTTTCTGTAAATTGCAATTAGTTGGAGAAAAAATTTCCTTCTGCAATCATTCTACTTAGAATTTTAAAAAAGTCTAAATTTAAACCACTTGGCAATGTCACCTTGTTCCACGCTGCGCCCCTAACGGAGACCCACCATGTTCCCTGTGGGACGTCCCGGCCCCGGTCAAGGACGGTGGGGGACAGGAAGGGTTTTAGGACCCAGCTCCACCCGTGATGTTCTGCTGTCGTCACATACCGGGGCTTGGCTTCCTTGAACTTCCTTTACACAATAGTGAATAAAATGTTTTATAATATCTGATACTCTACGTAATGAAGTACTAATGCATGTATTTTAATAAAAATTCAGCTAAAAATGCTTTCAGTTATGTTATCTTCAATTAGGTCATCAATTCTACCATGAAAACGAATACAGAAGTGTTTATTTTCATCGCGAATATTATTAATTGCAAATTGGTGCTTTGGATTTCTTAAAAAAGATTTTACGTGGGAATATTTACAAATAAAATCTCAACAGTTTTATTTTTTTCTTCAAGAATGCATGCTATTATGGGTTAAAGAACAACCTCAAAATTTATTAAAATCCTGGGCACAATTTTGAAAACGTGCCTATAGTATTTTTTTTCTTGTTGGTTTCAAATTGATTATCATGTATAGTAGTCATTTAAGATATAAAACTCTTCTAGACTGATACCAGAATTGTGCGTTGGTGACGGGGTGGGTGTCTATGTAGTACGGTTTTACGTCAGCTTCTTGCATGGGATACTCTCCACTATCTGACTCAGGGTCGTTTATGCCTTTTAGGAACTTCCCTCCCATAATGACCTTCATGTAGTCTAGGTAGTCATATTTATCTATAACTGAAGGAGACAAAATCTTAGCGTGCCACTGATACTCATTTCGTAGTGTGTAAGTCTATGAAAAATTGATTGGGTATCATAAATTAAATCAGGTGAACCTAAACGTGAAAACAAATTTCTAAAAGTCTTACTTTCTGAAATACTTTGAGCAGATACCTCTCGTAGTAAAACGACAGCGTTCAGAGCGAGGATAAATTTCCAGACCACCATCTTGTCAAAAAGGAGGGCGACAGCTGCAGGACCACGTGTCCAGAAAACAGATCGAACTCTGCCTATCTAGTGCGCTGTCTTTAGTTATAATTGGAAATCTATACCTTCTTCATCCTTTCGACCGAAAGCGCAGACATACGCAACACAAATTTGCATTTTACATGCGTTCAACAATGAAATAAAAAATTTTGTAACAGGGTGTTGGAAGCAATATTATTTTTTTTTAAAAGATGATAATCGATATCTTCGGAAAAACAATGTGTTTCGCAATTGGTTTCACTGTTACCTTGCCAGTATTAGTTTCCGGTTTGTTTCACGTGGAAAGTGTGTCTGAATTTCATAACTTAACTAATCAAGTTTCAGCGTTCTTTCAACTCTGGTATGAGTATTTTTATATGTGGTTTATATACATTTGTTGGATTTTTATTGCATATGATTTACACAAAAATTATATATTTAATATTTGTATAATTTACTGAATTTGTGCTGTAAAAATGTTTGATAAGACTGTAGCAACACATATTCTGACATTGTTAAGATATGAAGTTTTTGATATGTCAAGCATTGAAACCGTTAATTTGTGTAACTGTACAAAGAAGTTTTACTTAAGGTATTCAAGGCATTATCCTGTTATTAGCATCGCGATGCTAATAATTTTTGACGTTATTGACGTTATTGGCGTTAAAAATCATTTATAATATGATATAATATTAATGTTTTTTCTTTACATTCCAATTGCATTTATTCCATTGTAGGCCTATGTGATTTTTTAGAAATTACCTTATTTTGAATGGCAACTGACTTGTGACTAAGTGGTTGGTATATATAAATATATATATATATCATAAAACTTTTCAATAATTGTAGCATGATTCAAAGAAGTTTTAGATGATGTATGACTCGATTGTAAGGCACGGTAAAACATTTTTAAATATTACAAAGTTTTTCGCTTCCGTTTCCATACACTAGTACCTTGCGTATATATTTTTTTCTCTCCGAAGTAAATTTATAACAGAATAAATGTATTGATTGAAAATGGGAAGAATTACTTTATTCCGTTATAAATAAATTGGGGGGGGGGTATGAAAAGTAGGGAGGGTGTCTTGATTGTGCTAATAATTGTTGTAATGGACCATTTATTCTGTAATTATTGTATAAATTATTTTTTGACAAAAATTTTATACTCGGAATAAAACTATTGATGAAAAATGGTATGAATTCAAAAGATGTACTTTATTCCGTTATAAATAAATTTAAAAATGAAAGGAGAGTGTGTGATTGTCCTAATAATTGCTGGAATGTAACAATGCATAAATTTTATTCTCTCCGAGGTAAATTTATAACGGAATAAATGTATCAATGATGAAATATGGTATGAATTCATAAGATGCACTTATTCCGTTAAAGAATTTGAAAAAGGAGGGAGGAGGTAGGGGATTGTGCTAATAATTGCTGGAATGTTCCATTTATTCAATAATTAGTGTCTAATTCTTTCCTATTTCAGAGATATATTTATAACGGAATAAAGGTATTGATGAAAAATTGTATGAATTCATAAGATGCACTTTATTCGTTAAAGAATTTGAAAAAAAGGAGGGAGGAGGTAGGGGATTGTGCTAATAATTGCTGGTATGTTCCATTTATTCAGTAATTAATGTATGATTTCTTTTCTATTTCCGAGGTAAATTTATAACGGAATAAATGTTTTTATGTAAAGTGGTGTGAATTTAAAAGATGTACTTTATTCTGTTACAAAATATGAGAAAAAAAATTGAAAAAGGGGACTGATTGTCCTATAATAATGGTAGAATGTAACATTTATTAATTTATCTATTATTTCTTTCTCTGCGAGGTATAACTTTATTTGTATTGAAGGAATACACCTTTTAACCCGTTAAAGGCAAAAAAGAATTTTCTCCAGAATTAATTTAATGGAATAATTGCAATGCATTAAGATTAACAGTAAATGCACATTTACATTAATTTTCTTAATATGGAAAGGGGGATCTTTTGCCACATATTGCTGTTGTTTAGAAACGGAATAAGTGTACTTAGTCTAATTAAGGCAATAGAAGTAATGTAAAAGTCATATTTTCTTTCCTTATATTAAAAGGGAAGTTGTATTTGAAGTTCATTAAATTACAATTTATGACATAATACAGGTAATATGTACTTTTAGGGCCGGTACACACGGTAAGGCTTGCCTTATAAGTCTAAAACCTTACGTTTTGCAGGCCGTACGGCTCTCGTGTCCACACGTTAAGGCAAGACTTACAAGATTATATACAACATTTCCATAAATCCCACGTGTTTCCAGCCATAAATAGTGCATTAATATTCAGTCATTAAAATAGAAGAACAGATTACTAGGCTTTGTAATAAATTAAATTATACCAACAAGTACATATTCACACTTCGTAAAAAAGAGGAAGAGGTTGGACAGAAGCATTTATGGATATTTTCATTAGCTTATTCGAAAATACTTTGTGTTCACTTCAATATACCCACGTGTATGGTTTGATAAAAATAGAATGACATTTGGGCGAATGATTTTCATTGGTTGAGAAGAAAATTTCAGCTAAGTCTTGTATTAAGAAATAGAGCAGTGTTCTATTTGTAAGTCAGACTTGTAAAACTCGAAAAACCGTGTATTAAGGGTGTACACACGGTAAGGCAAGAACTTATGTTCCATGACTTATAAGGCAAGCCTTATCGTGTGTACCGGCCCTTACAGTTTTTGAGTAGTACTCTCGTTTATTATGTTCCCCAAACGAAGTTTGGGAACATATTGTTTTTACTCTGTTTCTTATTATTATTAAGTCTTCCGTTCACAACGGAAGACTTATAGTGATTGTATTGTTTCTTTTTAAGTCTTCCGTTCACAACGGAAGACTTATAGTGATTGTATTGTTTCTTTTTATTATTATTATTATTAGGTCTTCCGTTCACAACGGAAGACCTATAGTGATTGTATTGTTTCTTTTTATTATTAAGTCTTCCGTTCACAACGGAAGACTTATAGTGATTGTATTGTTTCTTTTTAAGTCTTCCGTTCACAACGGAAGACTTATAGTGATTGTATTGTTTCTTTTTATTATTATTATTATTATTATTATTCCTCCCAAATTTTGTGAGCGCGATTTCTCAGAGATGGTTGGATAGATTTTCACAATTTTTCACATGATAGTAGGCTGATATATGAAGTTTATATAAAATTCCGTTTTTTGAAAAATTCACTTCCGGTCCGAAGTTACGGCCGAATTTCCAATTTTTAAATGGACTTTTGTCCGGAATTTTTCTCGGAAACGGTTTGAGGTAAAGATGTGAAATTTACAGGAGTATTAGATCATGACATTCTCTTTGTTTCGAAGCTGTTTTCGTGTGTTTCCGGTACTTCCTGTCCGAACCGGAAGTGAACTTGTGTTTGGTCAATTTTCAACTTTTTTGTTTTTTAATATTTTTTCAAGATATTATTATGTATAACAGAGGTTATTCTACAAATACTAAATATATAATTTGTTTTAAAATTGGATTGCGCATTTTCTAGATTTTAGGTACCGTCATTTTCCCCATTTACCTAGTGTGTATACAATGGGCAAAGAAAGATAACTCTGACTTGTAAGTGAGAATAGAACTTTCGAGATAAAGGCGGAAATAGTATCGATGACGTCAGAGACATATACACTCTCCATATCAAAAATATTTAGACGTTCCATATGCACTCTTCTAAATGTAAGAGTACGTTGGTTACCGCTTCCAAAGCATGTATAGTTTAAAGTTGCCAGTGTAGTGTAAGTCTGTATTGACAGTTAATTGATTTACATATGAATATATCTAAAAAGAAAAATTAATATATATGCTAGGTACCTAATTCAAGTAAATATATTATAAGCACTGAATATACATTTATAGTGATGGACAGGCATGCAATTTTATCTATCTCGTATAGTAAGTTCAGAATACGATAGTTATAAGCCTTCTATAATGTAGACGATTTATTATTCTCTATGATTTGAATGCGAAATTATCCCGATTTCCGAGTTTTATTTTCGATATTAAAAAAAATTACATACACTCAAAAAAGGAATTGAGCGATAGAAAATTGTAATACAGTACTGTTTTAAAGCCTTTATAAATAAATTGATATCTGCCACTTAAAAGAAAGAAAATCAATCTATAGATTAGATTTGGTTATTACATGTATATTTGATAAAAAGGTTAAATTATTTATGACACATGATCTATACTCTATATACCAAGGAATTAAAAAAGACGATTCTTGAATTCTTGTGAAATACTCAAAGAGTAAAAAAAAAATATGTGAAAACGCGATCCTGTGTGAAATAATGGTACGCTATATGTTTCTTTTGAAAAAAAAAAACCATGATAAAAAAAGTGCACAGGTCTCTTGATATGTGGGATAAGTATACCTGAATGAACACAATTTTATGCAGTGATATATAATTATGTACATGCAGCTGACGTCCGTACTTTTCCTTATAATTAATAAAACATAAAACTATTTAATTCCTTTGAAGCCTCCTCCCCCCCCCCCTCCCATCTTGATTAATATTTGGAGACGTTCGTGCAGCTAGGCATTTGAATTATATATTCGTTTTAGATTTAAATCTGGAACATGTGAATATAATTACCATTTACATGTATACAGAATTTCATATTCTATAATGGTAGATTTGACATTATGAAATGTTCAAATTACGTCTGAGAGAGAGGGGGGGGGGGGGAGAGAGATTCCCTCTTAATCCCGATCCTCCTATCCATTTACATAGACCAAAAATTAGTTCTGTATCGGTCACACCCATTCTTTATTAAATGTTTTCTGATTTCATAGTCAGTCATGGTCACATCCTGTATATTTTTCAGCTTAAAAAGTATCACACGAAGTGCACGTGTGTTGACCTGTCAATCAAAATCACTTGACGCTGTATTCACTGCAATTAAGTAGCCTGAGTTCGAAATGATCTTGAAATACGATCTTTAAGTAAATCTGATGCAACAAACTTGTGAAAAAATAGAATAAAATAAAAAAAAAATACCTCGGTATTATGAACTTCGATTGTGGGACGTGGAGACCGGTCCTTTGGATGAGATCGTATAAATCGAGGTCCCTTGTCGCAGAAGGTGCTGGCATAAAAAGATCCCCACTGCTCAATTGCGATAAGTGCCAAAGTATAGGACAAAAATTTGCAGTTTCCACCGGCGAGTGGTGGCGACTCCATGTGAGTGAAAAATTCTGGAGGGGGACGTTAAACAACATACATATAATCAATCAATCAATCAATCGATTGCTGAAGAATTACTGTAATTGAATAATCTGTCTTATAGGTATGCTGTCAATTCTTGATATTATAACTTTACAAAACTCAGTGACTTTACGTTTAGTGTGATACTAACTTAATTCAATATATTTTTTTATAACACCATCACAATTATGCCAAAACATACACACAGTGAAGTTTATGATAGTACGGTGTTCGTTCGTCTGTTTGTTTTTCTTAGAAATGATTGCA